TGCTGCGCCTGCCACGATTTCGCAACGGCATCGCCAAAGTGCTGCGCCTGCCACGATTTCGCACACCCCCCGCCGCGCGCGCGACAACATCCTGTCCCTCTAGACAGCTGCCGAATGCGACCCCTGCCAAACAAACACACACCCAGATGCACAGAATGCTGCGCCTGCCACGACTTCGGCAACGGCATCGCCAAAGAGCTGCGCCTGCCACGATTTCGCAACGGCATCGCCAACAATTTCGCAACGGCATCGCCATGTGCTGCGCCTGCCACGATTTCGCACGCCCCCCGCCGCGCGCGCGACAACATCCTGTCCCTCTAGACAGCTGCCGAATGCGACCCCTGCCACACAAACACACACCCAGATGCACAGAATGCTGCGCCTGCCACGACTCGGCAACGGCATCGCCAAAGTGCTGCGCCTGCCACGATTTCGCAACGGCATCGCCAAAGTGCTGCGCCTGCCACGATTTCGCACGCCCCCCGCCGCGCGCGCGACAACATCCTGTCCCTCTAGACAGCTGCCGTGAGTCAGCGAGTGTGAGTGAGTGAGTGAGCGAGTGAGTGAGTGAGTGAGTGAATGAGAGTGAGTGAATGAGAGTGAGTGTGAGTGAGTGAGTGTGAGTGAGCGTGAGTGAGTGAGTGAGTGAGTGAGTGAGTGAGTGTGAGTGAGTGAGTGTGAGTGAGTGTGAGTGACTGAGTGTGAGTGAGTGAGTGTGAGTGAGTGTGAGTGAGTGTGAGTGACTGAGTGTGAGTGAGTGAGTGTGAGTGAGTGAGTGTGAGTTGAGTGAGTGTAAGTGAGTGAGAGTGAGTGAGTGAGTGAGTGAGTGAGTGAGACGGAGACGAGCGGGAGAAGGAGGAGACGCGGCGCGCGGACGACGAGCGGAAAAAGTAAGAACCCCGCACAAAGATGTGGGGAATAACAAGAAGAACAAGAAGAAAAAGAAGAAGAACAAGAAAAGGAACAAGAAGAAGAACAAGAAGAAGACCAAGAAGAACAAGAAGAATAACAAGAAGAACAATAATAAACATAAGAACAAGAAGAACAAGAAGAACAAGAAGAACAAGAAGAACAAGAAAAATAAAGCAAGAACAACGACCGACGACGACAACCACAACCACAATGACAATGACAACGACAAAGACAACCAAGAACAAGCAACAACAATCAGCGTCGAGCAACGACTAGAAACACCAAATAACCAAACAATAACAAACACACCGGCGACACCATTAACAGCAACAACAGCCACGACGGACAACAACGACACAACCGCGCAACCACCGCAACAGCAGCACCACCACCACCAACTCCAACAACGCCCGCAACGCCAGCAGCAGCAGCAGCAGCAGCAGCAGCAGCAGCAGCAGCAGCAGCAGCAGCAGCACCAGCGGCACCAGCGGCACCAGCAGCACTAGCGGCAGCAGCAACACTGCGCCTTACACGCGCAAAACACGCAGCGCATACGGAACACAACAGACACAAAGACAACGCGCAAAAGAACACACACACACACACAAAGAAAACGAACAAAACGTCTCAACGAGCGCACAAAGCAACCGTACATGCAAAGGACACATGGCTGGCTGTTTGTTTGTTTTCTTTGTAATGCAACCCCCCAAATCAAAAATGGTATTCCTTTTCGTTTCCCTGAAAATCCAGCAAACGAGAGGGCTCCTTTGCAAGGCCAACCCGCATAAAAGGTGAAGCCGGAGGGCAGAAGTTTCAAACTGTTCCAGCTGTAGTTTGGAGCGCGTTTCTTTTCCCCTAGCCACAGCAGGCAACCTCGGACAGAGAGCCTCGTGTTTTCCTTTCTGACCGACCCACAGAGCCACTCGGCGCCGCCAGGTTTGTGCGACTTTCTCATTGAGCCGCCAGCCTCAGCGCCGCTTTTCAGGGAGCCAAGTCCTCACAAGCGGATAACGGAGGTTGTTGGATAGTGAGTCTGAGATCTAGAAAAGAATTGATTGGATTCGCAGATGCGTAGGGGACCTCGGAAGAGCGGTTTGGCGAACCAACCAGACTCTTGTAAAGGTCCTGTAAGTCCAAGATCTCCGCTATTCGCTTTGACCTCGCTCATTCTTGGTTTGAGGTTTCCAGACTCAACCAGGGCATTGGTTCTGGGGGGGGGGCAACTCAGACCACGACTTGTCTCGAATGACTACCTTGACGGTGTCCAACTGCATGGGTATGTGGCCAGAATGACTTCACTAAAACAGGGTCCATATCCTTCAAGGGCAAGTGCGAAAGCTAGATGCACCAAAGGACCCACGCAGAGGCTTCTGCTCTGCCGCATCCTTCAACCGGCCATTCTCTGCGTTGACTGAAGCCATCTCAATCGAAGCTAGAGAATTTGTTCGATGTTTGCGGCTGGCTTGAATGCAGAGCTGGCTACGAAAGTCACAGAGCTGAAGGCATTCTGTTGCAGACGAGGATGCTGAGAAAAATCAAACAAACCAAGATTGCAAAAACAACCCCAAAACCAATTGTTTGTTATTTTGTTTAAAGCTGCAGAAGAAATCAGCCCAAAAAACCTCGAATTTCCACCCCGCTCCTTAGTTGTCCCCGCCTTCCCAATTTCCCCAAGTTCGGTCAAACCAACGGGCAAGAAATGAAACAACAGAAGGGGACACCCTGGGGGTTGCCTTTTTCAGATTCCTGGTGGCTGTGCAGTCCAAGCTTGGGGACATAGGGCCTGCAATTTTGTTCTTTTGCTGTTTGGAAAACCAGTGGGTCTTTTTACACTTGTCCAGAAAAAAACTCAACTCTTCCAAACAAAACGAAGAAAACACAATTGCAGGCCCTATGGCTGGCAGTCCAAGCTTGTGGGCATACGGCCTCAATTGTTTTTTTGTGTTTGATATTTTTGTGTTTAAAACTTTTCCGGACAAACCCAAAAAACCTCGAGTTTTCAAACAACTAGAACGCCAAAACTGCAGGCGCCATGGCTGGGCAGTTCAAGCCTGGGGGCATGGCCTTCCATTTTGTTTTGGGTCCATGAAGCTACTGCTGACCCGGGAAGCGCGCCCCCGTGTGGAAAGAATGCCATGGCTGAACGAAAGAGCACACATTTCTTCTAAGCGCGCCGGCAAGTTGTTGTGTGCCCTCGTGACGTGGCAATTCACAGTCCGGAATTGGCAGAGACTGACAAGGTCTTCGCGAATGCGGACAAACAAAAATGTGCCTTTGCGCTGGCGCCATGCCCGAAGCCTCAGTCCTTTCTCGACACATTCGACGTGTAGTTCGGTGATGTAACGCTCGTCACAACTGTAGCTGCTGTCTGAACACTAGTTCAAAGGACCCCATTTTGACATCAGGCATGTACGCGCAGTCTGCCGCGCGGTGCCCAGCTTCCTGCATTGCAAGGACACCTTTGGGTGTAGGCGTTGGCACTTTGAAGTCTGTTCTCGCATTCTTCCAAGGAAGGAGATTTCATCTGCTCCCAGCTTTGCTCACAGCATAAATGAAAGAGGCTGGATATGCAAGCGCAAGCAACCAGAGCGCGCAGACGGGCAGAGTGCCACACAACCCAAGCCCAACCACAGTGAAAAGTAATTAGGAGTTTCCTCAAAACAGACCCTCTACTGTGGTTTCCTTTGCTCCCTTCAAACAATCCCCCGGCTTTAGTACTGACAGTCCCAGCTGGAACAGCCGATCTCGGCTCCGCGCTCACCAGCATGGCGCGCAGACCTCAGGCTACAGCCCAGACTTGCGCAACCTGGGCATGTCCGCTGCTTCTAAAGAGCTTTGGGGACATTTTTCTTTTTGGGGGTTTCAGAGACATGAAGCCGGAGATGCTTCTGGTGTTGAAGCATCGTTCACTGCTTTGACATTGGGAATCCAGTAGTTCTTCCTAGTGTTCCTGCTGTGCCATTGGGTTTTCTCAGCTTTCAGAGTCGGCTATGCCTGAGGAACATGGCGCTGGTCGGCCCGGAAGCTCAGGCTCAAGCGCCCAGATGGGTGACGAGTCCAGAGCGCCTTTCATGGCTGGTCTTGTGGCGTGACCTGTTGGAAACAACTGGGTGTGGCTCAAAATAAAACAGGCGGGGCACACCGCAGGTTTTGGCCTTTGCTTCCCCTTACCAGGGCAGCCCATTTTGGAGTTCCGGTTTGTTGAGCAACAGCCAAATGTTTTCTGCAACAGCTCTACCTTTCGCTCCGGGGGGCTTGGAGCAACCCCGACGGGCAAGCCGACCAAGGGAAGGTTCCTGAACCAACGTGCCGCGGCCTGGCCGAACATTTGAGGGGTGATATCTAGGCAAGCCGCGGCCTTGTTCTGCCAGATCCAGTTTCCCTTTTGCCCCGAACTTTGGCTTCTGCTACCTTTCCCTTATTCCAGCCCCGGAGGGCGGGCGCCCACCGGTTCTTTCTTAATGGCGGGCGCCGAAGCGGCGGGGAAGCCGCGGCCCGCGAGGCCTCTGCGGGAGCTTCAAGCGCCACATGGAGCGCCAGGAGTGGCTGGACTCGGACTCCGGGCGAAGGGCTCGAGGCGGAGGGCGGTCTCCTGGGGCTTCGGGGGTGTGTCGAACTCGACGAAAAAGGAAATGAGGGGCGAAAGAAACGCACAAGGAAGCCAAGCAAAGGGAAGGAGATGGCAGGGGGTAAAGTCGTTTAGCCAACTGATCCTCGGGCTGCTTTAGGAGGGCCGCCAGCTGGCGCAGCTGTTGGACCTGGCCCGGAGCCCAGTAGGCTTGGGGGGGAGTTTCTCACATGGAAAGGGAGACCACCTGAAAGGAAACCCGTCCTAGACCCCGTTTTTGAGAAACGCCCGTGGGAAGAAGGATGAAACATGCTCGAGCAAATGCACAGGTCAGATCATCTACCGACCAAAAAGCAAATTTGGCTACAACGACCCAGCGCCCAGCCTTTCCACTTTTTCGTGCAGGTGCGGGACCGCCTTCCGCTGCGCGAGATCGGGCGCTGCGACCACCTCCAGGAGCCGCGGGTGTTGGGGGGGGTGGGCGGCGGTATGAGGGAAGATTATACCAAATGTGTCACAACGTGTTGCGTGCAGAAAAAGCTTGTTTGCGGCTTCCTATTCCTCCAGGGTTTTTCCTGTCCATGTCCCTTTCATTTCTTTACGTGTCTTTCAACCTCCTTTGCATTTTCATTACTTCCTCATTCTAATTGACTAGAACATTGTTTCTATTTTGTGAGGATGATGAACATGATGATGACAATGATGATAAGCGATGATGAAGAATGATGATGAAATGATGACGACACATGATGATAAACAAAAAATGATAAAGCATAAGATTAAGACGATGATGATGAGACTGGATCTCCGGAGACTTGGTCTCTGGAATGTTGGGGCCTATGTGTTTGCTAGTTTCTCATGTTTTTTTCTAATTAGTTAGGAAAACTAGTTGAACAGTCAATCTTGTTTTCCTTTTCTCTAATTTTCCCCTGGTCTCCGGAATGTTGGGACCATTTTCCAATTTTTCCAATTTTCCTATTTTTCTATGTTGCTTGAATTAATTAGAACAAAAATAGCAGACAAATCAATAATATGTTCCTTTTTGTTCTAGTTAATTAGAACAAATAGCTGACAAATCAGTCATTTTCTGTTCTAATTATCTCCCAGTCTCCGGAATGTTGCGATCTATTTTTCTATTGTTTGTATTTGTTCTAGTTAATAAGCAAAAATAACTGGAAAACCAGTCAACCGTTTCTATTTTTCTAATTTTTCGAATTGGAGCAAAGGAAATCCGGCGCTTTTAATTTAGTTGCGTGAAAATCGCGAAATAAGTACGTTTTCGGCCCCCGGCTGACCTTGGGCACGTCTAGGGAGAAAAGCTGAAGAAGTAATCGAAAGGAATAGCAAGAAATCAAAGGAACTGGAAAGGAGGTTGAAAGGAACGTAAAGAAATGGAAGGGACATGGAAAGGAAAAAACGTGGAGGAGTTTGAAGAAAGGGAAAACAAACAATTCCACCCAGCGCTCTTAAAGCCTTTACGCGGGACCATTGTTTTTTGTGCAGCTTTGAGCCCCGACTGGACCATTCTGATGTCCTTTTGATTCATTTCCATGCCCTCCAAGTACTTTTCATTCCTTTCCACTTTATGTTCATGTCCTTTCCATTCCCTCTCCGTTTCTCGTCTATGAAATTTCACGTTCCTTTCCATGTTTGTCCATTTCCTGTTCAAATACTTTCCATCTCCCTTCTCTTTCCTTTCCATTCCCTTGTTTTATTTTCGTGTCCATGTCTTTTTCATGTCCTTTTCCTTCCATGCTCTTTGCATTTTCTTGCTATTCCTTTCCATTTATTTGCTTTTCTTTCCATTTATTTCCATTCCTTTCCACTCTTTTCCATGCCCCTTCATCTTAGCTGGAAGTGCCCAGGGCCAGCCCGGGCCGAACAAGTGCTCATTTCGCAATTGTCCATGTCAATAATGTTGAGGCGGCAGGTGTCCTTTCATTTAATTCAAATTCCTGTTCACGTCCTTTCCGTTCCTTTCTGTATCCACTTCATGCCTTTCCATTTTTTTAAGCTTCATTCCTTTCCATTCTTTTTATTTCTAATCTATTCCTTTGTTTATATGTCCTTTCCATTTCCTCTCATGTCCATTTCTGTTGAATTTCTCTCCCTGTCTTGTCCATTCCTTTCCATTCCTTTCCCTTCCTTTCAATTGCTTTCCATCCCTGGCTAGAAGTGCCCAAGGCCAGGCCGAGCCGAAAACGTGCTTGTTTCGCAATTTCCCGTGTCAATAATTTAGAAGCAGCGAGTCTCCTTTCCATTTCTCTGAATATTATCTCCATGCCCTTTCCGTTCCTTACATGTCCCTTTCGCTCCTGTCAATGTTCAGTCCTTTCTTGTTTATCTCATTTCCGTTTCTTTCCAATTCCTTTTCATGTCTTGTTTCCATCGCTATTTATTGTTATTGCCTTTGCAACTGTGTTTCCATTATCTTTCATGTGTTCCAAATAGTTGTTTTTCTTTACATCACATTTCTATTGCGTGACTGCTGTCCATGTCCTTTCTCATAAAACAGTTATTATTGTCTACTAGATTGATTTTGTTACAAAGAGTGATGCTGCTGATGTATCCCGTAAATTAGGAAACGTGAACCATCAGAAGCAACGGAAAGAAAACGCAAAATGATGGGAACACGCTTCGACCATGGATGTGTGCACTTCGTGCATCGAACCAAAACAAAACATGAAAGTTGAAAACAAACGCAGATAAGGAACTCCGGGCCTTCTGAATAAAGGACATTTGGTTGAGGAGAAATCGGAAAGACCAGACTAAGTGGATGCGTTTGTGCTTCATTCACTAAATTGATCTCTTTCATTCACTGGTATTTATTGAATGCATAAACGAGATCTCGTTTCTTATACGTCATGCGCGCGCGGCACCTTTGGTGCAATCTTCCCAACGGGGGGTGGGAGGGAGCTCCCGATCGACGTGTGTCAAAAAAGAAATGGGTGGTTTCGCTTTTGGCTTCCCTTGCCAGAATGAAAAGGGGGTTTCCACAACCAGACCATAGACTCGTTTGAGGGGTAGAGCAAACATGAACTGATGTTCTAACAACTGGCTCCAAACCCAAGCTTTGAACTTACAAGTTTTGTTTGGTGTCTTTGTGGAGTAGTGGTGACAACGTAGCTGTTTGAACTGCTTGGTTATCTAAAGGCTTTACCCTCGAACCCCAATCGTCAGCTTCCATTGTTGAAGGGGTGGGGTCAAGCGGGACAATTGAGCGTGTCTCAAAAATGGAGCCCCCCCCCCCCCCCCAAATTTGGCGGTTTTTCTCAAACACAAGGTACCTATGGTAATGTGTCGAATTATGAGGTTGGGTTTCGCTTCTCCTTTCGGCTTCCAAAGGGCACATCTCCCCACACCTTACACCCCACAACATCCTTCCCCAGCCTCGCCCCCCCTCCCCCTCTGTGTGTTCTAGCTGCTCGCTGGCGCCAAGACACACACGGCTGGCGCCTTTTAGGACCTGGCGCGGAAGCACGGGGGCGAAAGCCACGAGGCCCCAGTTTCTTCTCCGGGAGGTCTCCTTTGGGCATCCACCCGTGTATATAGACGGATACATTTTGCATTTGGGTGTGGCTCAAAATTCAAAAGGAGGGGTTACGCAGGTTGTGGTCCATGTTTCCACTTACCAGGGTTCCATTTTGGTACCGGTTTTTTGAGCCACAGCCATTTTACCAGTGACTCAAAGTGAGGCAAACAAGAAAATAGACATTCTACTACTGGGCCTAACTCTAATCATGTTTTTTTGGGTTGTTGACAAAACGAGAAGCCAGAAGGAAAACGACGGAAACCAAGCAGAAACAAAGGGGCCTGGGTTTGGAAGCGCTTGGGTTTTTACAGGCTCCTTGGCACATCTTGGGAACGAGCCCATTGGATAAAGACCCTGGCACATATCGCTTCGCAAGACCAGCGGGCCAGTTGGCACAAGTCATTTTCCTAAAGCTGCGGCTTGGATTCCATGAGTTGACACCAGTGAAAAGTTGCTAAAGTTGCGGCTTGGATTCCATGACTGCCAGCCGTATCCAGTCTGCTTCTTTGAACAACCTACCACAGGTGCTTTCGCTGTACCTGGCGAGTCTCCAGGCCCATGTCCGCAGCCGCGGACCCGGAACCCAGGTTGTAGAAGACTTGAGAGGCGAGGGCGGTGAGTTTGCGGCGTTTCCGATCTGAGCATTGCCCTGTTCGGCCAAGGTGAAACTATGCGGCATCTCGAGCTGGTGTGGGGCCTCATTGGAAATAGTTGTTGGTTTGCGGAGGACTCAGCTGGCTATGAGTACTTCGCAACACGACCGACAATTGGTGGGTGACCGGACATTTTGAATTTTCCACCAAGCCATGGGGATTCACAATTTGTTCGCTCACGAGTTGCCAGGTTGGCGCATGTGACGGCTGAGGTAGCCCCATGGTTGAAACTCGAGTTGCCCGACCTTTTCTCGAGTTGTCGTTGAATTTTGGTGAGCCACACAGCCGGTTGCTCTACCGACCTGGAAATTGCATGAACATGACTTCAGAGAATCGAATCTCAGCCCTCTCCGTGTGGGAAGATTCTGCAAATCTCCACCCCACAACCACAATCAGAACCCAAAGAAAAATGACCAATTCCCTATGCTTGGTGTAAGAAACCAAGTTGCAGCGTTCCAAGAATTCCTTGAGATTCTCTCAGCGCCCCACAGCCGGACTCGTGAGGTGTGCACTTGCCTGAAGACCTGGGCCGGACTCTTGGACCTCGTCCCTTAACCCAAAAAGTCCTTGAAGGCAAGTTTGGCGGCGGACACCCCCCCCAAAACCAAAAGAAACACAAACACAGACAGTCACACACACACACCACCAGGAAGAGAGGGCAATCCGTAACAATTTTGCTTTTGAAGGTATTGTGATGGCCCACTGAACGCCAACGCCGTATTGGACATCTGTGAGACGCAAGGTTCAGCGCTATGTCGAAGCAGAGGGAAGTGGCCTCTGGATGACGCGGCCTCTTGCATGTTGACGGCTCGAGTGATGTTGCGTGTTCTTGCTCTTGTACAGTCAGGGAAGGCCAAAATCGTTCCGCAAATTGCTTTCAGACTAATTAGAGCACGATGCTGAGTTTTTTCTCAGCATTTATTAGAGAGCCTTGAAGGGCAGATTCTTTCCTTTGTGGCGTCCATTTGGCAACCCAAGAGGTCGCCAAGTTTGAGACATATTTCAACCGGGAACCAGCCAGTTGCCATCCGTTTTTGAGCCAAGCAGAAAGGCAGGGGTCAAATTGAGCAGTTGGGGGCTACACAAATGAAGTCCCAAAGGAGGCATGCCCAAAAACAAAGGAACCCAATCAGCGGGGGAGAGGGGGAGCCCACCTGGAAGTAGTGAATAGTATTGCTGGGGTATAGTGGAACAAGTTTGTGAATTCACCTCAAGCAGAATATGTTTTGCTTAGCTTGTTTTGTTTTATATATATATATATATACACTTTAGAGCCTCCGGCTCAGTCCGCCGACATTGTCCTCTCCCTTTTCTCCTTCTTCCTCTCTCCCTTGTCTCCCTCGTGCGTTCTGTCGTCCTCTCTCCCTCCCTCTGCTCCCCATTCTCCCCATCCCCCCAAGCCTCTCTCTCCTCAATCTCCCTCTCTCTGTCTCTCTCTCTCTCCCTCGCTGTCTCTGTTTCTCTGTCTCTTTCTGTCTCCCTGTCTCCTTCCTGTCCACGCCCCTCTACAGAAAAAGGGTACCCTAATTCGAACCTCTCTACTCTCTCACTTTCTCGCTCTTTATCTCTCTTTCTCTCTCTCTCTCTCTGTCTTTCTGTGTCTCTCTTTCTCAGTCTCTGTCTTTCTCTCTCTCGCTGTCTCTCTCTCTCTCTCTCTCTCTCTGTCTGTCTCTTTCTCTGTTTCTCTGATTCTGGCTCTGTCTCTGGCTCTGTCTCTGTCTCGCTCTCTCTCTCTCTCTCTCTCTTTCTCACTCTCTGTGTATCGCTCTCTCTCTCTCTCTCTCTGTCTCTCTCCCTCTCTCTCTCTCTCCCGCTCTCTCCCTGTCTCTCTCTCTCTCTCTCTCTGCATTGCAGCGTCACGTCTCCCCTGAGTTGCCTCGATGTCCGGGCACTGCCCCTGCATGACCCTGAGCTGTCATCTCACTACTGGCTTTCCCCCTTCATGTCCTTTTCACGTTTCCCATGATGTCCTGGTCCTGTCCCTTCCATGCCGTTCAACCCCCCCCTTCATGTCCCTGACATTTTCTCGGTGTGTCCACTTCATTTGCCATGTATGTCCCGTTCTTTCGTTGCGAGTCATTTCCCTACATCTCCCGTCGTGCCGATTGGTTTTCTTGTGCTTTGTTTCCCTTTCCTTCCCCCTGCACTCCCCTTGTTTTCATTTCTGTCCCTTGCATGTCCCTTTCAGTTCCCCTTTGTTTCCCTTTCATGTCCCGCTGCTTTCCTGTCATGTCGACTTCCTATTTCCTCCCCTCATTTCCTCGCACTTCCTTGCATTTCCCCTTTGCTCCCCAATATTTCCCGCAAAACAAACACGGTTTTTCCAGCGTTTTCGCAATTAGTACGTCCAAAAACACAGAGTTTTTCCAGATTTTCTGCAAAAGGAGGCAGGAAACCCAAACCAGCAAAGAGCCGGCAGGGGGAATCCTATTTTGCGACACCGGCTCCCCGAGGTCCTTGGGGGGGGGGGGGCCACGTATCAGACTTTGGGGGGGGGGTTAATCCTCTATCCTCTCGACACGCCGAGCAATGTCGGCGGATATATAAATAAATTGCTATATATATATATATAGCTTGATGAGCTTAACTCCAATGGTGTCGCTTGGTTTACCCTATGCACCCGGGGTGACACGGTGAGTGGCAAGGAATACCAATGCCAGGCCGTGGATGCTGCAGCTCACCGCGCTGGCAAGGCGCACGGCCACGCAGATGGACCAGGCGGGAGGGAGGTTGGGAAGTTGGGGGTGGGAGGGTGGTGGGAGGGCAGGATAGGAGAGGGCAGGATGGGAGAGGGCAAGTTGGGAGAGGGCAGGTTGGGAGCGTTGCCTTGGTTTGCATGTCGCAGGCCAAGCGGTCGGAGAGGGCCGAGCGGCCGGACCAAGAGAACGACGCGTATCTCAAGAAGCCCGGGACCTTGGCCTTTCGAGCAACGCTCCGCGGGTTGCGAAGTTCCGTGTTCCGCCGGGTTCCGGGGGTCGTCCCTTTGGAAGACTTGCCTGAAAGCGGTTGGGCGCAGGTCTCCGCGGTTCATGGAAGCAACAAGAACCGACAAAGGGAAAGGGGCTGGTTGCGCGGGTGTCACCTGACAGGCTGGTAGCGCTGTACCGGGACTTCCTGAAGGTCCTGAACAAGGCGGGCTTCAAAATGGCCTGGGGAAGCCTTCAACAGGCTCGTTTGCCATGGTTTCCTGTAGTCAAATACCTAAGCCCGCCTTGAAAAAGCAGAGCGCGTGTCATATTCCTGTCCACCGCTTTCTCTTGAAATCCCTCAGCTTTTTAAGGGCCTGACTCGTTGCTCACGCCGAGGAACGAACCAAGAGAGCGGGCCACGTGTGGATTTGTGTGGGCCTCGCTCTGTCGCGCCTGTTTAGCGATCCCTCCGACTCCACCCAAAGGGTCTCATTCTGTTTTTCAAGGGCACCCTTTCACAATTCGGTTTGAAGAACACCTGGAAGCAAGACCACTGTTCTTTTTAAGTTCCCCCTATTTTCTCTGACCCATGCATGGCAGAAAAAACAAAAGAAGCCTATGGTTTGGGCGGGTGATCTTTTCTTTCGACCTTTGGTTTCCTTTTGGTTTTCGCCTATGCCCACTCCGCCGGAGCGAGCCGAGCGCCGAAGAGACGAGGCTCCGAGCTGCTGAGGGCGTACTTCAAGCTGGGGCCTGGGGCTCGGATGGTTGGGGTGGTCAGGGGGGGTCTGGGGGGTGGGGGTGGGGGGTTTGGGAGGGAAGACGGGGGGGTGGGGCTGACATGTCCGTCCTAAAAACCCATCAGCAGAATCTCAGGAACAAAAACAATCCCTTACGGATGTTCGATGAGATCGTCAGGACTGTGACTATAAAATTGAGTCAAGAGTCGTCCGCGGGTCTCTCTTGATAACCACGAATGTGCTTCTTCCATTGAAAGACATGCAATTGTACCGAAGAAAGACCGGCACGGCAGTGATTCCATTCAGAATTGGTTGAGCCACAACTCGGGACACTTCCAGATGGATGCGTTCGTTTGAATTCCTTTCACCGCAAAAAGGGCCCGCCTTTGACGCCCCAATTTCAAGAGGCCCCTCCGCTTGGCTGTGTGCAGGAGACACTCGGCAAGAGGCCCTCTGGGTCGGATGCCAGCAACTGATCATATTGGTAGTTTGAGATCAGGGAGCGCATGCCAAACTTGCTGCAAAGTCGGGTGGCTGACATTGCCCTCGGACTAATCTGAAAGCTTTCCAAAGGTCTCTGTAAATGGAACCAAGTCTTCCGAAACAGTCCTGACAGCTTCCATGTTAGTCTGAGTCTGCGAAGGGCAACGTTTCCCCCCCCTTTTCCCATGTCCTGACCTTGGTTCTTTGATTTCGCCAGCCTGTGAAAACGCTGTGGAAATTGGCATTTCGCCTCCCAACCATTTCAATAGCTTCTTGCCGGGCTCAAAGACTCACCCAGCTCTCAGGGGACAAACTAATACACATATTCATGTACACGGTACACAAAAACCATGGGAAACACCTCACAGTTTCCGAGTCCTTGTGGGGAAACATATAATTTTGACCATGGCTCATATGCATTGTTTTTGTTGGGATCCTCCCCAATTGGGTTAACGCACAGAATAGGAACCCCACCCATTTGTGCATTTGTGGTGCTCTAATCTTGAGACACACACCAGATATTCGTCCATGGCTAAGAGATGTCCCGACAGACTGTGAGGCAAGTCTCGCAGTGCTCCTTCTTGCTTTCCACGGTGACGCAGTCGATGCAGAAGGAAGGGGGTCTGATTTGGGTGCGTCTTCGCTGAGGGTACCCTTTTCAGAAAATTGGTTGAAAGGGACACCTGAAGAAACCAACGCATACTTTGCAGTTGACCCATGGTGGTTCATCAATCACGGCAGACCAGGAGCCCTTTTCCTTCTATCAAACCAAAACCATTGTGGGAAAAAGGGTAAATGAAAACCCAAAGAAAGCAAAACCGCCCATTGTGTGGTCCCAATTTAGGTATGGGTCAAAGTTCAACCACCAGGGGACGATAGATTTAGTTTGTTTTCCATTTACCAGGTTCCATTTGGGGTTACCCGATTTTTGACCCACACCTATTTGAGACACATGGACCTGTTTCCATGTTTCACAAGGCTTCAAATGTCAGCGCAGGGGCTCAGGGCCTTGCCGTGGGTCTGGCCCAGAACTGTGGAGTTCGCTTTGGTTTCCCTTGGCTACACAAAAAAGGGGTGCCCTAAAAAAAAGACACCCACTATCAGCCAGGCCGGCCGGTGCAAATGCCACATATAGCCTTAAGAATCCTGATGTGGTTTCTCCCCCCGCCCCGCCCCCAATATAATTAGCTTACAGCCCTGCATACGGGCAAGGATCCTCAGGCAGGGATGAATGGATTTATGTCGAGATCAATGTTTGGCCGTATCCAACTCGTGTTTTCCGCTGATCCGAAGCGCGGCGTCTCTTATCATCCGTTCGCATGTCGGCGAGGATGGGTTCAGCCCGACCGACCTGCCAAAGGCCATCTGCGTGGCTGGGATGCATCCAGTCTGATTGGACGGACGGGCCGTGTTGTGCTGATGGTGGCCAATCCCCGCCAGAGGAGACTGCCCGCCAATGCTTGGAAGGGCAATCTAGTGTGAACATCTTTGCTCGGTTTTCAAACTTGGGACCCGTTTTGGATGGTCAAAGGGAAGGCCAGAAAGAAGTCGCAACAGAAAGCTCATTGGGTGCCTATTTGGGGAAACACTGAACTAAGGGGGGATTGTTGTGATCGAAAGGATTGGCAAGCATTGGCTCCATTTCCTGCTAAACGCGGCGGAGTTTAGACATCGGGATCCGGAAGGGATCTGAGCTCTCGGGAAAGGAGCCCCATGTCAGGAATCCTCGAGTTCCGAGGATTCTGACGGCAGTGGTTTCCCTTCCCCATACCAGTTGAGCGGTCCTGGCATGCCCTTCGATTTTATCTTGGCCCTCGGGGCTGGTTCCAATGCTCCGTGAGGTGACCTTCTACTTTTTCTGGGGCAAGTACCTGGTCAGCCCCGCCCTGTTTCGCCGCCAGATTTTGCCTTCGGATCGTAAATGTGTGTTTGTTTGTTTGTTGGTTGGTTGGTTTGTTTGTCTGTTTGTTTGTTTGTTTGTTTGTTTGTTTGTTTGTTTGTTTGTTGTTTTGTTTTTGTTTTTGTTTTTTTGCTTGTTTGTTTTGTTTGTTTGTTTGTTTGTTGTTTATTATTTCCTCTCTCTTTTTTTTTTGGGGGGGGGCGGTCTCGAAATGACGTCTTGTTGGATTGTCGCAGCCTGCCGTCGCTGGTTTCGCGTTTTTTTTTTGCCATTCGTGGTTGCCTTTCCGAACCCGAGCACGGGTGGGTTCCGCGGCGGGCAATTTTCCCAGCCAGGTCTTCGACCACAACCTGCAGGGCGCAGACGAGAAGCTGACCTGGGCCTTCAACAACTGCCCGGAGAAGCCCGCGGCCCCAAAAACCCCGAGCCCCGAGCAGAATGGGAGGGGGCGAGAGAGAGAGAGCCGAGACAACAGGAGCCGCAGGAATATGGCTGGGCTGAGGGTCAAAACCAATGGGATCCCATTTTGGGGTAGGTGCACCCATTTTAGTCTATTTTAGTGGGGATTGGGATGTTCACTTGGGGGTACGATTTGGGTGTTGACCCATGGCCATATCGCCCCAGGTACTTCCCAGCCATGAAGGGGAGCAAGCAACATTCAGGCTAGGCTGACCATGTTGCCTTTTTCCCTGTTTGGTTTCCTTCATGTTCATCTTTGCCCAGCCCAAAGCGCAGTTTCTTCAGTTCGCCCCGTTCTTGTTTCCTTTTCATCTTTACTCGGCTTGTGGCAGTCCATGGTCAATTTGGACCTTTCCCCCAGGCACCGTCCCTTCCTGGGACGCTCTCGCTCGGCCCAGGGCGCTGGCCAACCGTCGCCGCATCCTGCCGCGCCGCCGCGTTTCTTGAGCCCCAGGCCCCGAGCCGAGTGGCAGTGTCTATTTGGCCGTCAAAACCGTTGTGGTTGATCCCATTTTGGTAGGTGAATTCACCACCCATTTTAGATAGCCAACTTTGGTGGTTGGATTGAATCGGATGTTCGCTGGGGGTACGATTTGGGTTTTGAAGTCATGGGCATTTAACCTAACACGAGAAGTTGCACCTGGAGCAGGGGATCTGAGCGCGCAGTTGCGTGTCAAAACCTGTTGGCCAAAGCAAGCCAAAGCCGTGGGCCTGTTCCGGAGCGAATGTCCTGGCAGGGGTGGTTTTCATAGCCTTGCTAGCTGGCAGCCTGCTGTCAAAAGTACAAGTGGGTCCTTTTGCGAGGGTGCCCCTTTTTGGGGTTGGCTTATAGGGAAACCAAAATGAAACCACATCTTCGGGTGCTCCTCCTAAATTCTTTTGAGACGAACACAAGTCTGATAATGGCAGCGCACGTGTCTCTCAAAACATAGATGACCTCCTGACTGGCCCTTCCCAGCCAGCCACTAAACCGAGCGTGTTGGCCAGACCCAGCCGTCTGAAACAATCACCACATGCCCCCCCCCCAACTTCAGGATACAGGTTCCATTGCCGAAAACACCTGGGTTCCCAAATGGGCGTGTCTTGTTTTTTGCTTTTGGTCTCCCTTCAAAACCACAAAAGGTACCCTCAAAAACGAACACAGCCACACACACACACACACGTCAAACTGTGCAAGCCACGAGCTTCAAGCCTCTCCTCCCGGAAACCCAGTGCCCGAGTGGTCGGCGCCAGGCTGTACTTGGTGCCCTGCAAGCTCCGGCTGGGCGTGCTTCCAACGCAGGAGATCTCGCATTTCCGCCCCTAGCCCTGCGGGGGGGGGGGAGAGAACCATTTTCTGTGTGTGTGTGTGTGTGTGTGATTCACTGCTCCTTGCATTGACCAAGGATCTTTTTTTGCAAGAAGCCTTGGCTGTGTGACCCAGTTCAGGCCAGGCATTTTGCGGTGTGGGAATCCCTCAGCCCCAAACAGGAGCTGCTGCACAAGTACGACTTGGACATCTTTGTGGATGTGGTGAGGGCCATTAAGGAGGCAATGAGGGTGCAGAGACGGCTACAAGGTTCCATTCCCGCAGAAAGGCAAAGTGTCCGAGCCGCCCCTTTGGCCAGTGGTCCAGTTGAGCTTAAACTAAAGCCTGAAGACCAAGGGCAACCGGTTTGCCTCATGGGACGCGTCAAAAGTGGAAAGTTCTTCGCATCGATGGCCTTTCGGAGGGCAATGTGCAGCTCTTCAATCAGAAGATGCAAGAGCTGGCAGCGGCCCGCGACCGAGAGACCTGGAGACCAAGACCTGGATGACTGAATCGCACACCCTGTGAAACCCTTTGTTGCCCACGGACATGGAGCCTCTGGTGCGCTCCCGAGAAGAGACCTGTCGAACTCATGAGGCTTCAGTCAGGTCTCATGCTTAGCGACACAGGCACCAACTCGACAAAGAGCACTCAGCTGATGGACGCTTTGGCCTGGGGTCGTCCACTCACCAAGGACCTCATCAAGATGGGCACTTACTTGCTCATGATGAGGCTCAAGTTTATGGCGCCGACCCTAGTTGCTGTTTAGACGGACCCGCATTGCCTTGAAAGCACACATGGCTTTTGAATGGTGGTGTTCCTTGTATCTCCTCGCAACACCGACGAAACTGGTAACCAAATTTGGTTTCCCTAAGAGAAGATCTAGAGTTAGCCGATGTCCACAGAGCCACTCGAGGTCTTGCGCAACCTCACCAAGGGCATTTTCTTGGACGTGCGGGGCAGGTGCCAGCTGGATGTTCAGAACAGTGTCAGGCAACAAAGCCAGTTCCCTTGAAATGGAAGCAACATCACCGTTTAGTAGGGTGTAGTAGGGTCTAGCTTGAGGGGAAGAAATGATAAATGACGCGCATCTCTGTTTGTAAACTCTCATCCCTTATGTTCTAAAACTACGCACAAACACTGTACACCTACAAGGAGGAAGCGACAAATGACAACAGATAGGCCCAGGCAAGCCTTTGATCAGGGTCACATATCTTGAAAGGCACACATTAGCAACTGAATTGATAACACCACTGGTAGCCAACCGACCACCACAAGATCATGCCAACTTTGCTGCTAAGCCTCTGGCCAAGTGCACCAAATGCCGTGGAGCAGAGACAAGTGCGCGGACGCATCAACCGAAAAGGCCTACGGAAAGACTACACGAAGTTGAGTTGAAGACTACCGGACGGATACTAAAGGACTACGGACAGATAGAGGTCAGTTGCAAGCACTGATCAACGAGAAGTCAAAAAGGGTACACTTTGCCAAATGGGTGTGAATGTTAGTGAGGGGCCCAAAATGGTGGACATCAAGTTTTTAGGTGGGTCCCGATTTATGTGCACAACAACCATTTGGGAGGGGGGGTTCCAACCATTCAAGTTCATCGCCAAAATACCTTGGTGGTTTGGATTTCGTGGTTTGGGGAATTCAACTCCTGGTTCTTGCAGAGGGGAGTGGGGGGAAACCCCTCCGTTTTACCAACCACCGATTCGGCTCCAAACCATCAAAGGGAGATCTGAAACTGCCAGGTTGGCGGCGCCTTCGGTGCAGTTGGACTTCACCCCGCGGGGGCTCTGAGTACCGACTGCCTGCGACGCCGAAACAGATGGTTGGGCATATGTCTTAAGACACCGACCTGAAGGTTGGGCAGACTGTTTAAACTTACTAAAAGCAATCTTTGGGCCAAATAGAAACTGAATTTTGCAATTGGAACTGGCAACACGCTGAGGTTCGAGCACGTCTTTGGGTGGCAGGATGGCTGCGATGCGGATGAAACCGCCCGGCGGCTCAGAGCCATGCTTTGGATCGGACACACCATGGTTGCTCCGAGCCTCGTTTAGGCCACAAGAGGGGTCGATCCCACATTCGTTTCAACCCTCGTTCTTTAAAGAAACCAGTTTCACGGAGCTTTTTTTTCCTGGAGGTTAAGAGGTTTTCTTGGAAGAAGGAAGGCGTTCTGCCGAGCGAGCCTAGGCCGCCTCCCTGGCCACGTTGATTTACAGTGGCGCCATGAAGGGGTCGGCGCCCCCGGACTGGAGCGCCGCCGAAAGGCGCAATCCGCGAAAGCCAGCAGGTCTCAGTGAGGCGTTTGTCCACAGCGAGTTGGAGGGGGGGACATGGAGGCATAGATTGGTCTGCTGAGATCCTCGTTTTGTGGTACCTGAAATGTGTTTGAGGTGGTCCAAGTGAAGCCGAGGAGTGACACGTGCATGAAGGGTAGCTGATGCTGGATGCAGATCAGTTGCTGTCGAGGACACCACACCAATCATGTCCAACCAGGTTTGCCTTTGTTTTGAACCGTAGATTCCCAGTTTGGACCGATCAGACATAGCAGACTTAGGTGGTCTGAGTGTTTGCAGTTCAACCAGAAACAGCACGGCACCATCTCACTCTGTGAAGTGAAGGGGACAATCTAATGACTCCCTGCCTTTGCTTTCATGTGTCTGTGCTGTGGATGGATAAAATCCACTTTCCACCACTTGACCCATCCCAAAGGGATGGAAGTGCAAAGACTCTCTAGCCCTCAGGCCACGTGGAGGTCTTTTCTTCGCCCCCCCCTAACGGTGCCTTTGGTTTGCTTTCGAAACCACCAAGCAAGGGGATCGTCAAAGACCACCCGATTTCCGGCATTGACGATCCTCACGGCTCCCAAGTCTTTTCCAATGGATGCTAGTTGGACAGGGCTCCTTAAAAGATACATTTTGCCCATTTGAAACATGGCTTTTTCCACCAAAATAAAGGGACACCACCATTTACAGGGCAATGTTCAGGTGTATAATGTAAGGATCCCTGTTGGAAGCTGATTTTGGGTGCACCAAAGCAGATGTGCCCAATGTTGCGCCTTTCGACCGGTTCCCCTGGAATCGACCCAGGTACTTGAGCCACGACCGGCGAAAGGTCGTCTTCGCAAAGGCATCCGGATTGCACAGGGGTGCGGTGCAGCGTGTTTCTGTTGTGTTTGGGTTCGTTCCTTTGTTCCTTCGTTCCTGCGTTTGTTTGCGGACGTTTGCGGTTTATTTGTTTGTTTGGCCTTGTTTGATTTTCTGATCATTCATTTCTCCCTTTAGATTTTGTGGGGCCAACCCAAGCAAGCGAAAGTCAGACACCTTGCATGGTAGGATCTCCCGCAAGAATCACTTATGTCGTGAAAGGCCGGCGGTTGAAGCACGAAAAGGGCCATGCTGCAAATATGAGCTTAACGTTGCTCTCCGAAAGGAAAAACAAAGCCGGAGAAAGAATGACTTGGTTGGCCGGCCATTGGATGAATTCCGGGCACTTTTATTGCGGCCCATGCGTTCTTGTATGAAGATTGAAATCCTGTTTGGATGGTTAAAGAGAAAGCCAAGGATCCCAAGCGGAAGGATGTCTCAGTGCTTGCCTTCTTTTACACACCCATGTTACAATTTCTTGCCCAGCACCCCAGTTGGTTGCTCCAACGCGGACAGGAATTTTCAATATGAACAACAGACGGAATTGCAATGGATCAGTTTAGGTTGTTCAGGGTAGTTAGCTAATTACTGTTTCGTGGCAACATTGACTGTCCAACATCATGTTCAACCCGGATGGCATTCACGTTGGGGGTCCAACAAATTTGAACCCCCTTTCTGAATTTCAGGTGTTTAAAGGAAACTGTAGTGGATACTCGTAGTTTGTAGGTAGCAATGTGGCCCCAAAATCGTTGTTAGGCTTCTAGCTTCCATTGGAAACCTAGGGGGGTTGAAAGTGGGAAATGAGTCAACGAGCTACCCATTTTCCTAGTAAAGAAGGGGAACCCTATTTAATCAACTAGAATAACATGGTTTAGCTATAAGGGCTTGCCTGAGATCTGGCAAAGGGAAGCCACGCGGGCGACACAGTCAAAACGGGAGGACACGCCGTTCCCTCCGCCTTCGAAGTGGCGAGTCTGAGCCAATGCAACGCATCACAGGCCGAAGAGAGAGACGGGTCCAAGTTGGGACGGGCCATGGGTCAGTTGGTGTTTGTTGCTGAGCCAAACGATTTGCGGTCAAATCGGCTATATTTTCTGTCAAACATACAAGGTCTTTCCAGACCCGTGCTCTTCCGTCGGTACCTGCCAGATGCGAAAGGGGGCAAAAAGGTTGCGACACGCCCTGTCAGGCATTTTGGAACCAAACGCCAATGCGTTTTGACGCGCGGACACATGCCGGCTGGGAAGATCCCACTCTCTTTTTGCTCTAGACCAACAATACTGACAAAACCATGAACCAAGATGCATGCCAGAAACGTGTAAGCGACATGTCAATGTGAGCTGTCCAAGAACAACATAGTCGACCATCTTGAATTGGTGACGGCATCAAGATCTGATCGGTTTGTCAATCATTCAGAGGACTCCTTCAAGAAGATACATGTTCTGTTGGTAGCCGCATACAGAAGAACTTTATCCATTGCTTGCAGCACGGACACACAGACAGAGCAACCGCTGATGAAAGCTAGCTGCAGCTCATGTCTCAAGGCTCCTCGGCCTTTGCCTCAGAGTCTGCCACCCTGTCTTCAACTGGAAAATGGGAGGGGCTTTGGACGTTCGAGACTCTAGAACAAGTGGCTGTGCATCAGTTCCATTGGTTTTTTCGGGGTTGAGAAGACTTGCCAAATCCAGCTGGACGCTCAACCCAGTCCCACTTCTCCGGTAGGGGGAGCTCGCGGAGGGCTTTTGAGCCGTGACCGAGGCTGACATCACCTGGCAGGCCTTTTGGCGAGAGCATGTGAGAGGCGTCAAGGGGCAATGAGCTAAGCAAATGAGCAGAACATGTTTCTTTACCAAGGTGGTTGGCCCCCTGGTTCAACCCCTTAGACTCAAGTGCATCAAAACGGGCCGCAAAACGGGTGATTCGAGCACGCAGACAAACAGAGCTCGAGCCAAATTGGAAAGCAGTTTCCTAAGTCAGCTGGCGTGGGATAGCTTTGCGGAGCGGTGGCGTTTTGTTGCCAGAAAACAACGAGAGCAAAGCTCCCGAGCTTCAGGTGGAGGATGGGGCCCGCCACAACTTCTCGCCGGCCTGCGCGCGGCACGCCAAAGGCCAGTCATGGCCAGTCCCTAAACCGGCGGTCAGACGGCCGAATCTTGGTCAGCCTTTGAACTTTTGGGAGGTGCTTGAAAGCAAAGCTAAAAGGAAACCGCGCTTCTTTTTCTTCGGGAGGGCGGGTTTTTCCCCCATTTGCAGTGAGACTCGGATGGGCTATGTCCCAGTGGACCAAGAAGCATGATGTACAGCCAGGCAAGAAGCCCTGTTTACCTTCTACGGAGGGAACAGGAAATGCTGGGTTTGTGAAGTCGGTATGTTGGGGCTAAAGCTGTTTGTGTTTGAGTGAATAGCATTGGTCTCCCAACTGGCGACAGGAACGCCATTTTAGCCCTTACCCACGGGAAGGGAATGTTGTGGGCCGCCCTACGCTAACAGTATGCGCAGGGACAGTCTCATGGTGGAGTTTGCTACACGATCTTTTATGCAGGTGTTCTCTCAACCAAGGGGCCCAAAGGCCCGAACAGCATGTGAGGTAGGTTGTCACACGGAGATCTGGCCCCTGAAATCGCCTCCCGTCAGCTCCCCCGAAGCCTGAGACCCGACGGCTCCCGTCCACCGGTGCCGCCAGGGCTGTACCTGGCGGCGGCGCCCTGCGCGGAGTTGCCGGGCTGGGGCCTGGGCGACACGGACCTGGGCCTGCGGATGATGGCGCGGAGTCGGGGGAGTCTGGCAGACTGCAGGGCTGGGGGGGGGGCAGCTGGGAGGGGGGTGCCTCTAGGTAAGGATTTGGTCTTGCGAATCAGGCTTTTTAGACGGACCTCAGGGGGGGGAGGGGGGCTGCAGCGGTGGACCTTGGTCCAACGAAAATGCTATGATGGCGTCGGGGGCGACCCAGTCCATGTCTTGAGGCGGTTTTCGAAGCTTCGGAGTGTCCAAATAACACCCCCCCAGACTTGGGCAGAGGCAAAAGGCGACTCCCTGGACAGGACATGCTGAAAGGCCATGGCGTGACACGGCTGACTGGCTCCACAAATTTGCTCTTGAATTGGGGGGACCTTCAGAATAGTCCTGTTGGCAGCTACGTGGACTGTCACAGTTTGCGTTCATGTTGGTTAGTGGACAAGCTTCATGACCAGATCCTTGCTCCAAAAGAGGGGAAGTATGCTGTGGGATGTAACGAGCGCTTTGGCAACTGCTAAAGCGGTGCAAGAGAAGCCGAGTGATGCCAGTCGCTGACATCGTGGCTGGATTTGCTGTGTCAGTCGGGAGCTCAAGGACTTCGCATGGAACAGTTGCGCTGCTTGCTCTTGGGTGTTGACCTTTGATTGTTTAAACCTTTACAAAGGCAGCAGGTTCCCCAAATAGCAGCAAGCTGTTTGGCTTCTTTGTTTTGGTGGGAGGTCAAAGACCAACCCAGCTTGTTGCACCGGGAATGCTCTTGCCTTTGCCGATGTGCAAGATAGCGACTGACAGTGGATGAGGCTCTGACGGGCCTTGCTGGCAATCAGGTGCAAGATCAAGCACGTGCTCTGCATCATGGGGCAGGAGGCATGGCATGCAAAGCGGAAATGTTTTACTTGCCCACTTGCCTGTGGGCCTCCTGCAAGTTCTGACACGACTGGCACCGGCAATGTGATGCTCAGCGCTGCCCCATGCATTTCACGAAGCGGCCCCTTGAGCAAATGACAAGATGGGAAGCTTTTGGTTAAATTGAAGAGGACACGGGATGCGAGACCTATCTTCAACCCTCTGGAAGACCCAGCGGGCCATGCGACTTTTTGCCCATTAAAGATTGGCGGCACAAACTTTTGTCCGGGGCAGGTTGAACGATGGTCAATATGTTTGTCAGTTGGGTTGGCTATGGGACAATGAGTACTGACCGTGGCTCATTTGCTACGAGGATAGGCTCAAGGTAGCAGCACAATCAGCATCTCCACTATGGCTGCCAAGGCACCGGTTGTCGCCTGGGGGTTGGTCTCGCATGTTTTTTTTTGCTTTGGGGCCAATCGGGTTACGTGTTTTGTTGGCCTTCTGGAGTTCTTTTTTTTGGTTTCTCTTGCCACTTTTGGAACGGCCCTCCCTAAGTTGAAGAGTTTCCTCAGGTCTGCTTGCAGGACACAGTCAGGTTTGTCCAGTTCCAGTTCACTGCCAATCTGCGCTATGTTTTCTCAAGGGACTTCAAGGGACAAACACCTGGCATGTTCCCGTTTCTTTTCGCGGGGCAATGCTGAAACTATGGGCGGTTTGGATTGGGTGGCTTGCAATTCACGGGTGAGGTTCAGATTCAGGATAGGAAAGCACCCGGCAAGGATGCAAAATAGAGCCTGCCAGCATGCCTCATTCGTTGTCTCTCTTGTAAGAACGACATCTTCTTTCAAGCGATAGTGGTCTACGGCTCCCCTGATTCGCCTGCTTCCCCACAAAAGGGAACGAGGAACTACCCGCATGCTATCCGCAGTAATTATGACTATCAATTAGAATAGCGCCCCCACTTGTTGTGAGGGTTGGCCCAACCAATGCGAAAATGTCATACAGGAAACAAACCCGCTGGAGAATTCCTAAACTGTCCATCTTCCAGGATTTCGGGTCTATCATGAGAAGAACGGATATCAACCAATTTGCGGAGGGGATATGATCGTAACGGGATGGGTGTACTTGTCAATTCTGTTTGGCACCTCCCAAAAAACAGGAAATCACAGACCAAAGGCAGTCAGCACTTTGTGCCCCAAACCCTTCCCTTTGTAGTCGTTTGGCTGGTTTTTGCATTTGGAGATCGCGACAGGTGCCGTTGTTGCAAGACCACCTGAGTGCTGTTGCAAAGTGGCCCCTGTTGGTCGATGTTGAAAGGCAAACCAAAAGAAACAAATAGGAATTGGCTGCTTTTTTTTTGGTTTCTCATGAAAATAAGCCAAGCTGAACAAGCTTTGGTTTCCCCGCAGGCACCAAGTATTTTGGGGGGAACCGCTGGCTGCTTTTGAGCACCGGCTTCCGAGGAGGCCCCATCTGCCGCGCCCGCCGCGGAATCCGCCGACGCGGCGGCGGGGGCGCCCTCGCTGCGGGAGCCGGAGGCGTGGTTCGCGGGGTGGGTGGAGAGTGGGAATCGCGGAAGGGGCGAAGACTTCCATTTGCTCAGCTTGCGATCGGTGCGATGTGTAGGGAATGAGAAATGGAATGTACCTTCCTTTGCCCGTGAAAGGAAACCACAAAGGATGGTTTTATAAGGGTCATTTCGAAATTCCCTCATTCCCTGCTGAGCACCAGCAAGTCAAGAATATGTGTTAGTTTCCAGTGAATCGATTTCACTACTGGACACATTTTGTATTTTTGTCCAGAGGGCTTCTCAGCAAATGGAGAAAATTGCAGCTTGACTCTGACTCTAACCCTGATCTGAACAAGGGATAATAAAACAATGTTTTTCGAGGGAAACATTGAGGTGGACAGTGGTAGAAACTCTGAAGATGGGTGTTGAGAAATGGCCGTCTCGGGGTGTTCATGAAACAGACGTCGCTTCGTCCGGGCGAGTTGGTCTTGCTGAGGTCCTTCGCGATGCGCCGCCCGCCCCCGCCTGCCACCGAAGATTCCTGGCCGCCTGGCGGCAGCTCCGAACTGCGAACTGCACCTTTTCCGAGCCCTTGACCTCCGCTTGGTGAGGGGCCGGGGTCACCCTGGCGACATTGTTGGCAATCTCAGGCACACCAAGGACTTTGCTTGGCTGAGACACCCTCTTTTGCGGGTCTTCTTGAGCTGTGTGTGTGTGTGCGCATTTCAGGGGTCCCTCAATTTGGGATTTCCAATAGTCTACCCACGAGCAAGCCGTATTTCCTTGAGGTGCCAGGTGCCAGGTGCTGCGGGGTTTCTTGGCACTCGCCCAGGCGAAGGCGCCCGTTTGCCCCAACTGCGGGCTGGAGGAGGGCTTGATCTTTGGGCTTACAGGCCGTCGGGGCCGCGTGGCTCGAGGTGTTTGGGGCTGCTGTCAAGGGATTTGGCCGTGTGCTTCCAGTTTCGAGGGCCAAAGGCAGGGCCTCTCCCCACCCAAAAAGTCCCACCCGAAAACCCATCCCAAAGCTTCGAAGGAGCCTTGGAGGGCCCCCCATCGGCTCCTTTCGACCCCTCCGCTTCGGGTCGCCAGGCTTCGGCTTCCGGGCCCGGGCCCACGAGGAGCGCTGCGCGCAGCGGCTCTCGCGGCGCCACTCCCAGGCCTCCCAGGCGCTCCTTTCGGGCGCGGCCGCGGCCGCGAGCCGGGCGCGGCGGCGGGTTTTTGCTTTTTTTTGGTTGCGTGGGGTCCGACCCTTTTGGGTGGTCCCCTTTTGTGGGGGGGTCGTTGTTTTTGGGTGTTGTGTTGTTTTCTCCATGTCGTTGTTGTTTTCTTGTTTTTGTCTTCTTCTTTTTGTATTTTACTTTTTTTGGCTGCCATGTGTGTCTTTGGCTGCCATGTGTGCTGAGTCAGTGCCTGCCGAGTGATTTTGGTTCTTGGTGTCCCTTTTCGGCTTGGGGCGTCCCTTTTTCGGAAGCCGCGAGGAACCCAACCACTTGTTTGGCATGTGGTTTTTGCTTCCGTGGGTTCAAACCACTTTAGGTTTCACCCCTTGGGTGTGTCGTTTTTTTGGGGGCCCCAACATAGTGGCTTTCCTGGTGGGTTCCCTTGAAGAACCGCAAGAAAGGTTTACCGACTCCAAATAAATGTCGCCCGTCAGGCATGCTCCGCGATCACTTTTGTTGTGATCCTATCGAATCAGTGAGCGTGGAACAAATCTACGTTGGGTTCACGCTCTTGTGCTGATAAGTTGGTTCCAACATTTGGCTCAATCTAATCTGCTTGAATGTTCAACTCATGAAACCTGAACAGCAATCTGCCAGAGCAAACTTAGAGGCAGGTTTTGGCTCTGCAAGTCATCCCACCAACTGCCGCCTCTTTGTGTCTGCACAATTGGGGAGTCTCTTTGTTTTCCGCGTGGATCTTTCCTTGCGACTTTGGATGGGTTCTTCGAGTGGAAAGGGGCTTCAAGACAGGGACCTTGTCCATGCATTTTCTTTCGGTGCGCAAGGGGAGATAAATATATTCTAAGATAATGTCCATTGCCCCGAAAACCAGTGAGTAAAGGGAGTGGAACCAGAGTATCTTTCAAGAGGACACAATTTGGCCCCTGCAAGTTGACCTGGCTTTTCGAAAAAATCTAAGAGGTCCTCCAAAAAGGGATTCCTCTACAAATGGCTCAACCACTCACTCACTCACTCACTCACTCACTCTCACTCACTCACTCACTCACTCACTCACTCACTCACTCACTCACTCACCCACCCACCCACCCACCCACCCACCCACCCACTCACTCCACTAACTCCACTCACTCCACTCACTCCACTCACTCCACCCACTCCACTCACTCCACTCATTCCACTCACTCCACCCACTCGACTCACTCCACTCACTCCACTCACTCCACTCACTCCACTCACTCCACTCCCTCACTCACTCACTCACTCACCCACCCACCCACCCACCCACCCACCCACTCACTCCACTCACTCCACCCACTCCACCCACTCCACTCACTCCACTCACTCCACTCACTCCACTCATTCCACTCACTCCACTCACTCCACCCACTCCACTCACTCCACTCACTCCACTCACTCCACTCACTCCACTCACTCCACTTAGTCCACTCACTCACTCACCCACCCACCCACCCACCCACCCACCCACCCACCCACCCACCCACCCACCCACCCACCCACCCACCCACCCACCCACCCACCCACCCACCCACTAACTCCACAAACTCCACTCACTCCACTCACTCCACTCACTCCACTCACACTCACTCCACTCCACTCCACTCCACCTCACTCCACTCCACTCCACTCCACTCCACTCCACTCCACTCCACTCCACTCCACTCCACTCCACTCCACTCCACTCCACTCCACTCCACTCCACTCCACTCCACTCCACTCCACTCCACTCCACTCCACTCCACTCCACTCCACTCCACTCCACTCCACTCCACTCCACTCCACTCCACTCCACTCCACTCCACTCCACTCCACTCCACTCCCGTCCACTCCACTCCACTCCAGTCCACTCCACTCCACTCCACTCCACTCCACTCCACTCCACTCCACACTCCACTCCACTCACTCCACTCCACTCCACTCCACTCACTCACTCACTCCACTCACTCTCACTCACTCCACTCACTCACTCACTCACTCACTCACTCCACTCACACTCACTCCACCCACTCACTCACTCACTGCACTCACTCCACCCACTCCACTCACTCCACTCGCTCCACTCACTCCACTCACTCCACTCACTCCACTCACTCCACTCACTCCACCCACTCCACTCACTCCACCCACTCCACTCACTCCACTCACTCCACTCACTTCACTCACTCCCTCACTCACTCACTCACCCACCCACCCACCCACTCACCCACCCACCCACTCACTCCACTCACTCCACTCACTCCACCCACTCCACTCACTCCACTCACTCCACTCCCTCACTCACTCACTCCACTCACTCCACCCACTCCACTCACTCCACTCACTCCACTCCCTCACTCACTCACTCACTCACCCACCCACCCACCTACCTACCCACCCACCCACCCACTCACTCCACTATCTCCACTCACTCCACTCACTCCACTCACTCCACCCGCTCCACTCACTCCACTCACTCCACCCACTCCACTCACTCCACTCACTCCACTCACTCCACTCACTCCATTCCCTCACTCACTCCACTCACTCCACTTACTCCACTCACTCCACTCCCTCACTCACTCACTCACTCCACTCACCCACCCACCCACCCACCCACCTACCTACCCACCCACCCACCCACCCACCCACTCACTCCACTAACTCCACTCACTCCACTCACTCCACTCACTCCACCCACTCCACTCACTCCACTCACTCCACTCACTCCACCCACTCCATTCACTCCACTCACTCCACTCACTCCACTCACTCCACTCCTGCCTCACTCACTCACTCACTCACTCACTCACTCACTCACTCACTCACTCACTCACTCAGCCACCCACCCACCCACTCACTCCACTCACTCCACCCACTCCACTCACTCCACTCACTCCACTCACTCCACTCACTCCACTCACTCCACCCACTCCACTCACTCCACTCACTCCACTCACTCCACTCCACTCCACTCCACTCCACTCCACTCCACTCCACTCCACTCCACTCCACTCCACTCCACTCCACTCCACTCCACTCCACTCCACTCCACTCCACTCCACTCCACTCCACTCCACTCCACTCCACTCCACTCCACTCCACTCCACTCCACTCCACTCCACTCCACTCCACTCCACTCCACTCCACTCCACTCCACTCCACCTCCACTCCACTCCACTCCACTCCACTCCACTCCACTCCACTCCACTCCACTCCACTCCACTCCACTCCACTCCACTCCACTCACTCCACTCACTCACTCCACTCACTCCACTCACTCCACTCCCTCACTTACTCACTCACTCACTCACTCACTCACCCACCCACCCACCCACCCACCCACTCACTCCACTCACTGCACTCACTCCACCCACTCCACTCACTCCACTCGCTCCACTCACTCAACTCACTCACCCACTCACTCAAGTTCGCACGGGGCCTCTGTGGGACGGCTCAACCCCCTGGAACCTGACAGACGGGTGACCGTCTGCGAGAGGAACTTGCCCCAGTTGCTTTTGTTCGGACGCTGAGTGCAGCGCCTCAGGGCACCGCGCCCTCCTCCAGCGGCGCCTTCCAGTCCTGTCAGCCGCGGAGCTCGATGGACACTCAGGCACCGGTTTGTGGGCGTGTTGGGGCAAACGGGTGGGAGTGGGTAAGCACGAGGTGAGGGATAGGTGGTTCTTTGTGTCGCAGTGAATTTTCCGTTGGACCCGCCAACAGCTGAACTTCTTGTGCAGAGGGGCCAACAGCAACCAAGTTTGGGACATGTTGAACAGCACATTGACCAGCGGGTTTGCAGGAGCTGCTTGTGACTTTTGAAGGTATTTTTTGGTGGGGGGTGGGGGGCGGGGGGGCGGGTGGGTGGGTGGGTGGGTGGGCGGGCGGGAGGGCGGGCGGGTGGGTGGGTGGGTGGATGAAAAAAAGGAAATCATGTCGCTTGTCATGGGTGTTTATTCAGCGCAATGAGTTTTTTCTTGGCAAAGACTCCACAAAGCCTGACTGATAGTCAGTGCCGATAAGAGGAAGCGCGCAATCGCAGAATATAATGTTAAATGGCAAAGTTTTGATCAGCGTGCCTTCAGCTGCTTTTCCGGGGGGCAGGGTGGGTGGGGGGGGCTGGTGGGGGGGTGGGGCGGGTGGGTGGGGGGGGGGGGGAACATGAACAATTCGTGCAACCAAATCTACCCGCGCAGTGTCCATCACTTGCGGGGGGAGGGCAAAAGCAGGGTTGGGGGGGGTGGGGGTGGGGTGGGCTGAGGGCAGGGGTTGGGTCACACTTGCAATGTTTCATGATTCATGATGGTTCGTGACAGCTCCAATTGGCTTGAGAATTGACTTCTGATGGAGGTTTGTTTTCAGTTGGGTCGGTCCAAAGGTTTTGCGAAAGAAGGGGGGTTGAGCCGCCTCATGATTGCAACACGGTTTGCAACCTTGCTGGGCACGGTGAAAGTACGGGGAAATTAGGCAGCATTTTCAGCGTACCTTTTGGGAAGGATGGGTTAGGGCGACGACGATAGGATGGGGAGGAAAGATGGGAAAGGGAATGGATTTTTGGCCTACCTCCCGTTCTATGCAAAGAGATTGTGGCTGATCTATTTTGGGCTCCAGAGCGCAACTGTTGGTTTGCACTTTTTGCTCGGGCTTTGAAAAGGGGACACGCAAGCTACCGACCAAAAGGTGCTCCCTCAACAAATCAGCTGTCATAGCTTTTCCTGGCCAACCTTGTGAATGAACCCAGCTCAGGAGTGCAAAAGAAACGGGTTGATGTGGACTCTGGGGGAAGAACACCCTTCCTTGTCATCAATTGGCAGTGGCTCAAAAACCGGTGCCAAAGTGGAACCCTGGTAAATGGAAACAAAGACTGGAACCTGCATAACCCTACCTCTCTAATTTTGAGCCAGACCCAATTGTGCGCACGAAGCTTGGGCTTGCAAACCCAGAGGTGCTAAAAGCCCTTCAAACTGATAGCTCGGCGTCACGGTACCGAATCCAAATGAACAGGTTTGACCATTTTTTGGCCAGCATGAACAGCTGCCATCCTTGCGAATCGCCGCGTGCGATTCTCCTTGAAGCTCTAGTGGTCCTTGCAACAAGAGCAGTCTTGGAGCAAGGTCAGGAGAGACATGAGCTCCCGCCTCATCAGACGGGTTTTCAGCCTCCTCCGAATCCTTTGTGCCAACCGAACCTTCGAAGACGAATCCAGGATCTGAACATCCACGTCCAGGCTCCGACCTGAGAGGAACAGGGTTTGGCTTAGGTTGGATTTGTTCGGGGGGTTGTCAACGTTACTTCCATTGGCTTAAGAAGAGTTACTACTAATCACTACTACAGGAAACCATTGATTTTTTTCTGGCTTAGGCAAACAGAAGATGAGAAGATGAAGCGTCCTGTTTGGTCTCTCCCTAGGCGGCGCCTTGACCGACACCACGGCTTTCTTGCAAAAACAGACGGCGAAACACTGAAAAGACAAACCCCCATGGGTAAGGCAAAACCAGAAGCACAACTATTCTGTGTACATTGTGGTAATATGCTCACTTGCACAAAGCCGACCTTCGAGAAATTCGAGCCTTTGGTTTCCCTGATTTGGTCCATTTTGGTCATGACCCCAAAAGGTTCGCCTTTTACTTCCAGGTCCTTTGGGCAGCGTTTCTACCACTCGTGGTTTCTTCGGGTGGGAAGAGCGGATTTCGGCCGCGAGAAAGATGAGCAACCCGATGTTCGCGCGTGCAGGCAAGAGGTTCCAGGCAGGTTTGGACGGTTTGGAGACTGGCCAATCTCAGAGCTATCCTTTGACCAACAAATCGATTTTCCATGCGAGTCGAACTGGGTGGACCTGAACATGAAGCCCAACTGAGCGATGTTTGGGTCTGTGGAACACAGCAGCTCAATGGAAACCAAATATAGAAGCCAGGAGTCCAAACATAATCAATGCGGCAAGCTGAATCATTGCCACCAAGCCGACACAGAGTCAGGAGCAAAGCGTGCCGTGGCTGAGGCTGCTGCTGAGGCCGTGGCCGAGGCGAAAGCTGAGGTGACAGCGGAGGCCGGATGGAGGGCGGGCGTGCCTTAGTTCCTTTCGGCTCAGCACGGCACAAGGCTGGTCATTCCGAACATTGTTCACACATTTCTGGCAGAATGCTCCAGGCTGCTCGTGTGACGGAAGAAGTCAAGAGCAAGGTCGCGGAGGTTGCGCCCAAGGCGGGGTGTGGGCTCGAAATGCTAAAGGCAGGTCAATGCTCAGGGCTCGAGTAACTTGGTGTGGCAGCATGGGAGGCGACTGGACAGATGCCTAACCAGCCATAGCTAGCGTTCCTGAAGATCCAATCTGCATGAGCATCAAACAGCACGGGGCCACGCTAAACCTTGAACAAGCTAGGTGGGGCAAGAGGCCAGATTCTTGCGGCCAGGCCGACGCAGAGTCGGAGGCAAAGCAGGCGACCGGTGCCGTGGCCGAGACCGCTGCTGGGGCTGTGGCTGAGGCGAAAGCTGAGGTGACAGCGGAGGCCGGTTGCGGGTGCTCTGACATTTGGCTTAAGTTGTTTGTTTTGTCAGATCTTTGATATTGTGCACCAAGCCTAGTCATTGGGGCAGGAGCGTTCCATTGATGGCTTCATATTTGCCTTTTGTGGAGGGCGACTAGAAAGACGGCATTGCGGGGCCCCCACCCCACTCCTTGTTCAAGTTATTGTTTGTTCAGACATGTGGCATTGTGCTCCAGGTTGCGCGTGTGACGGAAGAAGTCAAGAGCAAGGTTGCAGCGGTTGCGCCCAAGGCGTGGCGTGGACTTAAGATGCTGAAGACAGGCTGATGTTCATGGCTGGCTTAAGTAGTCGCGCAAGACTCGACTGGACAGATGTCTGACCAGCGTTCCTGAAGATCCCAGTTTGCACGAGCATTAAACAGCACGGGCCCGCACCAAACCCTGAACAAGCATTGAGACGGTGCTGGGGGGGGGGCAAGATGGTAGATTCTTGCGGCCAGGCCGACGCAGAGTCGGAGGCAAAGCAGGCGACCGGTGCCGTGGCCGAGACCGCTGCTGAGGCTGTGGCTGAGGCGAAAGCTGAGGTGACAGCGGAGGCCGGTTGCGGGTGCTCCGACATTTGGCTTAAGTGTTTTGTTTTGTCAGATCTTTGATATTGTGCACCAAGCCTAGTCATTGGGGCAGGAGCGTTCCATTGATGGCTTCATATTTGCCTTTTGTGGAGGGCGACTAGAAAGACTGCATTGCCGGGCCCCCACCCCACTCCTTGTTCAAGTTATTGTTTGTTCAGACATGTGGCATTGTGCTCCAGGTTGCGCGTGTGACGGAAGAAGTCAAGAGCAAGGTTGCAGCGGTTGCGCCCAAGGCGTGGCGTGGACTTAAGATGCTGAAGACAGGCTGATGTTCATGGCTGGCTTAAGTAGTCGCGCAAGACTCGACTGGACAGATGTCTGACCAGCGTTCCTGAAGATCCCAATTTGCACGAGCATCAAACAGCACGGGCCCGCACCAAACCCTGAACAAGCATTGAGACGGTGCTGGGGGGGGGGGGCAAGATGGTAGATTCTTGCGGCCAGGCCGACGCAGAGTCGGAGGCAAAGCAGGCGACCGGTGCCGTGGCCGAGACCGCTGCTGAGGCTGTGGCTGAGGCGAAAGCTGAGGTGACAGCGGAGGCCGGGTGGTGGGTGCTTCCACATGTGGCTCAAGTGTTTTGTTTTGTCAGATCTTTGATATATTTTGATATATTTTGATATTGTGCACCAAGCCTAGTCATCACCACCCGATTAAGCATGGAATTTGAGCAGGGGCGTGTCCCTCAGAATTCCATCGATGGCTTCATTTTTTGCCTTTCCCGAGCGAGACTAGAAAGACGGCATTGGGGGGCCCCCACCCCACTCAGAGAAAGGTTGGAGGATGTGTGCTCCAGGTTGCGCGTGCGACGGAAGAAGTCAAGAGCAAGGTTGCGGAGGTTGCGCCCAAGGCGTGGCGTGGACTCAAGATGCTGAAGACAAGGTTGATGTTCATGGCTGGCTTAAGTACTCGCGCAAGACTCGACTTCTGTCTGACAAGCGTTGGTGAACAAGCAAGGAGGCTGTTCTATGTTCTAGGTGGGGCAAGGGCAGATTTTAGCGGCCAGGCCGATGCAGAGTCGGAGGCAAAGCAGGCGACCAGTGCTGCAGCTGAGGTGACAGCGGAGGCTGGGTGGTGGGCTGGCGTCCAAGGTTCCGTTTTGGCTCAGCGCGGCAGGTAAGGCCAAGAGGAGCAATCGCCGTTTCCGGAATTTGGCTTTAGTGTTTCTGTCTTGTCAGATTTTTCACGTTGCCTGTCATCCGCACCGCTTTAAAAGTGGCATTGGGGGGGCGTGTCCTTTGGAATTTCATTCCCTTTTTCCTGTTCCCAGCAAGACTAGAACAACATAGAACAACGGCATTGTCGGAGCCCCCACCCCACTCCTTTGAAGGTGGGAGGGCTGCCTGGTCTTTCAAGGCATCGCTTGTTCAGACATGTGGCATTGCGCTCCAGGTTGCTCATGCGACAGAAGAAGTCAAGAGCAAGGTTGCGGAGGTTGCGCCCAAGGCGTGGCGTTGGATCAAGATGCTGAAGACTGGTCGATGTTGAGGGCTCGAGTGGCTCAAGTAGTCGCGCAAGACGCCTGGCCATGGTTCCTGATCCCAATTTTCATGAGCATCAAACAGCGCGGTCCCACACCACACCCTGATCAAGCAACGAGGCTGTGCTTTTTGGGGCAAGAGGGCAGTTTTTTGCGGCCAGGCCGACGCAGAGTCGGAGGCAAAGCAGGCGACCGGTGCCGTGGCCGAGACCGCTGCTGAGGCTGTGGCTGAGGCGAAAGACGAGGCGACCGCGGAGGCCGGGTGGTGGGTGGGCGCGCCGAGGTTCCGTTGTGGCTCAGCGCGAACGCGGCAGGTAATGTTGACCCCGGATTATTGAACCCCTCTTTATTTATATGGTGGTGTCCCTGAGTTTTAGTGCGGATTTCTCACGTTTGGAGGGGAACACCCCATACTGGAATAAACAAGGCTTTATAAATCCGGGGTCAGCATTAAGGCCAAAAGGAGCAATGGCATTTTCTGGCATTTGGCTTTAGTGTTTTTGCCTTGTCAGATCGTTGACATTGGGCACCAAGCCTGTCATCCCCACCGCTGTAAAAGTGGCATTGGGGGCGTGTCCTTTGGAATTTCATTCCCTTTTGCCTGTTCCCAGCAAGACTAGAACAACATAGAACAACGGCATTGTGGGAGCCCCCACCCCACTCCTTTGAAGGTAGGAGGGATGCCTGGTCTTTCAGGGCATCGCTTGTTCAGACATATGGCATTGCGCTCCAGGTTGCTCATGCGACAGAAGAAGTCAAGAGCAAGGTTGCGGAGGTTGCGCCCAAGGCGTGGCGTTGGATCAAGATGCTGAAGACTGGTCGATATTCAGGGCTCGAGTGGCTCAAGTAGTCGCGCAAGACGCCTGGCCATCGTTCCTGATCCCAATTTTCATGAGCATCAAACAGCGCGGTCCCACACCACACCCTGATCAAGCAACGAGGCTGTGCTTGGTGGGGCAAGAGGGCAGTTTTTTGCGGCCAGGCCGACGCAGAGTCGGAGGCAAAGCAGGCGACCGGTGCCGTGGCCGAGACCGCTGCTGAGGCTGTGGCTGAGGCGAAAGACGAGGCGACCGCGGAGGCCGGGTGGTGGGTGGGCGCGCCGAGGTTCCGTTGTGGCTCAGCGCGAACGCGGCAGGTAATGTTGACCCCGGATTATTGAACCCCTCTTGATTTTATACGGTGGTGTCCCTGGGTTTTAGTGCGGATTTCTCACGTTTGGAGGGGAACACCCCATACTGGAATAAACAAGGGTTTATAAATCCGGGGTCAGCATTAAGGCCAAAAGGAGCAATGGCATTTTCTGGCATTTGGCTTTAGTGTTTTTGCCTTGTCAGATCGTTGACATTGGGCACCAAGCCTGTCATCCCCACCGCTGTAAAAGTGGCATTGGGGGCGTGTCCTTTGGAATTTCATTCCCTTTTGCCTGTTCCCAGCAAGACTAGAACAACATAGAACAACGGCATTGTCGGAGCCCCCACCCCACTCCTTTGAAGGTAGGAGGGATGCCTGGTCTTTCAGGGCATCGCTTGTTCAGACATATGGCATTGCGCTCCAGGTTGCTCATGCGACAGAAGAAGTCAAGAGCAAGGTTGCGGAGGTTGCGCCCAAGGCGTGGCGTTGGATCAAGATGCTGAAGACTGGTCGATGTTGAGGGCTCGAGTGGCTCAAGTAGTCGCGCAAGACGCCTGGCCATGGTTCCTGATCCCAATTTTCATGAGCATCAAACAGCGCGGTCCCACACCACACCCTGATCAAGCAACGAGGCTGTGCTTTTTGGGGCAAGAGGGCAGTTTTTTGCGGCCAGGCCGACGCAGAGTCGGAGGCAAAGCAGGCGACCGGTGCCGTGGCCGAGACCGCTGCTGAGGCTGTGGCTGAGGCGAAAGACGAGGCGACCGCGGAGGCCGGGTTGTAGGTGCCGGTGTGGCTCAGCGCGAACGCGGCAAGTAATGTTGACCCCGGAATTTTGAACCCCTCTTTATTTATATGGTGGTGTCCCTGAGTTTTAGTGCGGATTTCTCACGTTTGGTCCCCACCCCACTCCTTTGAAGGTAAGGCATCGTTTGTTCAGACATAATATGGCATTGCGCTCCAGGTTCCTCATACAACAGAAGAAGTCAAGACTAAGAGCAAGGTTGCGGAGGTTGCGCCCAAGGCGTGGCGTGGGATCAAGATGCTGAAGACTGGTCGATGTTCAGGGCTTGAGTGGCTCAAGTAGTCGCCTGGCCATCGTTCCCGATCCCAACCTGCATGAGCATCAAACAGCGCGGTCCCACACCGCACCCTGCTCAAGCAATGAGGCTGTGCTTGCTGGGGCAAGAGGGCAGTTTTTTGCGGCCAGGCCGACGCAGAGTCGGAGGCAAAGCAGGCGACCGGTGCCGTGGCCGAGACTGCTGCTGAGGCTGTGGCTGAGGCGAAAGACGAGGCGACCGCCAAGGTGACAGCGGAGGCTGGGCGGCCGGCGGGCGGGCCGAAGCAAAGGGGTTGTTAGATGTTGTTAGATTTTAAGTGACATCCGACCGCCGCAACCAGCCCTCCAGCCGACAATGCCTGTGACAGACAGCTGCGACAGAGCCTGTGACAAACACAAGACAGAGTGTGACAGTTGGGACAGACAGCTGCAAAAGCCCGAAGCCGATGAGCAAGATTGAGCGCTTAGACTTGCTTTGGTGCGGGCAACCCTTGGCCCACGCGGTCAGCTGACTTTTCGCTTGCATCAGCCCATGTAGTTGGATCTTGGCGTGTCCGTAAAAAGGCTTGCTTGGTCCGTCGAGGAATCGGAGTGCCCGGATGAAGGGAATCCCCGCCAAACATGGTGATTTGGTAACCGCTAAGGCTAAGGTCGCTGTCGCTGTTCTTGGAAGGGTCAGGCAACAGGGCTCACTAGTGATATCTTTGCACAAACTCTAGGCCCTACAGCAGGCGTGGCACACAGTGTGACTCGAAGGCTGCGTGTGTGTTTTTTGCACAGCGTCTCATGCGTAGGCCACCTCTTCAGCCCAGGCTACCTTGGCTCCGAGTTTTTTTGCTGCGCGTGATGTTTTGTTTTGTCACGCCTCTGAAATTGGGCGCAAGTGTAGTCACCTCCACCGTTTTAAACGTGGGGTTGGGGCAGGGGCGTGTCGTTTGGAACAAAAAAGAGGCAGCGATCCGAGCATTGTCGTGAAGGTGGGAGAGATGCCTAGCCTCTCAAGGTACATCCTGTGTTTTTTTGCATGTGCGACGGAAGAAGTCAAGAGCAAGGTTGCGGAGGCTGCTCCCAAGGCGTGGTGGGCTCAAGATGCAGAAAACAGATGTTCAGGGCTTGAGTGGCTGAAGCAGCTTAGCCATCGTGCCTGAAGGGCCCAACCTGCATGAGCGTCAACCAGCCCGCCGCGCAACACCCTGAACAGCAACGAGGCGGGGCAAGATGGCAGTTTTCCCTGCCAGGACGATGCGGAGTTGGAGGCGAAGCAGGCCACCAGCGCCGGGGCTGAGGCCAGCGCTGAGGCTGTGGCTGAGGCGGAAGACGAGGCGGGCGCCAAGGTGACAGCGAAGGCCGGGTGGCACGCCCGAAGTTCGTTCTTTGCTTCGCGCAGTAGGTAAGGCCAGAAAGAGCAAAGGTCTGTTCCGACATTTAGCTTTAGCTTTTTTTTGGTCTTCGAAAGCGTTGCGCGCCAAGCGCAGTCATCCACCCAGTTCAAGGCACATGTGGAGCACCATTGATGCAAAAGCAACGCAAAGACGCTCCCGCTAAACACAAAATTTTAAATATACGTAAGAGACAACTGCCACTGCCCCAGTTGCGCTAGGCCAAGAAGCTGAAGGCAGCGAAAAACACCAACCAAGCAACACAACCAAAACAGAGCCGAAACAACAAGCAAACACCAAAGATGCTAGATTTTTCCGGCCAGGCCGACGCAGAGGCAAAGCAGGCGACCAACGCCATGGCTGAGGGGGCCGCTGAGGCTGTGGCCGAGGCAAAAGACGAGGCGAGAGCGGAGGACAGGTGGCTGGCGGGCGCGAAGTTGGCGGAGCAGTAGGGGGCTGATCCCACGCATTTCTGACATGTGTGACGTTTCTCGAAGGTGAGACTTTTCCTCAGTTTTTGTTGTCTCGGCCTGCGCCGTTGTTTTGTTGCGCTGCTTCTGCGCGAGGAGGAGCCCATGAAGACGGAGGCAGCGCCGCTGGAAGAGCCCAAGGCTTTTTCGCGTGCGCGGCGCATGTGTGTCAGTCTTTGCGCGCGCGCGTTGTGTGTGTGTGCGTGTGGGTGCGTGGGCGCGTGCGTGCGTGCGTGCGTGCGTACGTGCGTGCGTGCGTGCGTGCGTGCGTGCGTGCGTGCGTGCGTGCGTGCGTGCGTGCGTGCGTGCGTGCGTGCGTGCGTGCGCGCGCGCGCGTGTGCGTGTGCGTGCGCGTGCGCGTGCGCGTGTGCGTGTGCGTGTGTGCGTGTGCGTGTGCGTGTGCGTGTGCGTGTGCGTGTGCGTGTGCGTGTGTGCGTGTGCGTGTGCGTGTGTGCGTGTGCGTGTGCGTGTGCGTGTGCGTGTGCGTGTGCGTGTGCGTGTGCGTGTGCGTGTGTGTGTGTGTGTGTGTGTGTGTGTGTGTGTGTGTGTGTGTGTGTGTGTGTGTGTTTGTGTTTGTGTTTGTGTTTGTGTTTGTGTTTGTGTTTGTGTTTGTGTTTGTGTTTGTGTTTGTGTTTGTGTTTGTGTTTGTGTTTGTGTTTGTGTTTGTGTTTGTGTTTGTGTTTGTGTTTGTGTTTGTGTTTGTGTTTGTGTTTGTGTTTGTGTTTGTGTTTGTGTTTGTGTTTGTGTTTGTGTTTGTGTTTGTGTTTGTGTTTGTGTTTGTGTTTGTGTTTGTGTTTGTGTTTGTGTTTGTGTTTGTGTTTGTGTTTGTGTTTGTGTTTGTGTTTGTGTTTGTGTTTGTGTTTGTTTGTGTTTGTGTTTGTGTTTGTGTTTGTGTTTGTGTTTGTGTTTGTGTTTGTGTTTGTGTTTGTGTTTGTGTTTGTGTTTGTGTTTGTGTTTGTGTTTGTGTTTGTGTTTGTGTTTGTGTTTGTGTTTGTGTTTGTGTTTGTGTTTGTGTTTGTGTTTGTGTGGCTCATTGCGTGGGCGTGTGTTTGTGCGTGCGTGTGTTTGCGTGTGTGGTGTTTGTGTGTGTTCTTGTGTCGTAAATCCCCAGGCCAGGTCAAGAAGGCCTGTAGAGTGCCATCGTGTAAGTCTTTCTCACACAAACACTCAAACTGTGCCAGATTGAGCCTGTGAGAAAGTAGGGGCCCTAAAGCAACTCCAGCAAGGACGCCATCAAAACACACACACACACAAAGACACACAAACACGCCCCCACACACCCACACGCCCACACGCCCAAGCGCCCACACCCAGACATCCACACGCCCGCATGCAAACGTACATTTGTGATATCCATTTTTTGCCCGCTGAAGGGAACCCACGCTCGCACAAAAAGGAGCCCGGCCGGGTGAGCGTGGAAGGGTCCTCTTTACCTTGAGCGCATTTTCCTTCGTTGTAGATGGGTGTGGCTCAAAACTAACAGCTGGGCTACACTGGTCTTAGTCTTTGTTTCCATGTACTACATTCCTTATTGGGTACCATTTTTTGAGCCTCAGCCTGAACAAAGCAACCAGCAAGTTTAAGGGACGCACAGAACCAATCTCGCCAATTTTTTTCCTGGAACCGTGGACGGCAGACTCCTCGTGTCTCGTGTCTTGTGTCTTGTTTCGGTGTCTTCGATGCCAGTACCAATAACCGCCTGGTGGATTGATTCATGGGTTGATCCGCGCGTCTATCCACTTCCCCTCGCGGGCAGTCCATGTGGATGTTTTGATTTTCTCGTAAGGCCAAGGTGTCTCTAGCTGTGTTCCAGGCTTCCAATGGGAGGCAGCACGTGTCTTGGAGCCGCGTAGGCAGAAGAGAAAGATGAGACTCGGAAGCAGCCGGAGGCAGAGTCGCGCAAAAGCCTAGGCAGCCTAGGTTGGCGTGGTTGATGGGTACGGATGACAAACTCCCGCGGGGTGTCCACTTTGAATTGGGATGTTTCCTACCAGTTGGGCAAGTGCAAAAGTTTGCAGGTTGGTCTCTGGAACCAGCCCAGAATCGTGGCTTTGGCACGTGGATCTTCAAATAGGGGAACCTCCCAAATTGCTTCGGTGTCCCTTTCAACCAAGCCCAAGAAGCTTACACTCCAAGAGACTGCTCCATGGCTGCAATTCTGGAGAGGTCAAGGAGGGCAAGGAGGGCATGGAGGCAAAGCCCGAGGACTGCCAATATGTTTTCGCGAGCGCGTGGGACTCATAACTTCCAGCAGGAAATCCACAAAGGGACATACGGGGATGGATCAAAATTAAGCCACCAAGGGAGCAGGTTTGGTCCAGGTTGTATGGTTTGGATGCTTGATTCTTGATATTGGGGGTAGCCTTCGTCGACACAGGTTGCTGATTGTGAAGGAGGCATGGCCCTTGTGTCGTGGTTTATCCCATGGAACATTGGTTGCATCTCGTCCTCCAGGACAGATGTAGGGCCAAAGCCCCAAGACAGGCGGCAAAGAGTGAAACTTTGGTGTCATAGATTGTTCATACCCCGTTGACAAATGACTTCAATAGGCTTGCAGTTGTTCATGCCCTTTCTTCACGGTTACCAAGGAACCCAGGGTTTGAACAAGTATGTGGGTGGGTTGAAGTGGTAACCAAGACCCATCCTGCAACCACCGCCTGGCTGTGGCTGCAGGAGGCAGCCAACAAGAAGGAGGCCTGCTGTTTGGATGTTCAGCCCGAGGGGCGACAAGAATGGTATCTCTAAACAAATATACATTACATGGTGTTCATGTTAGATTCATGCAACACCCTCTGGTGGGCGGCCTTTTGATCGTCACTCCCTGAAAACAAAAAACCAGAAAGAAGAAGCGAACAAAAAAAAAAGAGGAAAAACACAGAAGAAAAAAAACGCTTAGAGCTCCGGTGGTTTGACCCACTCGGGGGGCCGAAATGGGTGGCTTATATCCAGAGTCGGCCCTGGAGCCTCAGCGCGAGGCAGCTCCCCCCCGGCTGAGTTTGTGGAGCGGTTTGGCCTTCTGGGCCCCTCATTGACGTGGGAAGGGGAGCAAAGATTGAAACATTTTGGCAGTCAAGTGGTTGGATTTCAACCACTCAACCACTAAAACTATCACAAGCGAAAATGTTTCACATGTTTCCCAACAACAACCGTGTGATTTACTCCTGAGAAGAGACTGCTGGCAACTGTTGAAACAAACTCCGTTTGGCTTGCAGGGAAAAAGACACCTTCCAGGGAAGAACTGTAACTGTTTCAAAGGCAATGGTGCGGCAACCCTGAGTTGGACCCCCCCGCCCCCGCCCGGTTGTGTGTTGGTGGTGCGGCTCAGGGCAAGCAGCCGAAGAAGGCGACGGCCAAGGGCCGAGCCCGCTGATCAGGCGCTGGGCGTCCGAAGAACCAGTGGTTTCGCTTGAAGCTTGTCCCAAGCCTCGTGCGTGTATATGTGTTTTTTTTTTGGGGGCCATCGGCCATAACCGATGCCTCCATTTTGGGGGGGAATGAACACCAATGTGTTCACCAGGGGTACAGGGTTTTGACCCAGCCATATCCTGCGGTTTTGTGGGGGTATCAGCTGAAGGTGGGCCGTCCCAACAGTCGGTTCCTTTTGGCAAGCTGGTTCGCAAGAGAGAGCGAGGCAACTTGAAGAGGAAAGCTGCACTTCTAGTGCCCCCCCCCCCCATTTTCCTCAGAGAGGTCAGGTGCCTTCCTAAAGCGGCCGCTTCTGCAGATCCCTCGATACCCTTTGGGTTTGGAGGGGTTGGGGGTTGGAGGGAAGCACCAAGCTTGCTGGTGCTCAGCAGGGAATCACCTTCCCTTGGGCAGGGCTCCTTAAAAGATCTCCTTTTTGCAACCATTTGAGACATGTTGCTTTTTCAACACCAAAATACAGGGACACCACCATTTACAAGGCAATGCTCAGGTGTATAAGGTAAGGATCCCTGTTAAAAACGAACCGGAACGGGGTCCCCTTAAAGGAAACCACACGGGATGCCTTTTTTTGTTTTTTTCTCGGACATCAATCCACCTCATTCCTTGCCTATCGAACCAGCAAGCAAGACCCTGTGGGGCTTCCGTTTCCGGTCAGGTTACAATGGAACCCAAACCCCATGGCCTCGGACATTTCTGTGTGGCTCAAAACTAAACAGGAGGGGCAAACCGCAGGTTTGGGTCCATGTTTCCACTTACCAGGGATCCATTTTGGTACCGGTTTTTGAGCCACAGCCATTTGATTGCTTTGGGTGTCTATGGGATTTTGTTTTGAAGTGACAGGTTTATTTAGAGCCTCTCTCAGTCTCGGAAGCTGGAGTGCTTAGCATGGAGTCTGTGCAGGTCACCCAGCCCCCTCTCAGCACGAAGAGGAGATTCGCACACTGGCGATGATCGAGTCGATTCTGTCATCAGTCTTGGGTCAGAGTTTTTTGCCGATGTGTCTGCAGTCAAGCTGCTCAATATGTTGCGAGTCGCCTGGGGAGAAGACTCATGCTGACTGCAGGACGCTTGGGTGACTTGGAGGACGACAACAGGCAGTCAACACCCTGGGGGAAGTCCTTCAAAAAGGGATGTTTTTCAAGGGAATCCTTTTTTCCCCTTTTTTTTTTCGAGAGAGACCAAGAGCAAGCCGCCCATTGGTTCACGTTGAAGCAAATACAGTACACGCTCTTGGTCGAGCGGCTCTTCGAGCGTGTGCCGAATGTGATCCATTTGCCAAGATGAGACCTGGCATCGAGTTGCAGCCGTAAACTGCATGGGATCGATCCGTTTGCCAGGCTCCTAATCCAGTTCGGCTGCCTAGTTTGTTCCCCAGCAATGCTGCGGCTGCAGTTCCTAGCGCCGTTGCTGCTGGCGGCAGCAGCCGAACCCTCCCTGCGGGGGGCCAAGGTGGATTGGGAGCCCCGGTCGCGATTCCAACCTTTTTTGTTTGATCGACACGCTTTTTTGTGGGGGGGGGGGGGTTCGGCGGATTTCCAGTAAAATCGTACTTACGACTGTTTGCTGGTGGTGGTGTACCGATCTTTCATAGCAACGGTTAAACATTTCAACCTTATTTTCTGAAGATTGGTGTCATGTTTGCACACGGGTTTCCATTTAATCATGTTGTCCGTTTGATGGTGGGTGTTTCTTCCCTCGATGTTCGTTGTTATGCAAATGGGTGACCCCTTGGTTCAACCAACAATGTTTCCCGGGGAATCGCCAGTGGAAACTTGTTGCAATCGCAGCTGACGCCCGGAGGCTCCGTAGACAAGAGTGGCTTCAGCGTGTTTAAAACCGAAACCGATTCGGGTAGATGAAGTTTAAGGGACAATCCCCTTGCCATAAATGGGTGCGGATATCCGCCTCACCTCAATTCTTGAAGCATGGTTCTGAGTTGAGAACCGTTTAAGCCTTGAACATGGTAGCATGGTACCATTTTACATGGGTAGAGAGTCCATTTCATTCCGGGTTCCGCCCTTATTCTTGTAGCATGGTTCTGGGATTCCGACCAAGTTAACTTCGGGTGTTGAGTTTATGCCCTGACCTCAAGGAGCAGTGCGGCCTGCAGGGCTCCGTCACAAGGGAGGAGACTGAGCGGATCGTCCACGGCCGAGACGCCGACGAGTGCGTTTGGAGGTGGCAGGCGGGGTCCTGAAATACCTAAATAGCTAGAATGGGTTGGGCCCTGATTGCATGGGATGTCTACAAATCTGGGATCTTGTTGGAACTTTACATTCTAAGGTTCACTAAATACTGTGCATGGACGCAATCCTGCACCACCTATTAAAGCCTGGAATGATGATTCCCCTAGACCAACAAACAATGGTTTCCCATGGTTTCAATTTGGTGCAGGATTTTGTCCATCCACAGTATGGACCAGAATTGATGATTTTGGTTGGGGTAAAAGCCGAGGGAGCTAAGGGCTGAAATAAATTGAATTGGTGGTGGTTGATCTAAGAGTCCATCATTCACCAGTTGATTGGGACGGGGTCGACAGAAAGGGCTGTGGCGTGTTGGGTAGGGGGGTAGGGGGGACGGTACTTTCAAGCCAAGTCAAGTCATGAACACGGAAGCAACATGTCAATTTAGCCCCCAGAATTTACCTGAAGGCCCCAAAATGTCCATTGACCATCTTTTCTGGAGCTTTTTGATCGGCTTGGGGAAACATAGGGAGGCGTGTGTGTCAGCCTTCTGGCCCACAGATAGAGTGGGCAAAAACCCAGTTAGATACCAAGCCTGGGCTAGGTGAGCCTCAAGTCCGTGAGCAACGGCCAGTTTTGTGGCGGGACCTTGGTGGAGCCCGGCTGGGTGCTCACTGCCGCGCACTGCCTCGCGGACGTGACCTGGTCTGACCAGAACCTAGGATTCGGATTCCTCGGGTTTTAGTTTTGTTTCTTCTCCCCGGAGCATCAGTTTTCAAGGTTGACCCAAAATCAAAGCATCAAAGCCCAGTTCAATAGGGGGTGTTTCCCTCAAAGAGTAGTCAGATTTAAGTAACCAGAGTTTACTACTAGGGTGCTTCTCGCTGGGTTTAGTGGGGAGTCAGACCACTTTTGGAGGGGACACCCTCAAGTTCTGAAACTGGCGTTGATGAATATGAAGTCAACATCTCACTCCCTGAGTTCCTGGACATTTGTCACTTTTTGGGACGACCATTTTGGTAGTATATACTTGGTGGTTCCCAGCCATCCGCCTTTTAGTGTTTAGTGGGGATTTTCATTTAACCCACTAAAAGTTAAACTGTTAGCGGGGGATCTGAGGACGGCCCAGTAAAGAAAGTTCAAACCTTGCTTGGGCCATGCAGGAAGTAAGTTATGGCTTGTGATTTGACCGTGTACCTGGACTAAGCCTGGTAAGATGACAGTTTGGACCTTCGTCTTTGGATTCCGACTTGTTCACCCCCACAGTCCTTGCAAACCAAACACGGAAAATACTTTCAGCGGACAACCCTTGATTGCATGGTCACCCTTCCTTTTGCCTTTCGACCTGGTTTACCCTTTGAACCTTGTTCAACCCAACCACACCTCTTGCCGGTTGCTAGAATAGTCATGTCGGCCATGTTGAAGATCACATTCTTCTGATTTGGGGGAGCCCGTTTTTTGCTGTTGATCCGCTGCTTTTACTCCTAACCCTTTTGGCGTTTGTATACCTCGCGGCGATTGGAAACCAACCAGAACTTTTGCAGGACCCAGTTTAACATGGGGCGATGTAATGCCGTTTGCACATGAGATGAGATTTGGGGGGGAATGCCCCCCCTTTTTCTTGGAGATAGATGGGTTTGCCACAACCATGTGCCGGAAGCCAGCGGAACTTCCACAAGCTCATGGCCGGCGACTGGAACCCAAGCACATGGCGCGCTTTTCTCAAAACTGGGGACCCCTGATAGGTTGGTTTTCTTCCATCCAAAGAGGGGTCCCTCATTTTGAGAAACCCCATGAGTTGTGGTCTTTTTGAGGGTGCCCATAAAAAAAATGCCTCCGAGGTGACGAGCAACTGCGCGGTGCGGAACCTGCGGGTGGAGGCGGGCAGCTGGCGCCGAAACGAGGACTTGGGCACCTGGGTCGAATGGTTGGTGTCCTGAAAAACGCGCCGTGTGCTGTTCGAGGGGGGGAGTGTGTGTGTGTGTGTGTGTGTGTGTGTGTGTGTGTGTGTGTGTGTGTGTGTGTGTGTGTGTGTGTGTGTGGTTTTTGGCATGAAAACCACCGGATTTCGCGACGGGAAATGTCTCTTTTGGCATGAAAACCATTTCGAAAAAGCCTGGACTCGCGCTTTTTGCGTTTTAGTCAGATTTCAGACAGCCCTGAATGCAGCAGTCCCTGAAAGGCCGTTTGTGTTCTTTCTGACACTTGTCCCCTTTTAGGGGTCCTGACATATAAATTCCCCTTCAAAAGGTTGTTTACACATCCACCTTTTGGCGGATACATTTGACGGGGTTTCCTCTAGGTGGGGTGACGCGTAAATGGGCATATATATTCCATTATATTCCCGGTTTTGCTAGCCTCCACTTTCAATGGTATCCCCCCAACATCCAATCAGCACATCCCCGGCATCTGGTCCGCGGGCTATCCCGAGCCTAGCCCACACCCGACAGGGGGGGGGGGGTAACAGGACCATGGGTGGGAAGGGAGGTAAAACAAGCGGCCTAGGACCTAGACAATATATGAATTTGCGTGCGTGTGTTTTTTGAGGTATCCTTTTTAAGGAGGGTGAGAACAAAAGGGAGACCAAAAGGACACCCACCATGTCTTTTTGGTTCCCCTATCTTGACACATACCCACAAAGCACACTCCAGTGAGCAAGTCAGACTGGAGTAAGGCAAGACCAAGACCTCGGTGGAGAGGAGGGTCAAGAAGATCTACGTGCACCCGCTCTACCAGCAGAAACTCGATTCAATCGATTTGGACAACCGGGAACTCTTAAGCAGTCAAAAGCTCGCCTTTGTTCTGCTATTCTTGCCATGGCCCTTACTTCAATTGCGGACCCTCGTGGACATGTGTGTGTGTGTGTCCCAATGTCCACCAAAAGGTCCGCTTGTGGGTGGCATAAATAGGTTACCCTCAAAATTTGGTTTTTCCTTTGACGTTCCTTGAGAAGCAGCCCAAAAAGGATCCCCGCAAAAACAATTTCTATCTCAGGTTTAACAACCACAAAAGAACCCGGATCCGCCTAGACTCCAAGCTCATCAAAACATGTTTATTATTACACGAGCCATAGGAGCTACTTCTTTACGCAGACCAATGTGGGTCGTTCCACATCAAAGGGACCGGGATTTTGTATCCACGTTTCCATTTCACAGGGTCTTTCTCCACGTCTTCACGACGACAAGGCATCAGCCACCTATAAAGGGTGTCCAGCCATCTAAAAAGAAGAAACACATGTGGGTGTGTTTGTTTCCCCAACAACTGAAAGCTATGGGGTCTTTGCCCAGATACGCTCCGGGGTGGTCCGGGGCGAGGGTTCCGAGGAGGGGCGGTTCCAAGAAGGGTTCCGGGAATGCACATGGCAAACAGACGCATGCTGTTGGGGATATCACCTCCTCCCAAAAAGAACAGCAAAAGAGTTTGTGATGGTTGTTCTGCTGGGTTTCTCTTTAAAATCACAATAAAAAGACAAGGTACCCTCGCAAGACAAGACACACCCATATGGTAAAGCTCTAAAACCAAGCACCCAGGGGCTCGAAACCCACGGTTACGTCTGATTTTTAGTTTGGAGCCACCGGATCTTCCCTGAGGAACGTGCCCCACGACTACGACTTCGCGCTGATTCAGCTGGACAAGGCCATGCCCATCAACGAGTGCATCGGAACGGCCTGCCTGCCCCGGTCCGAGGAGATGCCCGGAACCTCGACCGAAGGGTTCCGAAAAACGGGCTGGCACCGAAGGGTCCTCCAGCGATCGGTGCCCTTGTACCAACTTTGTTGGTCGGGAGGGTTCCCCTACTCAAATAGACTACAGAAGAAAAAAAAGTTGGTACCAACTTATTCGATAGGGAGGGAATGGGGGAATGACCCCTATAAACTATCTGGTTTCCTTTAAGGGAACCGATTCCCGGGTTCATTCCTACATTCCCTACTTCTCGCACCAGCAAGGAAAGGGATACACCATCCCATGACCATAGGTGTCCTTTTAGGTTAGTTTGGTTAAAAACAGAAGGCACTGGTTTAGAGGGGTTTGATTCCATTTACCAGGGCCATCTATTTTTCCCCAACAGCTGAAAGCTTTGGGGTCTCAGCCCAGATAGGCTCCGGGGTGGTCCGGGGCGGCCCTGAGGTTTGTTTCCACCAGGGTTCCACCAGCGTTCCATGAGGGCTGCGGGGTGGTGCGAGCACTAAAAACAGCACCGCATGCTGTTGGGGATATCACCTGAACTTATTTCCAAAAGCAAACCTATGGGAATGACCCCTACAAACCGTCCGACTGGTGGTTTCCTTTAAGGGAACCCCCAAGGTTCATTCCTACATTCCCTACTTCTAGCACCAGCAAGAAAAGAGGTGCGAGAAATTCTGAGATGGGGTTGGTGTTGCCTTTTTCTGAGGGACTTCTCTGAGAGCATTTTAGAAAGGGGTGTCTTTTGTTCAGAGTAGACGTTTTCAGGGTGGGTTAAAGGGAAGCCAAAAGGGAATTACGATGCTTTGGGGTCAAAAACAAAAATCGGGCGGGGGACGTTCTCTATCCGCAAACCAACCCCCGAGGAAAACAGATTAGCCTGAAAGCGGGGGGGGGGGTAAACTTTGGCTGCCGTTGTGCTTTGGGACGGTGTGGCATTTGGTTGAAACAGGTGGACTCTTCCATTGAACCCACAAGAAGTTGAGCGGTCAACCAAGATGAAAGGTCTTTGGGGCCCAGCTTGAAGACAATCTCAGGGAACCGCCCCCAAGATGTCGCGTGTTCGTCCGGTTTGTTACGGTTCAAACGCTTCAAGCAACCCGGAAAGGGCACCCTCAAGAGAGCCAAGTTTGCACCTTCGTTGGGGTAATCCGAAGCGTGGTTCATGGCTTTCATGAAAGACGAAACCTAGTTCCAGCTCCATTTCATAGTTTTTTCCACAACCTCCCCCCCCCCCTCCAAAAAAAAAGCAAAAAACAAACACAAGAAACACAAACCAACCGTCTTTCCCCAAAGAATGGTCACCTTTAGCCCCGGAGCTCCTTCTCGCTCCTTCTTGTTTCTCCTCGCTCGGAGCGAGGCACGGAGTGCAGCATCACGGGCTGGGGCACCGTGAGGTCCATGGGCCCCACCCCGGAGGTGCTGCAGGAGGCCGGGGTGCAGCTCCTGGCCTCCTCCGAGTGCGAGGCTCGCGATTTGGTCCTCGGTCCCGGGGGGGCCGGGCCCCATGGGGCCCCCCGCGTGGCCCCATCGGGCCCCCGGGGTTTTCCTTGCGGCGGGTGCCGGTGGAAAAAGAGGGAGGCGCCGGGGTGTCCCCGCTTCTTTTTGTGGTTGTTATTCGAGAATTGTTTTTGCGGTGGGTTGACCATGCATGTGGGTGGGTCTGGCTAGACTCTTTAGAACTGACAATGTCCGCCTTCCATGGTCATTTGCTCTTCTGATTGGGAGCGAATGTCACATTAGGGCAAGACTAGGGGCCTTCTTGGGCCAGTCCTTTTGGTTTGCTTTCAGTTGCCCTTCTAAAGAATCCTAAAAGGGTTTCAACAAAAAGATACTCATCTGTGCCATGGTCTCAGGAGTCCCTTTCTTGGAGTTGCTGGGGATGGTCATCAGCCCCTTCCGGATTTGGACAACCATCATAAGGATGAAGCTATTCCCATTGCCCATTTTCGGCTTTTGGGAGTTGCCAGGCATAAGAAAGCAGCACCCACCTGTTTGGCGTTTTAAACCCAAGGCGGAACCTCCCGCCATGCGCCGTGCCTTCGGTTTTTCTTTCAAAGGCCAACTACACGGAGACCAGCGACGTCATCACGGGCAGCATGCTCTGCGCCACCGGGATGTCTGACCTGGGCATCACCGACACCTGCCAGGGGGACAGCGGGGGCCCGTTGGCCTGCAAGGAGCGGCGGAGGCGCCTCATGCTGCGGATGGAGGAAGTCCTCTTAGGCACCACTAAGAAACCCTGGGATGATTCGATTCAGCTGTAAATACCAACAAACGGTATGGTTTCCCATGGTTTCAATTTGATGAGAAATGGATTTTGTCCATCCACAGTAGGGCGCTCCAGGGAGGAGTCCTAGAATGGAGGGCCAGGGCCACCCTCCCGACGAACATAGAAGTGCACAGACTCCTGTAGACAGGGCTTTGTGCACTTCCATGTTAGGTGGGAGGGTATTCGTTTTTGGCTTTAGAAGGGAAACCAAAAGCAAGACAAAAGACAGTTTGTAGTCACCTGATTTGTTTTAGACATCCCACAAGCCCCTGAATATGTGACAGGAACACAAAAGCAGACATTGGGCTTATCAGACTTGCCTGTTTGACTCTATGACACTTTGTGGGTTTCCCTCATGGCTGGCCGCCCTTTCGATTCTTTACTTGGTGGCTAGATATTTTTAATCACCAGCTGTTGATGATGACTCAGGTGCGGGATGTAAGTTTTGACGTTGACCCAGGGTTTAGAACATGGTGGATTACAGACAAACTCCCCCATGTGAATTGCCCAACGTCAACAAGCCTCACTGAGACTGGAGAGAAACTTAGCTACCACCCGCAACCGCTTGTTGCCTGTGAGGGTCGTTTGTTTTGTTTCCAGATTCTTGGGGCATCCTAAGCTTAAAGCATGAGCTCGTCAACATGCGACCAAGCAGACAAACACAAACCCGAGACCATGGACATGGGTATTGTGGAAGGGGATGTTGCTGGCTTGCAGATGGAAAGGTGGCGGTGGCTCAACCACACTCAAAGGCGTTTGCCAGATATCGGTTCAGATAACGGGGATCATGATGCTTGTTATTATTTCCATCCATGTTACTATCATTATTCTGATCGCTATAGTTGTCTACCCTGTTGCATGTGCACATCCAAGGCACCTGCCCATGTTGCTGATTCCTCAAGCCTTTTGTGCGAACTGACAAACGCGACCCCTGCATTCCAAAAGCCGCTCGAGCGCGGGAGGAGGATGGGCGCCATGTGCTGCGAGGGGTGACCAGCTGGGGCCAGGGCTGCGCGTTCCCAAACTTCCCGGGGGTCTACAGCCGCGTGCAGACGGTGATGTCCTGGATCGATGACGTGCTGGCGGCGAAGGTGAAGAAGGTCAGCGCGCAGGACGAGCAGGAGTGGCAGGGAAGGGCAGGTTGGTTGGTTTGGTTGGTTGGTAGGTAGGTTGGTAGGTAGGTTGGTAGGTTGGGGACAGTTGGCCCCAATTTCGTGCAGGTTTGAGTTGTTGTTACTTTTAATTCTGGCACCGCACTCCCTCAGGCCAACATGGAAGCTCCGTGTTAGCCTTGGAGCTTCCATGTCAGCCTGGATAAGAGTAGGACTTGCAATGCAGTGATCATCGCAAAGGGTTTTGGATGCAAATCTGCTCTCTTGCCGTGAACCGAGGGGTAGGTCCCAAACGCGAACACACGAAGCAGAGCGTGCTCCGCTCTCTTGCATGGGCAGTTCGAGCTGATCGTTTGACCCGTTTGTGGGGGGCCAGGGACCCGAGGTGCTTTTGCCTTCAACCCACTACTTGGCTGAAGTTGGGTGTGTCCTTTTTTGGGGAACCCATGGGAATCATTTTGTTGGCCGGTTTTAAGGGAACAGCAAAAAGAAAACCACAATTTCGGGGGGTCCCCTGAAAACAGACACGCCATTTACCAATGCTAAAATGCGGGTCCAGTCCATCCAGTGCATGGCGTTGACCTTCTGGCGAGGTTTGAGGGAAGGGAGGCGGCGCGAGGCGTTTTTTTCTTCGGCGCTCGGTTCGCCAAAGGCAGTGCCTTTTGCTGTGGAGCAAAAACGGGTCTGTTTGCAGGCATACCTGTTTTGCTGGGCACTCCCTTGATCGAACGCAAACTTACTTTTGGTGGGTTCCGCATGAATCTGCGTGTGGGTCATTTGGTTGTGTGCATGGTTTTTTGGGGCTGGTTTAAAGAGAAACCTAAAGAAAACCAACCATATGAGGGGCTCCAAAACTTTTGACACCGAATGTCAAGCCCACATGAATCAACCCCAGTTTAATCTTGGGGTTTCCGTAGGTTTAGTCATTTGGAGGGCCCCCTTCCCCCTATTAGCACAAGTTCTACTTAGATTCAGGACCGGGGACACCCCCCAATCAAATGAACCAGGGGCTCGACAGATGATCCGTTACACTCAGATTTCAAGCAACCCTCAATTCGTGGTAATTGGTGCTTGGGCATTTGAAAGTCTGATTCTTGAGGGTAGATGAGCTTCCTAAGCCTAGGAAGCTCCAAGCAGCCCCGGGCTCGGTCCAGCACCAGAGTTTTCCCTTTGACCTCTGCGGGGGATTCGGTGGGGCTCAGGAGCTCCAAGACCTTGGGGACCTGGACTTCCAGGGCTCGATGTGGCAAGTGGTGGAGGGCAAGTGCACCCTGGACGCGGAGAACTGCATCCTGAGCCCCAACTTCCCGGAGGAGCGGTCGAAGAAGCTGCGGATTTTTGTTTTTTGTTTTTTGGGGGGGAGATTCAGGGAAGGGAGTTCTATTGGAGGTCTTTCGGCGGGGAATGTGGAAAGCCCAACAGTTGGAAACCCGCCATGTTGGGTTGTTATTTTTTTTTTGGGGGGCTCCAAGTTTCTCTTTGAGACACGCAGATGCGTTGAACGAGTGGCTCAAAGCGTGACATGGTGGCCCCGGTGGCTTTGACAACCCGTGTAGCATGCATGTCAAGTATTTCTAGGAGTTTGAAAGTTGCAGCTTGATCTTTCTCGGAGTGTTGCAGTTTCGAGTGGTTGGTTATGACGCACATGGGCTACATGTCTGCAGCCTGCAAGTGTAGACCCTGGGGTAGCGCAAGGCCTTGCTTCCCTTTTGATCGCGATTCTTGATTGGTTTGCGTAGGCTGTCGTGGCTGGGTAAACAGTGACTCTTCATGCACTGCAAATATGTCAGACGTGATTAGAGAACCAGGAGGGCGACCCTGCTCGCCACAGCTTATACACCAACGACAAGAAGATATAATACATTTAAAAAAAAGCAAACGATGGGTGCATCTTTGGATGTCCAAGGCCATTCCAAGGCCACTTCCAATCTAAGACACCATCTCCAGCAGAAACCAAGTCCTGGAAGTTCGTCCAACCCCCTGATTTGTGTGATTTATATTGGGAGGGTATATCAGATCCCCACTTCTGTGACTTTTGGGAGGTCTCTCCCTGGGGGGTTCGTGTTTGGGAGCCCGTTTCGCTGTATCACAGATTCGTGGGTTCTATTTCCCGCTCTGAGAGTGCGACCGATGCTAGGGCCTAGCCCGCGGACAGGAGTATGGCACCTCGGAGACCTGCAAGATTGCGGTGAACACGTCCGCAGCCGTGCCGATCCAGGCGAACAAATTTTCAGCAAGTCAGCTCATGCGTGAAGACATGGGTTTCTGCCTCAAAATGGAGGGACCACTCAATAGTTGCCCTTCCTTGTTGTTGTTGTTGTTGTTGTTGTTGTTTTTTTGGGGGGGAGTTCGCCTGGTTCTCCCTTGAAACCAACCCAAGGGTGGCCTCAATACAACCACGCCACACTTCGAAGCGACAGGTGGCCAACTTCTCCACGGAGCTTCGGTTTGACTCCCTGATGTTTGACTGCAAGTACTTCTCGGGGGATCGGGGGCCTGAGGGTCTCGTTCCCCAGGGCGCCATCGCCTGGTCCTCGGACGAATCTGTGGTGTCCAGCGGATGGCGGCTCTGCCCATCCTGATCTCGGAAGATCCCCAAACCCCCCGGTCCGGCCCCCCCTTCCCCGGTTTTTCTAGGGAGGAATGGCGACCAGTTTTCTCTCCCAGTATAGGGTCTTTCATGTTAGACCGTGTTGCATGGAACAGAGAGCCCATGAATTGGGCATGTAAAAAGCTGTAAAGCACTGTAAAGCGGGCATCCCGGAAACTGCCGATCTCCGAGCAAAGATCTGTGCAGTTTCAACTTTTCTTTTTGAGCTGATCTGCAGACGTTCAGAAGCTGAATTAAGCTAGTTCGCTCCTTCGAGCCATTTGCAAGACAGCATAGACTTTGACTGCGCCGAGCGCAAGGGCAAGGCGTGCTGAAATTCGAAGGACTGCCTGGATCTTCGATTGGGGCGTTGCTCAAGTTGGCTGCTGCACAAAGCACAGCGGCGCTTGCTCAACAAAAAGCCCGTGTGGATGGCCAGGACACATGCAGGTATGCAGTAGACAATCCAATCCAGAATCTTGCTCGTGCTCGCCAAAAGGTGCCCCCACTGCGATACCCACGCTGGTCGCAAAATGCGGCTTTGTTTGTGTTGCGCCAAACACACCCAGCTCCCCACACAGTCAGTTTTGTCTGGGTGTGTGAAAGCTACATGGACCAACAAGCCGTCCAGCATATTTTGTGAGACCATACTACGTCGCAAGTGTGTTCATGAAGCAAAGAGCCTGTGACTGCGCAGGTCGTTATTTGGTGGTCTCCTGAGGAGGGGACGGCCTTATTTTTTGCCGCTTTTGCGCTGGCCGGACCGCTCCGTTTGTTTGCACAAGCTTTCAGCCGGTGAGTGCTCGGCTGGCATGTTGCCTGCATCAAGCCATGCTCCGATCGCCGAATACCCCGAAGGATTCGAGTCACTTGGGAGGCGATCAATGTCTCGAAGGGACAAAACGGCTTTGACTTCTCCTATTCGAAGGCTGTGTGTTGGCTACTTCCCGAGTCTAGGATGGCAACCTTGTTTAAGCCCAAAGGCCAACGGTTAGGCTCCGCAGCCGGGGTGGTGAGGGGGGAGGAGCCAACGATTGGGAGGGCTGCGACTGCTCGAGCTCATTTTGGGTGTTTCTCAAAATTGGTGACCCTTGAGGGGCAATTTCGCTTTGGTTTCCCTTTAACACCAGCCAAAAAAGGGTCCTCTATGTTGAGAAACCCCATTTTTGGGTTGTCAAAGCCATGGACCTTTTGACTCTTGCCCGATCATTGTGAGCATGGGGTCCATTCTTGCGACATGCATCCGTACGCATCAAGAGCTTGTAAAGCATCTCAGCGATCGGAGCCCCTCTTGTCGACTTTGCAGATGGGTCGCTTGGACTCCTAGGCAAGAGTGGTCGGCAGTCAGCCGGGTTGGGCGAAAAAGTCAGCTGCTCAAGCATGTTTGATTCACCGTTATTAGAACAACTTATGTAAGTCTGCCGCTGGCAGGTTCTGGTTGCAAATGCCGAATTTGCCCAACCCTGGCAGTCAGGCAGTTGTTTCGTTCTTCGAGGCAGAAAAAGGAAGCCTCGGCCTCACCGCGCTTCGCTGCTTGCCATTCATGCCAGCTTAGCAGACATCAAACAAGCCGAGGGACAGTGACCGTATTGCGACATATCCAGTGCAGGACACCGGAAGGGCACGCATGTCAAAGCATCTTGCATGTTTTTTCTCGGCTCCCCCCTTTGATATTCCCCATGTTATCAAGAAAAACAATGCAAAATCCCCATGTTATCTTGATATTCCCCATGTTATCAACATCCGATTGGCATGATCATACCGAATCAGCCAGCTCCTTGAACTTGGGCGCGTGTCAGGAGCTGGACAAGAAGTTTGGCGAACTGGGTGATGGGGTCCCGGCCCCGGTTTGATGCCACGTTTCCCATGCCTTTTGTGCGCTCAGTTTTGAACCACTCCGATTGATCAAATCTGAGTCCTATGCTGAAGCCGCTCCGGATCTCAGCAAACCCCGCTCCGCGGACGTTTGAGCTTGGCCGGCGCTGCGCAAGACATGGAGGAGATCAAAAATAAATTGACACTTGGGCTTAGTTTAAGCCGTTTAACAAGATCATTTCTCAAATGCCTTTGCAAATTTATCCCCCTTGATTCTTGGTCCTTCTGTATCTCTGTTTGAGACAAGGCCAAAGTCCTCGAGAAACTGGAATCGCTGTCACTGAAGAATTCGCTCGCTCAGGATGTATTGGTTAGCCTTGAAGGCTTCCCAATGGACCTACTCGACCGAAGAGATGTCAAGTGATGGAGAGATTGAGTGGAGCCTGGATTGCGGGGATGGCTGCATCTATACAGCCAAGCTACGACTCCGGGCAACTTGGATCAGATTCCGTATTGCTGCGGGTGTGAGTTCTAGTCACAATGTTAGCAGTGCTCCTTGAAGTGCGGAATGATCGGTATTTGCATGTATTTGCCATGTGGCCGTGGCTCAAAAAACCGGTACCAAAATGGAACCCTGGTAAGTGGAAACATGGACCAAACCTGAGTAACCCCTCCTGCTTAATTTTGAGCCACACCCATGTACTGAGAGGGGTTGCAGCCTTTGAGGTTCAGTCGCTTCAAGAATCTGAGGTGACCGAGCCCCAATTCAGCTCCTTTGATGTGCGAATGCTCGGTGGTGCTCTGCCTGGGGAGTGGCGGATTTACCTCCTGGCGTTTCGCGGCACGGTGGATTTGCAGGACTGGATCACGAATCTGGGTGTCAGGGTCAACTGGGGTCCCTTTGCCAACCTGATGCTGGGAGTGCACTCGGGGTGGCATGCGGCTGTCTCCGAAGAGAGCCTGCACCAAAAGCTGAAGACAGCTGCTGCTGGCCTGGATCATGACCAAGTTCTGCTGGCGGGGCACTCCATGGGGGCAGCTTTGGCCCAGATGGCAATGCTCTTCATGTGGCTTGAGAGCCAAAGCAGAGAAAGCCCACTCTATGCGAGTGAGCTTGTGAAGACTGCCCGCTGTGTCATCTTTGGCAGCCCTGCGCCTTTCGTGCAAAGCAGTCGTCGCAATGTTTCAGCAGAACAAAGGGGCCGGAAAGCTAGGGAATGGATGGAGATGCAGTGTGTCGATTTCATCAACGGCGAGGACCCTGTTCCAAGGCTTCCGTTCAACTTGATGTTTTGCGTCAGCTGGTTAGCATCCTTTAGGCTGGAATTGCCTGAGAATGTGGAATCAGAGCTGCAAAGCTACGAGCACTTGTGCCGCCACATCATCCTGGGACGCGAGGAGACCATCTTCAGCTTCTGTGACCCTGCGGACGATGTTGTGAGACGTGAGGAAGAAGGCGGCAGGGGGAACTCCTCGCAACACCCGCTCGAGAATTACAGCGCCGAGATGCTTGGCAAGCTGAAGGTAGCCCTGGCTGCCGACTCCAAGCCACTTCTTCAGATGGTGTCCTACCGCCCGACGGCAAGGGCGCCAGATCTTGGTCAAAGCCTGTCCGAGCTCCAGATGTCGTTGTCACACCTTCCATCTGACTTGAAAAGGGAATGCCTGAGCCCCTTTCGCAGCATCTTCGCATCAATCCAGACAGTTTCCACATCTCTGCAGAATCTTCAAAGGAGCATGAAGGAGTTGAGAGAGAGCTCGTCAGAGGTGAAGCGTTTACACAATTGTGTCAGAACGCATTTGGAGTGCATTGCCTCCACCATCCGCACGGCGAACAACTACATTCATTGCGATGACTGGAAGATGTTTGAGCGAACCATGAAAGACCTTCAAAGCATGATGGAGCAACATGTGTTGCCAGCCGCGGATCAGCTGGCAGAAGCCATGGGGCAGGCTTCTGAGCAAAGCAGCCTGACCATTCAAGCACTCATTCAGCTCAAAGGACTGGCCAAAGCTTGTGGAATCTTCACTCATGGCATGCGGCGTGCCGTGATGGCAGTGGCTGGTTTTGTCAGTCAATGTGTGCAGCTCGGGCTGGAATATCCTAGGATTTGGATGCTGCTTGCGGTTCTTGCCAGCATTTTGGCTGCTTGCGGGTCGGGCTACGTGATGTATTGTGGCGGCTATGCAGTCGCTGCTGTGACGAGCGTGGTGGGGCAGATCAGCACGCATGGTGCTTGTGCTACCGGTTTTGTTGCGTGGTTGGTGAATGCGGCAGTGCCGGAAGCTATGGTTGCCGGCGCCGCATGTGCTTTTCCAGTGTCTGGAGCAGCAGCCTGGGCTGCTGGGGCTCTGGGGATGCCAACCACTTTTCTTACATATGCTGTTGGTCTGGCATTTACGTGTTTTCTTGCATGCATTGGTTCAGCTGCTGTTGTCAAAGGCTGGAAATTGTTGTTGGTCCGGCTGCTTGAACTTGCCCAGAACACTGGTGTCGTCCCACTGGTGGAGTTGTTGCACTCGATAGATACTGTTTGTGCGCAGCTTGGGCAGAAGGGCTATGACGCTTTCATGACAACCCTCTCGTGGTTCTATGACAGAGCACATGAATGGGTGACATGGCTGCAAGAGGAGTTGGAGCAACTCAAGCGTTTTCTGGAGACTGTGGGTGAGAAGCTGGAGGAAGCCCAAGGCAACTGTGAGACTGTGACACAGAAAATGAGGAAGATCGAATGCAAGACCCGAGAGCTTGTGAGCATGGCGTGCTTCATCACAAACCAGAGCAAAAGTCCAGAAGAGATCGAGCAGAAGAAGCGGGAGTGCAGAGACATGACGCAGGAACTGCTGAACGAGACTGCAGAGATTGAGGGGCGTTTGGGCCATGGTTTTGCCTTGGATTTGGACCCCATGCTTTCCCAAAGCTTTACCCAAGCTGTTGAGGACTTCTTTTCCTCCAGCACCAAGGAGGCTTTGCAGCTCAGGGATGAGCCAGCAAGCTCATCGCATGAAGCGGGGCGTTGAGGGATTTCAAGGCCCCGGAGCTTAGTGTATGGCAGCTGGTAGATCATGGTAGATCTTCACTGGCTGATCGCAACGAAATTTGAAAGACCTTGGCACCCTCAAGCGGTGACGGTCCGACGTTCCCGTGTTCCAAGTTGGCACGGTGAGAAAATCGCTGCTTAGACCTCCAGATTTGTCAGTGCATCTTTGTCGGCATCGTGCTATTCCTGGACTTTGCTGAAACAGAAGGGTTAAACCGATCGCAATACTGGAGGCTATGGAGGTTCTACATGCCCAGCCCACGCGGTTTGGCATCGCAATGCTTCAAACTAGCTGCATGGCTCTCTCTCTCTCTCTCTCCCTCTCTCTCCCCCTGACCTCCCAGAACATGTCCAGAGTTTCTTTCTAGCCATCACCCGTGCTGCGAAGTCATCGCTCTCTTGGCTCAATGCTCCAAGCTTGCAGGGCCCCACGCTTTTCTGTTTGAAGTCAGCAAAAATGGTCGAACAGTAGGCGGCGATTGCGTGTGTTTTCCCTTCTGCAAGTGGTTGGCGTCGTGCTGGCGTTATGACAACGCCGTCGGCGATGTTCGTCGTGTTGTCGCGTGGCTGGCAATGCTATGACTCGAGCTGTCCGCTGCTTTTACGCCACGCGTTGCTTTTCCCGTCGCTCTTGGTGCCTTCTGGCGCTGTCACTGTAGGTTAAGCGTGAGAGGTTGCTCATCGAGAAGCGTGGCTCAATCCACCGGACTTTGGCTTCCTGTCTTGGGCTTCTTTGGGTGGCGACAGGAGATTCGACACCACTAGGGACCCGTACAACAGGTTTGGGGCAAATGTCCTGTAAATGTTTCCGTTAGCTGGTTTCTTGGCAGATGTGTATTCGGAATACGTGTTTCTGGAGCAGAAGGATTGGGTGCAAAGGGAGGGCATGTGCTTAGCGGTGCAATGAGCTGTTTGGCCTCAGCCGTGCCACATGATTATAGGCGGAGCACGGGTCAAGAAATCCAACACGGAGGGTGCCATGTAGCGTTGCCCTGCAAGTCGTGGAAAGATCATAGAACGCTACGTGGCTGAGGGGAAACCAACGGCCACCAGCAGGGAGGTCCGTCATGTAAAGGTACTGAGAAAGGCAAGCCCAGTGCTCACATGCTCGATGCTTTTGCCACAAAATTGCGCACCGCGGCTATGCAGCCTCCTGCAAGGAGGCACAAAGCCCAGGTGAGCCACAATCAAAACACGTAAGGGATAGTCCCAACCAGAAATGGGTGCAACCGCCTTGGTAAGTCTTCACATAATTTTGGGTACCATGTTGGTACCAGGTTTTGAGAATGACTCAGGTGCTGAAGATGTCATTTAGCAAACCACCCCTTTATGCTGTTCCCATGAAAATGCAGCTTACTCAGCATTTGGCGACAGCCGTTTGGCACGGCACATCGCATATGATAAAGCCATGGGCGTGGCAGTAGCATGACCGGTGACATCGCGGCGCCATGCTGTCGCGCGCGCCTCAGCCTCCACCCCCAGGCGGTTTTCGAGAAGGCTCAGGAAGAGGGTCACCATTGTGTCAACCCTAATGTGTTACCCTCCCTTCCACTACATGGCACCTGAGAAAGGGGTTCTTCAAGAGCAATTTGAACTTCCAGGTACCCCCCAATAGTTGCTATGTTAGTCTATGGGAGGGAGGGTAGGTTTATTTGCTGATCACTTTTTTGGCATGGCGTGCTTGTGCGGAGGACGACAACCGGTCTTATGCTGCCATGTTTAGGTGTATTATAGTGAGAAGAAAAACAACTCGGCTCCGGCACCGCTTTGAAAGAAGTCCGAGGCTAGGGCCATTCCTGAAACGCAAGTCTTCCATGACGAATATTATCCAGCCGATTCATGCGAGAACATCACATGTACTTGAGGACGTGTCACAACTCGGAATCCCCTTTTGGAGCACTTTTCGCGGAAATTGGAGAGATTCCTAGCTTAGCACACATGACATGTTCTGCTTTTCGTGTCTCTTCCGGGTTGCCACGAGTTGTGCAAGCCTAGGTATCGCACCTACAACTCGGAGGACGCGGTTTCCCCTTCTCCCCCTCGAAACCGCGAAAGTCGAATACTGGGGTTCAAGATTGCACCAAAAACCAAAAGGTGTCCCCTTGAGTCCCTGAGCAAAAAGAGCATGAACGGTGTTCTCCGTAGTTGGCCGTTCTTATCGGGGGCAACACCTTCAAGCCCACAAACAAGGGAACACCTCAGAGCGACGGTGGAAGCGCCAGGAGCATCGGAGGAGGGCCCTGATCGACAGCACCTCCGCAGGGGGAATGGAAACATTGGGGCCATGGTTGCATACTAGGTGCGGGTCAAAAATACTTACCTCTTAAAAACACAACTTTACAACTTTTTGGGGGTAACATGGGCTATATGTCTGTAAAAGATTAACTTCCCCAATCCTTGGAGTTTTAAGGGGTAAGAATAGGTACCCATTTTGGAACCCTGGTAAATGGGAGCTATGACTATGGCCAGCAGCAGGATGTTTTAACCATTGCACGCCTGCCCCAGTTGAAATCTTGAACTGCCAGGTGCGATCCTTTTGCATCAATACTACCCCGGCCAAGAAGTTCAGCCCACGGCGTGTGTTTGTTTGCGTCTCAAAATCAGGGACCAGCCGGGAGGTTGGTTTCCTTTTGGCGTCCCTTGATGCGAAAAGCGATGCCCGCCAGAACAGTTATTTTCCTTTCGGGTCCTGACCAGCTTTTGGCTGTTGGGCCTTGCTGGGTGCCTCTTTTGGTGAGGAGCCAAACGCGAGATCTGATTTGGATGGCCTTGACATGTCCAGAGCTGTGGTGTGTCCTGAAGGAATGACAAGGCATTTTCCGTTTTCCCCTTCCGGTTTCTCTTAGCTGCTTTTCTGGTTGCGGGGGTCCCTGATGTTACCCTCCCAGAGAAAAATCCTCAAATGGCTGTGGGTCAAAACCAATGGTATGATTTTGGGGTAGGTGAATTCACCACCCATTTTAGAACCTATTTTAGTGAGGGATGTTCACTGAAAGTCCAGGATTCGGACCCATGGCCAAATCCAGACCCCCCCCTCCCCCCCGCTTTCAGCGCGCTCGTTTCATGGGGCGAGGCAAGTGGTACCGCTGCCGCCAGGGCCACGAGCTCCGCACCTTGGGCCGCGCGCTCGGAGTTGGGAGAAAAATCGGCTCGCGTCTGAGAGCGGGGGGCAACGCGTGGCACGCCTTGCTGTAGTATTTGGACCCCCCCACCCGAAAAAGGAACAAAAAAAAGAGGCAGAACGGGAAAATGGCGGGTTGCGGTTTTCCTTCTGGTCTCCCTTTGTTAAAATCCACGAAAACGGGGTACCCTGAAAAGAAGGCACACCCATATGAACCATATGGAAAAGCTCCAAAACCAACCAACAGGGAGGTCACCACGATTTAAAGGTCTGATTTTTAGTTGGTTGTTCCCACCAGCGGACATCATTTACGCGGATGTCGACGTCCACCAAGCTTTTCGAGGGTTTCGCAACCATGGAACATCACGCGCATGTGTCTTGGTATAAGGGAGCTCCCTTTTGGCCTGGGTTGCCTGGGACACCAAGAGGAACCCCCTTCCGTTTCTGGGGCCATATGTTTGAAGGCTGGCTGGCCACTTGCTGGCTGGCGGAGGCTGAGGAAAGGATGGATGGACCCTTTTGGAAAAGGATGAAAAGGGAGGGAGGAGCGTGAAAGCCATGAGGGGCTTCCTCACTTGGACCAGGGCGGTGCCAAAGTCTGCACTTCGTTGGGAGTGCTTGGCTGTCAGTGGTCTCTGTTTTGAACTGAGCAGACTGTCATTGCTGTTCCATGAAGTGAATGGCCAGCTTGGAGTTGGTTGAGAAGAAGTCGCCAAGTGTGTGGGCTGGGGTTTTAGGGCCACGTTCTGTGCTTAACTTGGAATCCCCTTTAAACGTAGTTATGCAGCGGGTTGGCGTCGGCCATCAAACGGATACAACATGAGAGGCCCCCCTTTTCACAAGCAACGCAGGGGATCTTCATGTCGACAGGGCCACATGGGAGTCGAGAAAGCCTTCTCTCGTTCACGGAATCCGACCTCCAAGTTGACTCAGATATGTCCAGTAGCTGTCTGGGGTTCCTGCGAACCTTTCTGGGTCGCCTGCCAGAATGACCATGTGTCATGGTTTAAACTCCCTTTCTTGCGACATGCTGGGGATAGCCCCGACCCCTTGAAGGAGGGGAGGGGTTCGAGGCAAGCACTTAGTCATCATGAGTGGTTCAGAGAACCAGGGCATTGGCATTGCTGCACACGAGGAGCTTGACGGCACAGAGCAGGACATACGCCAAAAGGCTGACCTTGATTTTCCAGGCCTGGTTCCTTCTTCCAATTGAAAAAGGACATAGGGCTGGGTCTAAAGGGGCACTTGGGTCCCCGAACCTAGGTTTGCCCTTCCTCGGGGTGACCTGCAGCATGTGTGGGCGAGTGCTGCCCGCCGGCAGCTGCCTCCACAGCTGCGCCGTGTGCAGCTTGGAGCGTTGGGGAGGTTTTGTGGCATGGAGGCGAAAGAATGAAGCACAACCCCATGGGAAGACACGGCTATGGTTCCAATTGGGGTTAATAGCGCCTGTTAGGGTTTGGCTGGTAGGTTTCCTCTCTCTTTTTGGACATTCCTATGTCAAATCCAAAAAGGGGCGAACAGCGACGAATAAAGCATAGTAGGGGCTAGTAGGTTCCTTTTTATTCAAAGGGCCCCTGACAACCACGAGAAGACATGGCAAAAGGATAGCGGGGGAACAAACAGCAAACAACTGTGCAGGCACCTAAGACATGGAACGCGCCAAAGGCGACGAATTCACAGATTTTGTTTTGCAGGAAGACATTTCGGGTTCCGAGGGTCGAGGGATGCGGCCAGAATCTGCCAACTAACACGTGTTAGTTGTCCCTCGCAAATGCCTGTACGAGCACATTGCTGAGCCATTGTGCCCCAGTTTGAGCTTAGCCTTGATCTCTTTCAATTAATGTGGTACTGGCCAGGGATTCCGAAAGAACTCCATGCGGTTGCATGCGGTTGCATGCGTTGTTGGAGGGGGTGTCGTTCGAATGGGGCTGGCCGCCGCCATGGACGGGTTGCATGTGGTTTCAATCAAAAGGCTCCAAATGATCTTGAGCCCCCCGCCCTCTTGTGGTTTGGGCTTGTTTGCATAAAAAACCAAGGCAAAACCCCACACGTTAAAGGTTGACGTGTTATTATGACAAGGCCATGAATCTGGGACGTTCTTGATATATAAGTTGTTTCAAGTTCAGCACATGTGGACCGGAATCAAACATATTTGGTTTGGTTGGGTCAAAGGCTGAGATGGACTAGTCATAGATTCAGAGCCGCAGCAAGCGGAGCCATCGCATGAAGTTCCATAACCCTGCATTGCTCCCCTTGCTATGGCTCATCTCTGGGCGTGTGTGTGTGTGTGTGTGTGTGTTTTTTCTCGTGGGGCTCCTTCTGGGGTTGGTTTAAAAGGGACATAACATAAAACTGTCTTGAGGATGGCGGGGGGGGGGTCTCCCCTGTTTTGACACATACCTAAAGCCTTGGAGTTTGGTTTGGGAAATTAATCGTTGGAGTTTGGTGCCCTTCCCCTATTTTCACGTACCCAATCATTGGAGTTTGGCATCCCTCTATTTTGAGACACATACCCTAACCCCGCAATCTTGGAGTTCCAACCGCTCCCTTAAAACGTCCCTGGCTCTCGCCCGACTCCCGAATCTCCGGTCGCAGGCAAGTGGGACGCCTGCACGGACTGCCTGCAGCGCCCGGAGTCGGCGCGGAGTCTGCAGCTGGTGCCCGACTGCCCCATGTGCCAGGAGCCCATGGAGCCCCTCGGAGGGACGACCTCGGTCGGGAGGGAAGAACGCCCGCTTGTGCCCACAAGCGGGCGATGGCGGGCGGTATTGGTTTCTTTTGGGTTGTGGGTGGGCGGAAAAAAGGAAACCCAAAACAAAGCCTCTTATAGTCTAGTGTGTCTTTTCTTCTTCTTCTTCTTTTTTTTGGGGGGGGGGTCTGGCACACGCACACACACACATGGCCTAGATTTAGCAAAAGCCTACTTTGGTGGGTGTTGGTTGCCTTTGCTATAGTATGCCGAACGCCGGCTGGTTTCGGTCTAAGGGTATGTGCCGAGAACGGCTTGGGCGAGAAGCGTATATGACTCTTTTGTTCTGAAGGCCATGGCGAGGGGGATGACATTGCTACGATTTGTCCATCCTTGAAACAGAATAAGTTCTGGAGCCCTTTGGGGGAATCCCTAAAGTTGCTTCTCTGGCTGGTGTCACTTTAAGGAAAGACATTCGTTGCAGCAATCCCTTCTCAGAGCATCGCAGCTAGAGCTTAGGTGGAGCGACTACACGGGTGGTGTCTATGCTCACGGCTGGGCGTGCAACAGCAACTGCGGATCCAGGATCTCCGAATTGCAGCACGCCCTGGGGGCTGCCAGACTTGGCTTGCCTTTTTGAGCATTTAATCATGCTCGGGGGTCCTTCATTTCGTCTTTCAACCCGCAAAAAGTTGATTCTTGCCTAGGGAGTTTGACAATTTGACGGGACTGGTTTCAGTTCAGTTCTGTCCATTTGCCAGTGGAATCCACCCATAATAAAAGCGCTCCTGTGATGGCAGCATGCAAGAATATGGATTTCGGCTTCATCAATCTGGCAGACAATAGATGGGGTTTATTCCATCCATGTCCCATTGTTTTTTCCTCAAACGGACACCTATGGCATGCGGCATGCTCGCTGCGAGGAGGGTGAACAACGGGCTCTGGCGCTGGTTTTGCTTCAGATGTGGAGCTGATCTTTGCGATCGCTGCCACCGCCACAAGGCAATCCACGGACTCATTGCTCGTGGATTCACCGGGGGCCCGGATTTCCGTGTCAAAACCTGGGTCACGCCTGCACGGCACCTGGTGTCCCGGCATTTTTGCACCAAACGGATCCCCGTTTTTATCTCTCAAAGGGGATTAGAAAGGAGGTGAAGCCAAGTGTTGTTTTCATATGGGGGTTAAGAAGGAGGCGAGAACAAGAATTGTTGGACCCCTCTCTTTCAGGCTCGTAGTTGTCACAACCTCACTAGCTCCACCCAGCCCAAGGCCTTGCTCCTGACAGGTGCAGCGCGACCGCGAGGGCGGCATGCACGCGAGCCCCCGCAGCCTGGAAGCCTGCCGGGGCCCCGGGCGGCCGGGTACCACGGAGATCAGTTGTTTTCTTGCTGGTGCGATAGGTAGGGCCGGAAGGAGAAATGGAATGACCCACACAAATTAAGGAGACCAAAGCCTGGGTTCATTCTACTGAGCACCAGTCAGCGTGTGTGTTTGTCTTCCAGGCCTCGTTTTGGTTTTCTCTCTCTTTCCAGCTTCAGGCCTTCAATTGTCTGCAGCTGTCTCCAGCCAACAAGAAAGCGGTCGCCAACTGCACGGCGCCAACGAAGCGAGCCATGGCTTTGCTGCTGCTTGGCTTCCTGGGCCTTGGGGCGGCGCAGTCCCCTTGGGAGCCGCGGCGCTTGAACGCGCCCTGCGCGGCCTCGGGGCAGCTCTGCAGCAGCAGGTGCTGCGACCGCTTCGAGAGCTGCTTCGAGGACAGGGACCGTGAAGCACCAGCCTCCCAGCCATCCGGGATGGCTTCGGATGGTTTTTTGGGTGTTTGCTTAGGTATGTTGGGGGGTTGAACAGTTGGTAAAAAGTGGTAGTTTCCGCTAAACCACGTGTCCTCAGATCCAGTTTTGGATGGCTTTGGTGACCCTTTCCACTTGGATCCAAGGGGACAGGCGCGTTGCCGCCAAAGGGTCGGAACCTGAACCCATAGGACGCCCAAAGGATTGGTCAGATTGTCCATGGCTTTCAGCAGTTTCCAGCTTCACACAAGCCCTTGGGGTCTGAGCTTAAAACAGGTGCTGTTACACAATTCCGATTCCTTTATGGCCATTTGGTTGGATCTTTGGACTTCAACTTGTTAGAAAACGGTGGACCCACAAACAACACTTTTTGCAGAGGGGTCAACAGCAACCAAAATTCAGTGTCGTGGAAAATCCAAGTTCGTCTCGTGAGGGGAAACAGATGTGTGTCATTTGTTCAGGAAATCCGAAACACAAATGGGCATGGTCACGATTGGAAAGAATGTTTTGATTGTTTGAAGGCCATGTAAAATTTGATTTGGATTATATATGGAGAGAGAGAGAGAGAGAGTGTGTTCAATTTTCATCGGTAGCAGATCCTGCTGGGCTTTATCAGAAGCTGATAAGCGACTGGTTGCGCCCAACAGGATCCTTGATTAACCTCAGCTCTTGGGCTTTCCCCTGTGTGAGTTGGCCCTTCTCACACCAACGGATGGCCCCCCTCCCTCACGTGGAGTGCTTTGGCGAACCTGAGAGAGGGCGGCACACACATCTGGGTGGTTCCTAGCTTTTTCAGTTTGTTGGCGCATTTCGCCCACAAAAAGTAGTCACTTGTAGCTGTGGATCTGGGGACAGCCCGGAGTGCACGTCAGAACCCCTGCAGCCCTGAGGAGGCGGGCTCGGTGAGCCTTTGCCGTGGCTTCTGCGTGCCAGAAGAGGGACGGAGCTGTCGCACGCCCTACGCGCATCCCTTGGGACAGGCGAAACAAACCGGGGACGGGGAACGGGGCGAGGGAGGCCCTGGTCGCTCGGTTTATGGGTTTTCTCGGTTTTCCCTGTTTTTTTTGGATCTGACGAGGCAGGGTGTTTGAGTGTATGATGGGTTCTCAGTGTATTAAATTAAGTTATTAAGGGTCCCTGCCATTGTCTTTGTGGATGTCTAAAAGCGGCAGTGAATGAATGCAAGTGACTACTTAGGTTCGTTTGGGACGGTGCGGCCACTCAATTCCTAGATTCTTGGGGCCTGAGTCGCATCAAATTGTCGGTTGGTAGGAAGGTCACCCGCTGCAACCTGGACTTGTGGTTGGGTCGCGCTGGCCCTGTTGTAACACTCCAGTTGCCCATTCCCTATACCTTGCTGGGCAATCAACACACGATCTCACCAGCGCGAGTACAAAAGGCAAAAGGGTCCTGCTTTGCATGTGGGGCATTGATTTGAGGCTTAGAAAGCAAAGACTGTTTCAATACAGACGAAATACAGCCCCTTAGTCAGGTTCCGGTTTGTTTGGGGTACCAGAAAAAAATGCTCGGCCCCCCTAGTTCCCGCCTTTTGAAGAAGGTGCCCTTCCCTGTCAATCCATCGTTTTGCAGGCCCCTCTGGCTTTGGACAAAGGACTCCCCCAGGTGATAGAACGTGACTCATGAAAGTTCGGCTCACAGTTAAGGACCCACAAAAGCGCAAGCGTTGCTAGTGCTTTTTCTACAAAACTGGGAGGGGGTACCGGATTTTGAGGCACGGCCATTTTGATGTTTCTACAAAACCGAGGGGGGGTGGGGGCCTTTTGGATGGTTTGTTCAGGTGAATCCAACAGGAAACCAATCTCCTGAAGGTGTCCCCACTTTGGAGAAACACATTTGTCCTCATGTCTCCTCCATGCTTCCGCTCTCTATTCTCTTTTGGTGTGCAACAAATTCAAGCCAAGAGGAAGCCCCCCCTCAACCTTCCGCTCATTTCTATTGTACCCACCTTTCTTGCTGGTGCGATAGGTAGGGAATGAGAAATGGAACCTAAAAAATCCATCCAACTGGTTTCCTTTCAGGGGCCCCAAATTTCAGGTTCATTCCATGTCTCCTTCCCTGCGCACCAGCAATCTTTTTGGAGAAGAAACCCACCCGCTCGCGCCGCTCGCCACCAGCACCTCGCGCCGCGAGCGCGAAGCCGGGCGCGAGGCGCGGAAGACGGAGCAGTGGCCGGACCTGGCGGCGGTCTGCGACGCGGGCACAGCGCTGGTGCAGCCGCAGGCCTTCCAGGAGCCGGCGGAATCGATCCGAACTCCGAGTTCGCGTCGATGCCTCGGTGCGGGCGGAGTCGCCAAAAACACGGCGGGGGCGGGGGGGGGAGGTGTAGCGGGGATTTTTATGTGGGAGAGGGGGGGGTTCACAGCAAGTGCCCTCCTGGGTGCCTTTTGGGTTGAAAGTATATAAAAGGAGTCCTTTTGGTCTCGTGACTTGACTTTGGTGGTTTCCTTTTCGTTTGTTGGTGGTTTGCCCTTGGTTTCAGTTCCCTTTGAGTTCCCCTCTCAAAATCAACCAAGAGAAAAGGATGCCCTCTTTTTCCGTATGCAGTTGCTCCAAAGAGAAGGCACACCCAAGACGTTTTAGGGTGTCCTTTTCACCCCCCCTAGCCCCACCCCACTTGGGGAGACCATAATCATTGGATGCAACTAAGAAGATGGGCCACCACATGTCACGAGGCTGGTCTACCTTGATATGAGTTATGGAAAATATGTCCACAGTATCGTTTTCGCTTGTGTTTTTGTCGTTTTTCCTTTTTTCCCGGTTTTGGGTCCATCTGGCTACTGTCATCTGATCGCCAAGAACCGTGCCGGCAGTCACTCGCAGAGAACAGGAAAAGTACAACGGGAGCTGCGCGGAGTTCTGCCGAGCCGCTGGACAAGTGATCCACCAGCCGCTGATGTTCGCAGTCTCTGGCGGGCCGGGCTACGGCGAGATGCGCAGCTGCATGGGCGACAAGGAGGGCAAGCACAGTGGCTTCATGCATCCCAGCCCAGTGGCGCCGTTTTGGTTTCTTCTTATTCTTTTAGACTTCTGGGTTGGCTTCCCACTCAAGTTGCCCAGCAAGAACAGGTTGCCCTCTTTTTTGCCAAGACCGCCGAGCGAGCAAGGTGTGAATGCAGCCTCCCTGATCGCCTGTAGACTTGCAGACTGTAAAGATCGGCCAGGCTTTTGCGCAACTCGTGCACTGACCGGAGAGTGCGGGAGCCAGTCAAGCCCAGACAGAGGCAGCCGCCTCAGGATCAAAAGAGTCGCTGGGTTGTACAGCTTAGGAATTCGCGCACGTCTAACACTGCTTAGACTCTAGCTTGATTGGTAGGTAATTAATGCAAAATAGAGCGAGCGCAGCAGTGACAGGGCTTGATGCGAACGACTCACAACATCATCGGCCGGTTAGTTGATTGGGGAGGGGACAGGACGGGCACTCCCACATCCCAAACAAAAAGGAGCAAAACAAATAAAACAGACCGCTCAGCATTTCCGGTATGATTCGCGGGAACAATCTGTTTGTCCGCGTGGGTCGTGAAGGCGTGAATGCCATGCCTGGCTTTCGCTCAGGGCCCTTGAATTTTTCACGAGCGCGTAGTCCTCAAGTGTCACCTCTTCAGAAACTCCCACCAGAACCAAAAGAAGCGATCAAGGACTGCACGCCGTTTTTTCCTTCTCCGAGGTGCCAGGTTCATCGAACTCTGCAAAGATCACCAGTGGGAGAAGGTGAAGCAGATCCTGTCCGAGCAGCCTGCGCTGGTGAACTGCGACGCTCAGACCGCGCAGTCCGAGAAAGTCAGGGCTTGGATGGATGAAACAGAGACAAGTACGGCTGGTGGCCGGGTCTTTCTGAGACACACTTCCAACCGGTTTCTACATGATTTGCAGGTGCAGTTGCTGACAAAATTAAACCTGAAAAAGACTGGCTGGCACATTTGTACACAGATCTAGTTGCACTGGGACAAAGCAGCAATCCCCACAGTTGGAGTCCTTTGGTCAAGGCGCTAACGAGACATGTGCCGTCGTCAAAACACATGCTTGCTTGGGGGTAGCTAGGGACTGTCGCGGATCGTCTTGTGGGGAAGTTGGATAAGCAGAGAAGCATACAAAAGGTGTCCTTTCGAGGAATTGGGCCCCACGACCAACGTAAGGAGTTTTGACCATGGCACTCACGGCACTCAGTGGCCTAAGGAAGTTGACGGGCGGTGGTCCGCACTCCACTATGCAGCGAGCACCGTGGCTTCAATGCTGGTCCCTTGCTTGACTTGGATCTCTGATGTAAGACGCATGCCCTGGGCCAACCTGGACGCCAAAGCGGCGGAGAATCCCTCCTGTTGGCCAGTGTCACACGTTTTTCTCTTCTTTGAGAGAGAGAGAGAGAGAGTTTCTTTGCAACGCAAAGTCAGCAAGGCAGTTCCTTTGCATGGCTTCGCAAATCTTCCCTTCCAAACCTGACAGACACTGCATAAACGCATTCTTTGGATTTGAGCCCTATTGCCGGCACAGGTGCACAGGAGCACAGGGCATTTCTCTATTTTGTCCACCCCGGAGTTGTCAGCGCGGCGGACTATTTTTTAGGGGTGTTTTCCCCAACAGTGAATGAAACCCTCTTAAGTGGAAAACCCCTTATGAGTCAAATTAGAGAGAGCTCTATGAATCCCAGGATCCAACAAAGTATTTGTCAGGAATCCACCCCCCACCTTTGAGATCGTGTTTTAATAAGAGGGATTCCAACCAGTAAGAAGAAGCTGCCCCTTCTTGCAATGGCCACTGGGCAAGTGGAGCAACTTTTGTGTCGACGAGCAACATGATCCTGCTATCAAGGCCCTCTGATGCCGCTTTGTCCTTTGGTCATCTCTATGGTTCCTTTGTCAAGACTGGGAGGGCAGAGTAGGGACACATTCGATCTGCAAACACAAAAGCATTCACAAACGGGGCTGGTTCAGAAGTCCAATCCCCGGCCCAAATCGTAAGCATAATCAACCCTCCTCGTACAAAATTGCCGCGCCAAGGCTGGGGGCAATGAAAAACTGGTGGGATCCAAGAAGGGATCCCAGGGGTCAATCACTGAAAGCGCGGTGCGTTTCCAGGTGACCTTTGGGATTCGGCATGCGGACCTTGATTGACGGGAGCCATTCTTTCCGCTTTCTGGTCTGTGAACTCTTTGTTTGGGGGGGGGAACCCGAACTAAAGTGGGAGATAAGTGGAGGCAAGACCGGACGCAACAAGGGATCTTAAGACAAACTTCAGGTGGACTTGGCCGCGCCCCAAACATGTGACACCACTATAGTTGGAAACGGGCTCATCTGGACAAATCGCGAGAATTAATTCCCCAATCGCTTCATGTTGGCTGCACAAATAATGTGGAGATCAGGGCTCCACTTTTCGATGATCTCAAGGTAGACTTAAACCAAGGGGTGGTTCATTTCCCCGAAAAGGAGGAGCCCCTGGGTTTTCGTCAACTTCGGGGCAATCAAAAAGAGATCCCTTTCGGATGTCCAAGGAGCCGGCAACCCGCAGATGGTGGAGTTCCTGCTCTCCAAGAGCGCTGATGCCACGAGCTTCGCCGGAGACGGGAAGTCCCCTTTGGAGGTTCGGGTTTCGGAAGCAAGCGGGGCGTTGGCGGGCGAAATGCAGCCGGAGGGTGGTTTGGGGTTTGAGGGGTTTGGACTGTTTGAGGGAGTTGGTGATTTGGGGGTTGGTGATTTGGAGATTTGGAGATTTGGGTGTTTGGTAATTTGGGTATTTGGTCTTGGAAGGTCTTGGGCAGGTGAGTTACAGAGACCCATCTTCCTTGGTCAACCATTGCGCCCCGCAGGTGGCCAAAGGTCACGACGTCCGGTCCATGCTGCCCCTCGGCTTCTTGCGATGCGCAGCCTGCAAGACCCCACCCCCAACCCAAACCCCAAAAGGGGGCTGGAAGGGGTCTAACCCGGTAGAACATTCGCCAGACTCAAGTCTGGTTTGACTCCTTGCCTTTTTATTGGATGGGTTGCAGTCGCTGGAGGTCTAAGTCGTGTCCACATGGGTATGTCTTTTTCGGGGATCCCCAAAATGCCGGTGTTGCTTTGGCTCCCCTTTAAACTGACCAAACACGGGGTACCCTCAAACAAAGACACACCCATGTAGGCTTTGCTCTTCAGTGCGGGATGCTGTGAGGATGAAATCTTGCTTTCTGAGCCCCGCGACAGCGATCTTTGAGCATTACGACTCCTCGCTGCACTTAGAATGGCTGTCTCAAAGTCAGGCTTAGCTTTCTTGCTGGTGTTGTTTTTGTCCCCTCGGTTTTATGTCTTCATTTTTTATTTATTTATGTGTTTGTTTTATGTGAATTAATATACATATATATATATATAATTATTTTGCTCTTGCTTTCTTTCTCCCTGCCTTCTACCCTCCTGGCCTCCCTGCCTCCCAGCCTGAATCAATGAAATTATAGCAATACATAGCAAAAGGGAGATTTTACCCATTGGTCCACGGGCCCAAAGAACCAGGTTGCCACAAAAAAGCGCAGGGTGCCCTTCTTCCGTGGGCCATGTGCCAGTGTAGTCCCGGGGCCCTTGCAATTTGGATTTCGGAAACACGTTTTCCGTTATGAGGGGGACCCTTTACTAGGGGGGGAAGGGATGAACAGTTGTCTAAACTCCCCCCAGCCTCACCCCCACCCATTTGCGGGCGAATCCTTGCTCGCTTCCCAAGCTCGCGCTGGCAAGGATTCCAGCGGCACCGGCGTGATCGACAGCATGGAGCTAGGATGGGCCGGAGCACTCAGTGCCAGCCGACCCTTGGGCGTTTGGGTTTTTTCATAGCTCCAAAAGGAGGATAAGCGGTTTCTCTTTCCAGGCGCTCAGTAGGGATTCCCGGAAAGGAAACCATAGGGGATGGAAAATAGGGTTCATTCCCTCATTCCCTGCTGAGAACAGCAAGTGTTCTTTCAGGTTCTTTGAGCGCGAGGACTAGAGTTGATTCCGGAAGATTTGCCAGACAGGAGCCTGGCCTTTTGGGTTTCTTCCTCAGCAATACTTTTGGAGGAGCCGGATGGGGTCCACCCACATGTGGCAGGGGCACTGGCATCAGGGTGCTTGAAGTGCCCCATTGAATCCCACTGGTTGACATCCGTCAACCGCGTTACAACGAGCAGATTTCCCATGTTGCAGCTGGCGGCTTGCCCCATCCGGAGCTGACCCCGGTGAACAGTTGCAAAAATGGATGGCACGCCTGACTTTCAAAACCCAATCCGCAATTCCCTCGGGTTACCAAAGGATCCGAACCATATGTGGCCGTTTTGCGTTGCAGTCATTTTTCCGTTGGGATTCCGAGCAAGCCCTGAAAACTCCGGAGTTCACCATGTTTGCCAACCCTGAGGTCATCAAGGCGGTCAAGCCGAACCTGACGGACATGGAAATCCAGCAAATCTTCGCTTGCCCCCTGCCTATGGGTAAAGAAGCCATGCCTCACTTTCAAGCTGGAGACCTCCTCGTTCCTTTTTAGGCCAGCTGGACACCATTTGGCCTTCGGGCCGGGGTGGCCTGTTTTGTTTGTCTGTGATCGGGAAACCTTGATGTGAAACAGCTCCGATGGTTGCAGAATGGGCCAACTGGCCTGCAGTGACTCATCGATGCCCACGTCACATGGAGTCGCAACTGGAGAAGGGAATATATTTTTGTTGGATGGTCAAAGGGCATACGTTGTGAGCGTCAATTTCAGGAAACATTCGCAGTTCTCATGACTGGTAGATGTGTGTATAGCATTCAGTGCCACCTGGAAGCAAGGGGTGTCAGAAGATTCCAGTCAGCTAGTTTTACTCTGGGGCAAAGTGTGCTTTGTTAATATCCTCAATCCGCAAACCTCTCTTCATGGCTGATGCTTTTTCCTTGCCCATGGCCTCGAACAGACAAGGTGTGGACACAAACAAGAACGGGGAAATTGACTTCGTGGAGTTCGTGATGTGGCTGTCCTTGGCTCAGCCATGCCTTTTGAAGCATCGAAAGCATGAACCAGGGCACCCTGCAGAATTGGTGTTCGAATGGCGTCCCTTTGAAAGCCACTGAAAGGGTACCCCAAAAAAGAAGTTGGTGTTCAGGAGACCTTGTGCAGGTATTAATTATGTGTTGGCAGACTGTGCGGGCGTTAGCGCAACGCCTCAAATGGGGTGGGGGTGAGGGGATCTTCTCATATTTGGGTGGCAATGACTGCCCATTGAGGCATGTTCTTCTTAAGTCTTTTGGGCGCTTTTGAACGGGACCCAAAGATATAGACCAAACACTAGGGAGAGTTGTTGTGGTCTCCAGCTCGGTTTGTGTGGAGCAGGGCTTCTGTTTTCCGCAGGTTTGCCGGGCAGGGGAAGTCCATGGCGCAGGACGGGTACCCGGCTTCACCTCGCCCAGAAAGTTCCGGCAGGGAGGGGTCCACTGAAACCTCCAGCAAAGTCTCCGGGGGCACCAGAGCAGCTCCTTTTCAAGGAGGATGTTTGAACTGTCTACCTGGAACATGTGTCTCAGGTTTCAGTGAATAGGGCTTGGCCATCGACCCTTTCGGCCTGTCTTGATGCCGGCACCCGAGAATTGGTTGTTTGATGGTCTTCAAACAAAGCACAAAAGATGTGTGTGGTCGTCAAAGGAAGCTCAAAGTTTTGTTTTTCCGTCGTCAAGCCCAAAGAAAGCTCCCTGATTTTTGGGTTTTGGGTCTGCTTTAGGACAGGTTAGCTCAGAGCCAGGAGATCCTGGCCACGGCTTACCAGCTGTCCAGCTCGGGCGCACCTCGGATGCCAACTGCGCCCGCGCGGCGTTGAAGAACGCAGTCACACAGAAGCTGCAAACAACCAGCCCAAAAATATATAAGTGCTGCAACCCTCAGTCAGTTGCCACAAGGCCCGCAAATGCAGTGGGTCTCTACTCAACAAGTCTCAAGTGTTGGCAGTTGGAAAAGAGAAAGGTGGTTCAGTTTTCGTGGGAAATTTCCCAGATGGTCCAGATGGTCAGTTTGCTTGCTTGCCGCGAGGTGGGCAAGCAAGCGTTGCGGCTGAAGCACGTGCTGGCTCTCCGGGCGGGGCTTGATCCCCACGTCTACTTGCCACTCGGCCCGTTGGACGGGTAAGGAATGGGTTCCGATCGCTAAGGAGAATCATGTATTTGTGCTAGAACCTATAGTTAGATTGGCCTCACAAGGGAAGCCAGCGTGCAAGCCAGGAATGGTGGCCTGAAGCAAGGAACGCACTCCCGGCAAGCCCAGCTGAGGTATCCAGATTTCGCGCCCATGCCCAAGATGGCCCACCATCCTCCGCGGGACAGCCGTCGCTCCTGTCGCCCATGGTGGAGTCAACCAGATTGGATTGTTTGGCACCACAAGATTATGAGAGCCACAGTCAAAACCCGAGTAGATGAAGGTTAGGAACAATCCCAACCAGAAATAGCTGCGGCCGCCTTCTTAGTACTGGGTTTTGATTATGACTGAGAGGATGGTGATAGCAGCTAGTCATGTCCTGCTCAGTTTGGACATGTTTTGGAGGCCAGGCCGTGGGTCGTTACTCTGAGCAAAAGAAGCCTTGTTTGCCTGTTCTTCATTGAACCCGACCAGAAAGCCAAACCAAACAAGGGCAAGAGTGTATTTTTGGCTTGTCTTTTGTAAAGGGCTCAAGCCAATTGCAACATGTCAGATGTGGCCTCAAGCATCAACCCTGTTTCGGGGGTACCAATGGGGGTGAACGTCCCGCCTCCAAATGGGTTTGAAAATCGTAGAGGGTAGATGGGAAACACCACAAAACAACGAGGGAAGCTGAAAGAAACTGGCAGCCCCAAGCAACTTGCTGGCGCTCAGCAGGGAATAAGAGATGGCACGACCCCGAAGTAAAAAAAAATCGTCCAACCGGCGGTTTTCATTTTTTTTCGGGGGCCAACGCCTGGGTTCATCTCCCACAGTCCAAGCGGAAGAAAGAGAAGCCGACGAAACGGAGGACGAGAAGCCCCAGACCTGCGTGGAGTACGTGCAGCAGATGCTGCCCCAGCTACCAGGCCTTTGGAAACGGGGGGTTTGTGGGTTTGGGGCATGGGGACTGGGCTGGCCATGGTCTTTTGCTCGTTGTTTTTGTTTGTTGCCTTTTTGGGAAACCAAAAGGAACATATGTTGTTGTTGTGTTTTTGCCATATTTGGGGTTCCCCTTGTTTCATCTTGGCGCACAGAGGGATTCAGACCGGGAACCAACACATGGGTGGAAACTCGTTGGTTTCCCTATACCCGCTTTGTGTCAGGCGGTTTTTCCACCGCCTGACCCACCAAGCCAGAAGTTGACCGCGAAGATGTTGGAGAGGTAAACTTTCAAGTGCCTTATCAAAAAATGGCCGTGGGTCAAAACCGTTTCGGGATCCCATTTTGGTTGGTGGGTGAATTCACCAGTCATTTTAGTCTAGTTTAGTGTTGGGATTGGGATGTTCACTGAGGGTACGGGTTTTTGACCCATGGCCAAATGAGCACAATGAGCACAACGTCTCCATTTGCCGAAGGTGATCGCACCCATGTCCCCTTGGAAAAGAAGAAAGCACGCGCAGAGCTTCTCATGGCAGTCTCGGGTGTGTGAGTTGCTAGCGGCATGGCATGCTGTTGACAAACCGCAGCTGTGCACAGATCTTAGCATGCAAGAAAGGTTGCTGCCTGCTTTGCGCTTAAGTCCCCCTAATAGGGGCAACTTCTGTTCTGGGGGTTGGTTCTTTTGGGGCCGCTCCCACATTGGTAGCGGAGCGGGTTTTGAGGGGTTGTTTGGGGCTGTTGTGGTTTAGGCTGCTCTGCCCCGGATGGCCACTCGCACCCGGCGTGCAGCGCACGCAGAGTCGGAGCCGGTGCCCGGCGACGACGAGGACTTTGATGAGTCCGATGAGGAGGCAGCTGCGGCTGCCGATGGAGCTGCCGCTGCAGCTGGTGCGGCCAATGGCCAGGAGGAGGATCCGCTTCAGGCGAATGACCCATGGGCTTCTGGAGGTGGACAAGCCGCTGGAGGTGATCGCCCTGGAGCGCAGAGCCCTGGCCATGCCGCAGGAGCATCTGAAGGTGATGCTCCACCGCCAGAGTTTGTGAAGTGGTTCTACAACCTCTGGCAGCAGCAACGCCAGCAAGAGGCGAGCTCTTCATCGGCTGGGCCATCTCATGGACAAGGGCAACCCACTGAAGGAGCTGCACGGAGGCCTTCGGGAGATCGTGAACAAGACACCGGAGGCAATCCCGGAAGCAGAGACAAGCCCACCCAGGCTAAGGCGTCGAAGAAGAGTAAGGCGGCTGCTCCGAGGCCGCCGAAGAATCCACCCCCGCCACCCCCTGGCCCTGGAGGATCTGGTGGAGGAGGAGATGATGGCAATGATGATGAGGACGAAGAGCATCGCCGCCGGAGAACCAAGAAGAAGGACGTCAATCCGCCACCGTGGAGAGATGGTGATGAGGAAGAAGATGAAGAGTACAGCTCAACCGCCGGAACCTCGGAGATCAAGTCGTACTTGAGAAGGCGAGCTGCTGCGGGAGGTGATCGACCCAGAAGCAGCTTGGGTACGGTCAAGATTGAGGAGTTCTATGGTGACCGTGCGAGGTACGTCAAGTGGAAGAAAGCAATCGAGGCGCAGGCGGAGCTCTACCGTTTGGAAGATGCGGAGCTGGCCATGTTGGTGTACCTGAGCACGAAGAAGGATGCGCGGGACTGTTTGGAGCAGCGGGCCATCGGTGAGTACACGAAGGGCGGCGGACTGCAGCTGATGTGGGGACTTCTGAACGAGGCCTTCGGAGAGACGGAAGAGGAGCTCTTTGAGAGGGCGGAGGCAGAGTTCATGAACTACCGCAGGCTGCCAGGCCAGTCGGTGGCATCGTACATTGGCCAGATGAAGCGCTTGAAGGCCCAGTACCACAGGGTGGATCCGGACAGCTATATGTCAGACCGGGCATGGGCACAGAGACTCCTGAACAGGTGCTCGCTGGGAAGGAGAGAGAGACTGGATGTCTTCTTCAGTGCTGGAGGCCGCTACATCCCGAGTGACATCGAGCGTGCTCTGAGGTATCGGTGTGGAAAGGTGCACGAGGATGAGCGACGTCTGCCGGGACGACCACCGCCACCTCAGCCATTTCGCGCCTACAGAGGAGCAGGTACAGTGAGTACCAAGCCGGTGGAAAGGATGGCTGCTAAGCCCAAGTGGAGGACAAGGCCATCGGGAGCTCATGTGGTGGCAGATGATGAGGCATGTTTTGATGAAGAGCCGGAAGATCTTGAGAAGGATGAGGAGGCCTATCAGACCTACCTGGAGACGCTGCATGAGACGGAAGAGGTCGAGATTGAAGAGCCAGACGAGCTGGAGAAAGAGCTCAGCGTGCTCATGGATGAGGTGGTCTCGGAGGAGGACGACCTTCCAGAGGAGGATCTCAAAGAGGCTTACGCCGCTGGCTGGAAAGCAAAGGCCAGACAGGCCGACCACAAGAAAGCACGAGGGTGGAGAACCCCCGGTTCGGCTTCAGCTGCCCCTGATGTGAGGAAGAAGAAATCTTCGTGTGCGAGCTGTGGACGGGTCGGACACTGGCGAGGAGATCCGGAGTGCCCGAATGTTCAGAGCGGCAAGGATAAACCACACACCGCCAAGAAGCATCCTTGGAGCTCAGACAGGAGCTCACGAAAGAGTGATTCTGCTGCCAGCACTCCCAATCAGGTGCACTTCACCTTCATGGTCGGCGGTGGCTACAACCAGGAGGAGACGCCGCCAATGGGGGTGTGCCCAAGGTGCAGGTGGCCGACAGCAGACACCTGCAAGTTCTGCAGCAACTGCGGGCAGAACCTGTACCGAGACGACAGGATGTCGGAGAATAAGAGAGGTTGGGGGCTGGTAGGAGAAGACAATGAAGAGATTCTCACCGTTGAGGAGACAGACGATGAGGAGGAGACCCCCAGCTACACCTACGACGTGAAGAGGAGCACAGTCAAGGAAGCTGCGGGTATGAAGCCGGGGAAGAAGCAAGACGAGAAGATAAAGCTGAAGCCCAAGGAGGTCATCTCGGTGCTGGATAAGATGACAAAGGAGGAGAAGAAAGAGCTGAGGAAAGCGCTGGAGATTGAGGAGGAGCATTTGGCTTGGACTTCGGTGGAGCGACACCGGATTCTGAGGCTGGAAGAGCAGCTTTCAAGGAGTGGTGCGGCGAGCTCAAGTTCTGCACCAGGGACGCAGGGGCCGATCACTCCAAACGTCAACCGCAAGGTGACGGCGCCCGTTACCAAAGAGTTGCCGAAGCACGCGAGAGAGGCTGCGCTGAGGGATTTCCGGTACGAGCTCTATCAGCGCCAAGTGAGGGATGGACAGTTTACTCCATCTAGGTGCTCCCCAACTCCAACAGAGCGGCAAGCAGCATGCAAGCATCCCTTCGAGCATATCAAGTGGACTGCCAATCAGGAGGGCCACTATGGGAGATGCCGACTGTGCGACCTGAAGCACGTGCTGTATTTCTCTGACCGTCATGGTGCCCTGGTGAGCGGCCAGCAGCATCTGGAGGAGATCTATGTATCCGGCATCTGTCCGGGGCAGGCGATAGCAGACACTGGCTGTCGAACGGCTGTTGGAGGAGGTGCTTGGCATGAGAGCTTGCAGAAGGAGCTCAAGGCTCGCGGTTTGCAGTGGTTTGAGGAGCCAGAGCAGGAGGTGTTCCAGTTTGGAGCAGGTGAGGCTTGCAGGAGCCACCGGGCATATATTTACCCGGTGGGCATCTTCGGGGTGAACACGGCAGTGAGGATATCACGTGTTGATGGAGACGCAAGCAACTGCCCTGGGTTGCTCGGACCCAGTGAACTGTCGAGGTGGAGCTGTATGTTCAACTTCGGCACTCGCCAGATGACGCTCTTCGGCATCACCAGAGAGATGAGGCTGACCAACACCAGGCATCCCGCTGTGGACCTGCTGGACTTTGGTGAGATCAGGGGCGACTACTGGGAGCAGCCGGAGGTGAAGAGATTGAAAGACGTGCTGGTGAGGATGCCACACACGTTTGCCTTTGTGCAGGACAAGTCGGAGGACACTTCGGGAGAGGAGACTGAGGAGACTTCGGAGGAGTCCAGAGACGCCGGTCTTGAGGATGAGTTGTTGGCAGACCTTGAGGCTGAACTAGGCGAGTTCCCCATCTGCGACATCGAGGAGTCAGAGCCCGTTGAGGACGGCGATGGAGAAGACGAAGACAGGTGCTCTTCTACCTCTCACGAGTTTGGCATAGAGGTGTTCACTGAAAGTGGCAGTGAGAACAGTGAGGAAGAGAAGGATGATGCTGCTGAAGACATTGACGTGCTGGTGGCCGGCAACACGAAGTCTCTCAGCAAAAGTATGCGGTCCAAGTGTGGCCGTGCGGCAAGGGAGATCCGGAGGGCCGGAGAAGAAGAGGTGCGCAGACGCCAGCAGCAGATTCAGCAGCCCCAGGACCCATGCTTGCGGCCCAGCTCACTTCCTTTGAGGAAAAAGTGGAAGGTCCTGGAGGTGTTCACTTGGACGTGCTGCATTAGCCTGATGGCCTTGGAAAGAGGCTGGCACATGTGCGAGCCGGTGACCTTGCCGGGTTGGGATCTTCGTGATCCCCAGACGAGAGAGGAGGCACACAACTATATCGACCCCCAGGCTCCGGATTTGTTGGTGCTGGCATGGCCTTGCAGCCCCTGGAGCTCGTTGCAGAATCTGAACTGCAGAACCCCGGAGGCGGTGAGGCGACTGGCGCAGAAGAGAAATGAACATCGCCCTATGCTGGAGTTCGTTGGTGAGGCTGTGAGGAGGCAGAGAGCCAGAGGAGGAGCCGTTTTAGGAGAAAATCCTAGGCTGTCGAAGGCTTGGCAAGAGCCCGCCATTGTCGAAGGCTTCAAGGGCATGGCGGAGACGGTGTCGGACATGTGCCAATTTGGCCTGCGGAAGCCTGCTGGAGAAGGAGCCCGCCGCTTTATGAAGAAGCCAACCAGGCTGGTGGGAACGCCAGAAGTGATCAGACGCTGCAGCCGGAGATGCAAAGGAAGCCACAAGCACACGCACATCTTCGGCAACTTCAAGTGGCGAGGGAAATGGAGATCACTGTCAGAGTTCGCAGGCGGTTACACGCCTGACTTTGCTCAGGAGGTGGTGATAGGTGCAGAGGAGTACCTGAAAGGAACGCGCAGGCCAGAAATATTTGTGGAAGGCACTCATGTGCCGGAGGAGCGCTTCGAAGAGTTTGAGAATGAAGAAGAGGTGGTACCAGAGGAAGATCTGGAACAGAGGATGCTGCAGGAAGAGCTTGAGGAGATGTCCAGAGAGGAGCAAGTGCCTGAGGAGGCCCAGCGACAGCAGAAGCAGACCAGAGACAGGTTGAGGCTGATGATGGTTCATCGGAGGCTTGGACATCCGAGCCCCGAGACCCTGGAGAGAATGCTACGACTAGCAGGGGCAGATGGACAGCTTCTGAAGGAATGCCGGGAGCTTCAATGTCCTGTGTGTGAGGCTTCACAAGCACCCAGGAAGCCGATACAGCAAGCCCCAAGCATGCGCCCGGTGACCTTCAATGCCTCGGTGCACCTGGATTTGAAGTACGCCAAAGACTGCAAGTCGAAGCTCTACGTGGCACTGAGCATGATAGATCATGCCACCAACTTTCATCGGGCCTGCTTGCTGCGAACAAGGCGGCCCGTTCATGTGGCAAACAAGTTTGTGACCCAGTGGTGTGCCCTGTTCGGGGATCCCACGGAGTTGGTCTTTGATCAAGGAGGCGAGTTTGAGAAGGAATTCCTCTTCGAGCTGGAGAAGCGCGCGATCCATTCAAAGGTGGTCGGTGCCTATGCCCCCTGGCAGAACTCCTTTGCGGAGAGGCAGGGTGCCTTGCTGGGCGCGGCATGGCATGCGCTCATTGTGGAGTACAAGGCAGAGGACTACACGACGATGAAACAGACCCTCGCTGCGGCGGTCCAAGCCAAGAATGCGACTGTCTCCAGACGCGGGTATTCAGCAAATGCCCTGGTGTTTGGAAGGCCAGCGAACTTTCCGGATCTGCTGGATGATGATGTCCAAGATCGGACAACCCTGGGGCAAGCCTTGAATCTGGAAGGCGAATTCAGCAGGGCAATGGAGATGAGAGCTGCAGCAAGGAGGGCATTGCTGCATCAAGATGTTCAGGCAAAGCTCAAGAAGGCACTGCTGCGGCGACCTGGAGGAGAGGCGATCCCCTTCCTTCCTGGCCAGAGGATTTACTTCTGGGTGCCAGGCCCCAAGAACGTTCGGTACAAGAGAGACCGCTCGGGCTGGAGAGGACCAGCTACCGTGATGGTTCGAGAAGGTGAGGAGCGGTATTTCGTGAGCTGGAGGGGAAGATGTTTGCTGTTGTCAGCAGCCAACATGAGGCCCGCAACTGCAGAAGAAGCTGGAGACATGGTGAGATTGGAGTTGGATGCCCAGGAGGCCATTCAAGAGTTGGAGAAGATGAAGTCGTTTCAGGACGCTACGTCATGGAGGCCCCCTTTTGATGACATTGGCGGCCGTCCTTGGCAAGCACAGGACGTGGTGATGGTCCCCAAGAGCAAGAAGGGTAGGCCATACAATGAGGCCAAAGAGATGATGAGAGGCTTGAAGAGCGTGCGAAAAGTGATTCGCCATCCGCTGTTCCGGAAGCGGATGATGGCAAAGAGGAGGCAGAGGCAGAAGCAGCAGCTGAAGCAGAAAGCCCCTGAGGAGAAGCCCATCGAGCCGGAGCCCCGAGGAGGCATAGATATTCCGGTGCCGGAGGGCGGAAGTGACTACGAGCCGACTTCACCTCGGTCGAGCGCCTCGCAAGACTTCTGGCCTACAATCCAGCAGATCGAGAAGTGGTACGACGAGATTGATGATGAGGTCTTCTCTGACCACAGCGATAGTCCGAGGGTGAGAAGACGCAGGTCGCTGGACGATGTGCCCGATCCCATCAGGCAGAAGCGGCCGCCAGAAGAGAAGCTGAGCGAGGAGCAGATCAGGAAGAAGTTCAAGGGAGAATTCTTCCAAACGGTGATGGTTGCCACAGCCGTGGAGGACTTCCAGGCCAAGCACAAAGGCAAAGTCAATTTGCCGTTGAAGGAGCGAGGGAAAGCCAATGCCTGGTTGCCTCGTACAGAGGTCAAGAAGTTGAGGAGGCTGTTGGACCTGCCCATCACCGCAGCGCGACTGCACAAGCAGCCAAGGAAACGGATGCAGAGGCCGCCCGGAGGAAAGAAGAGAGGTAGAGTGGTTGTGATGCTCAGCAAACAAGCCGGAGCCGCAATGGTGAGCCAGGAAACACTTGAGGAGGTGCGACAGCAGCCTAGAAGGAAAGCCCCATTTTTGTGGAGGGGCATGACGCTGTTCACCAAGCCGGAGGAGGCGATAGCAGAGGAGAACATGGCCTATGTTCAACTGGAGGAGGAGTTCTTCCAGGTGAAGGTCACTCAGCCCCAGGCCTGGAGAGAAATGGTCGAGCGTGAGAAAAAGCTGGAGGCCCTGAGCGAAGCGCTCATTTTGAAGCTCAAGAGCTCAGGGAAAGAGCTTGACCCAAGGCTCTTTGACAAAGATGAGGCGGCAGCGTTTGCGGAGAGCGATAAGAATGAGTGGGAAAGCTGGATCAAGAACAAGGTGATCGAGAGGATCAACCCGGACGTGGCTCGGCAGGTGGATCGATCCTTGGTGTTCCGTGCACCCTTGAGGATGGTGCGCACGAACAAGAGCAAGGAGGCCATGAAGCTCATTGCCAAGTCGCGGCTCGTGGTTCCCGGACACCTTGATCCCCAGCTTGGTGACTACCGGACAGACAGTCCAACGGTGGCGAGTGTTGCGGTGCGGATGACGAAAATCATCTGTGCCATGAAGAAGTGGTCCGGGTGGTTCTTCGATGTGTCGACGGCATTCCTGAGTGGAAAGAATGCCACCAGGCAGATTTTGGTCAAAGCCCCACCGGAAGGTTTGCCGGCAGTTGACGGCATGAAGGCCGTACGCCCTCATGAGCTGATGCGCATTGTGAAGAGTGCCTATGGTTTGCCAGAGGCACCTCGCCTGTGGTATCTTCGTGCTGTGGAGCTGCTGGAGGAGGGCGGCATGCAGGAGGTTCCCTTTGCGAGGTCTACGTTTGTCCTGGTGGACCCCAAGAAGACGGTGCGAGCCATCTGCGATTTGCATGTCGATGACGGCTTTCTGGTGGGCGAAGAAGGAGAGTTTCATTTTGAGAAGCTCAAGCAGTACATCAACGAGCACTTCAACATCAAGGAGTGGTCTAAGCTGGGTGAGAAGCCTGTGCGGTACCTGGGCATGGACGTCACCATGGGCACGGATGGAATCCAAGACAACATGGTGGACTATATCCGGAAGATTGAGTACAGCAAGCTGACGGGCCCGGATGAGAAGATGCTGGAGAGCACCAACTTCAAGGAGTACCGGCGCTTGGTCATGCAGATGCGGTGGCCTGCGGCCCATGTCATGCCAGACTTTCTGTACCGCATCAGTGCCCTGGCTCAGAAGTTTAAGGGGCCGAGCTACGCCGACGTCAAGAAGGCGAACAAGACCCTGAAGGATATGAAGGCCCTTGCGGAGTCCGGGGGTGCCATTCTGAAGTACCCGAACATCGGAGGCGAGGTGATGTTCGTGACCTACTTTGATGCTTCCTTGGGCAAGGAAGAAAAAGGTCAGAGTCAACAGGGAGCGGTTCACTTCATCACCTCAGTGAAGGCGGAGACACAGCCAGCCCCTGCGGGGATTTTGGAGTTCAACAGCAGCCGCATCTCGCGTGTGGTTCGCAGCAGTATGGCTGCGGAAGCAGCTTCGATGACGATGGCGGCGGATCACCAGCTCTACAACCGGCTGCTCTGGGAGGCGCTCACCAAGGGGCAGTTGGAGGTGCATGGAGACTGGCGGCAGCGGCTGACCACCAGGGGCCTGGTGGTGACGGATGCGAAGAGCCTGTATGATCATGTGAAGAAGGTCGGCCACCTCACGGCCGAGAGGCAGACTGCGTTGGATCTCCACCTCACCAAGCAGATGGTGGAGAAGGGCATCCTGGGCATCTGCTGGTGCCCGACGTTCAAGCAGTACGCGGATGCCCTCACCAAGGAGATGGACACCGAGCAGTTCACGGTGTACAGGCAGTTTTGGGAGCTCTGCATGAAGCAGACCGAACAGGACAAAGTCCTCGAGGAGCGTCGCGCGCTGCTCCGAAGGGGACAGCGCGAAAGGCGCAAGCTCCGCATGAGTGCCGCTTAGTCAACAGCAACACACTTTTCCCTCTGTGTGAGTTGCTAGCGGCATGGCATGCTGTTGACAAACCGCAGCTGTGCACAGATCTTAGCACGCAAGAAAGGTTGCTGCCTGCTTTGCGCTTAAGTCCCCCTAATAGGGGCAACTTCTGTTCTGGGGGTTGGTTCTTTTGGGGCCGCTCCCACAGGGTGCGGGGGCTGCTTGCGGGCAGTCGGGTTTGTGGGGCACCCCCCAAAAAAATGGACAAATGTCCTCGGTGTTGTTGGGTTGCCCCTTGAAAGCCACGAAAAAGGGGCTGGGACCCCGCAAAAACCCGACTGGAACCCATTGGCCTTGGCAGGCATCCCCATGATCGAGGAGACTCTGGCGGAGGCGGCCGCTTCTGTGCCGCGCACGGGGGGGCCAAAACTCGGGGAAACGCTGGCGCTTCAGCCGCCGCATAGGTGTGTCCTTGGGTTAGATTGGTTCGAAATCGCTGGTTTTCAGCAAGCTCACCCGTGCGAAGGGGGGGTTTGTCTTTGACTTCCGTCCAAACACCACGCGCCAGGAGCACCCAACTCAACGAAGGGCGCGATTGCGCTGAAACACCTGGGCCCTGGCCATGTTTGGGGTTTCCACCAACCCACACCGCCAAGCAGGGGCGAGCTAGGCCTCAGATAGGCAACCAAAGTGGCGGGGGCGAGTTTTTGCTGGGGAAAGGCTGCAGCTCCACCAGCTTGTGCAGCTCCACCTACAAGCCGAAATGGGGGATAGCAGCCAACAGAGATCCCCAACAGGTGGGCGAATCATGACGGACCCAGAAGCCTCAGTCAGACCTCGAGCGGTTCCAAAATGCCTCCTGACTGACACTGGGAGATGGTGCTCGTAGTTGCCCACTACCAAAGGGTTTGGAGCAAACCCACTAGCAACACTCAAATCAGGATTGACTGACGCGACGGTGAACCATCCTCAGTAGCCGTCTCGCCTTACGCCCCTTTCTTTGGGTCCCTTGCATTGGGGAGGGGGTCGGGAAATGAAGCTACCAAAAGGACATCTATAAAGCTATGAAATGCACTGCATCATCTGCATTTGCATTCGCATTCTGCGGATGTTTTTTGGATGTTGATTCCGGTTTCGTGGGCTAGGGTCCCTGCAGATCGGACACATTTGGGGTAAGCTCAGGCTTGGTTGGCAGGCATGGGCCAAGCTCTTGAAACCCCGTGACGCCTGTGTAACTTGCTGGTGCGATAGGTAGGGAATGAGAAATGGCCCTTAAAGGAAGCCACAAGGGATGGTGTATAAGGGTGATTCCCTCATTCCCTGCTGAGCAACAGCAAGTTAAGGCTTAGACCATTGCTGAAAGAACCTTATGTTGGTTTCCCGGTTTTTTGCTCTGCAGGCAACCAGGGTTTCGTTACATACAGCTGGCGCATGTGTCGAAGGCCGAGCCTTTGGAGCATTTTTTGGTGCCCTTTAAAAGGAAGGCCAAAATCGAAGTTCTCCGAGGTGAGCATCTTTGGTACGCTTTGGTCCTTATTGTTTGGTCTGACCTGAGACGAGATCCCTGGGATCCAGACCCTTTGGTGCTGACGAGCCCCCTTCCCGGAGTGTTTGGGGGAGTCCAAAATGGCCGGCTTCCTGGTGGCCCCAAAAAAAAATCTGCGACGAGACCCAACCAGCGACCTGACCCACGAATTTCACAACCCCGCGACGATGGGAGGTGCAGCGCCTGGCGGATCTGCGAGTGGAGACCTCCCAAGGCCAAAGGATCCAACACCCCGAGCAGCTCGGAGCGCGTTGTTGTGGGCAATGGCATCCCCTCCCCACCCCACCACTTGTTGATGTTCTTTTCTTTTGGGGGGGGCATCAATGCCAAGGGTTTCTCCGTGCTGGATGATTTGTTCAAACGAGATACAGAACATACAGTACTGGCGCCAAACGAGTGCTCTGACAGATTCTGTGGGGATTGAAGCAAATCTCGAAACCCACTTGTCGTATCAGTAGTTCCAAAAGAACTTGTGAGGAATGAACCGCAATTCACAAAGCTGAATGGAAGCAGGGGTACTAGGTCGTTCCCCTTGTCCTGGTGGACATGCAGCTGAGGATGGTGTGCGCCATTGTGATTTGGACCTTCGCTCCTTGGTCGCAGAGGAACCACTTCAAAGGTACAAAAGCTCGGTGGCTCCCAGCCATCTTAGCCTTTTGGCCGTTTAGTGTCTAGTGGTAGTTTCCATTTAGCCCACTAAAAGTTAAACTTTTGGCGGGGGATCTGAGGGCAGCCCAGAAAGGATATGGCTACGTCTCAAACAGGACACAAAGAAGCACACCCCCTTGCAGGGGTCAGGGAAACAAAAATCGAGCGACCCCGAAACTTGCATGTCCAGCATCGTTGGACTCTTGCGGGGGTGGTTGCACATACGCCCCCCCCGCCCTCCCGTTTTTTTTGGGGACCTGTTGCTGCCTCTTGGCGGCCTTTGGCCACCCCCCATGGAGATTGGCCAGCTAGCTTTGGCACTTCCCAAGCTGAGGACACGGTGTTGGTTGATGCGGACACCCCCTACACGAAGGAGATGTGAGTTTTTCCAGCACGGAATTCCACGCGTTGCCTTTTTCTGGGCGGGCTTCAATTGAGCGAAGTTCTAAAACCCCTGCACTTGAAAGTAGTATTCGGGAGGAAGTATCGTTTTCAACATGTTGACTTTTCCCAGGTCGCGGAAGCGCTGCGCAAGGTTTGCGGAAGGGGTTCTTATTTATGTACTCGCGGAAGCTTCGCGGAAGGGCTACGATGCAATCAAGAAAGCAAGAAATTGTAGTTTTCCTTTACGCGCGGAAGCGAAAACGAACCCCAATCCCATTTCTCAATCCGCGGAAGCGATGCGGAAGCGATTCCCTCTTCAAACCTCTTGCGGAAGGAACCTTTCATGCCGCGTAAGCTCCGCGGAAGCCTTTGCGGAAGGGATTTGATATTTCCCTTCGGCCGCAACTGTGTTTAGAATTTTGCTCAATGGTCAAGCAGTTGTACGTCCTTCTTCTTCCCAAGTCTTTGTCAAAGAGGCAACCAAGAGGCGACAAATCCCAGAGCATGCCGATGGGGTGGATGGGATGTGCCCCAACATGGACCCCGCAAAACTGATTGGTTTGTTTTTGGCTTCCCTTCAACACCATCAAAAGGAAATGTCCAGGACACCCCCATTGCTTAAATTGATAGTCTGCCTGCAGCTATCAGACACATCATGCTGCTTCTTTTGCCTCCTTTGTCAGGTTGTGTGTGTGTGTTTGTGTGCATGTTTGTGCAATCAGATGAAATGTTGTGCCCGAGTCCTGCCCTCTGGAATGACAGCTCCAAGGCTCAGTAAACCTGCTACCACTCATGACTCAGTTGTTGATATGAGTCACCGGCCTGGCGATATTCCCGGGCAGTCTGGTTTGGGTGGGCATCTATCGGTTTTGCAGGTTGATGGGCATTGGTGTTGGGTGCTTTGCGTTTATGTATAGTCAGGATATGTGCGTGAGCTTTGGCCAGCCGGGCCTTTGTTGCAATGCTGCTGCATGTGTATGGTCTCAAGCATAAATCCAAGTCTGATTGGTGCGCAGGAGAGACTGCCAGCCTTTTTGCTCACATTCATGAGCGCGCGCATATGTGCTTGAAACTTCTGAGAAAGATCATCCTCGGAGCAACCCAGCTTGATTTTTTCCCGGGCCAACACAAGGGAGGGTCTCATCCTTTGCTGAACTGCAGTTAAGCGGCCATGGCGGGGCGACTGGGAGATCAAATCCCACTACCCCACACAAGGCAGAGTCGAGAAACCAGGAGCAAACCTTCCAGTACCAGGTGAACAAGTTTATTGACAAGCGTGACAGTGAGTTCTTCTACGTGGGTCGAGGGCAACTGGACAGCACAGATCGAGCTGCAAGCTACGGGCGGAAACGATGACTGAGGTTTTTCTACTACCTCATGACTGCTTTGGAGAAGCTTCCCCCAGCTGGGGGCGTGGTCTACCAAGGAGAGGGTGCGGTTGGGCTAAGTGACAAAACGTAGCCTTGCGCAGAGTCCCGATGACGGTCCCCTGCGTTCACCTTGGTTGGATTGGAAGGTTCATGATGCCAATGAACTGTCCCCCCAGCACCCCCAACGACACCTTAGCATTCCCCGACGAAACCTTAGGAAACCCCACAGAAACCTCACAGAAACCTTACAAGCCCCGGTTCTTGGACAGCGTGTCGCCTGTGTCGAGCCGCCTTCAGTGGAGCCCAACTATTCGCCGCGCCCGCAGGCATCCCCGGCAAGGATGTGGCGACGGCGCGGGAGGCGGACGGGGAATGGCGACGCCGCATGCTTGGCCTTTGAGATCCTTTGAGTATTGCAAGGGCCCAAATAATTGGAGTACTGTGCATGGCTACGAAATCCTCTTAGGCACCACCAAGGAAGCCCTGGTTTCGGATGATTCCCCTGTTAATACCAACAACTAATGGTTTTTGGGGTACTCTTAAACCATAAGTCATGATTCTGGTGGTAAACTATTGATGATTTAGATTTGTTCTATCCCCCTGGTGGGTTTAAGATAATGTATCATCCCTACTGGAAATGTTGTCTTTCAGGGAGCTTAAGCTACTGGATCGTGTCCAAAGCCCCGGAGTGGTGAAAGCTGAAGCATTTGTCGAGAAGCATGCAAGTGTGGCAAGCATGTGGTGTTGTGGCAGAGTGAGCAGCCTCCTCCATGGGGTCGGGGGAGGCTTTGTTTGAGCTGTGAACAAATAGCGGGGGTCCCTCAAAAGAGATCTGGATCCTATGGGACACACCCATGAGCACCCCCCGAAAATCATCCAGCAGGTGGCTTGGTGGCCCGATTTCGCCGGGTTCCCGATTTCCCGATTTCGCGGGGTTGCCTAGCCCTGAGTTGACGCAACGGTGTGCTCATCCCAAAGCCCAAAGGCATGGGAAGACTGAAGCTGTTCCCTTGACCGGGGTTCCATAGAGACAAAGTCCATTGGGCCTGTCTGCCTGTCTCCAAATCTCAAAATGTGTTGCTTCAAGAAAGGGCAAACCCCATTCCTCAAATATGGATTCCCGGGATCCCAACAATGGGGGGTGTCCTCCAAACAACTCGACCATGCCCACTTTAACCGCCCCCGGTAATTCTTGCAAACATGCGCTCGCACTGTCACCCCGAACAACACCCGCAACAGCAGCACCCCACCGTCAATCTTGCAAAAACGCGCCCGCACTCTCACCAGCACTCCAAGCAGCACCCCAAACTGCAGGCCCGCAAGCACCCAGCCGTCAATCTCGCAAATCACTTTCCTCTTTACTGGAAGTTAGAACCCCTTAGCTTTCAGCTATCGCCCGAAACAAACAACCACCTTGGTTTCCATCCTTGGGAGCCCTGTTCCAACTCTCCCCCGCCAAAACCAAACAATCCAAACAAACACTTCCCCCCCAAAAAAAAGAAAAGAAAACGCAACCACCAAGCTTCAACCAACTTCAACTTCAACCAACCGAATTCCCCCCCCCCCCTAAACCCACCCCAATTTTCAAAAACGCCCACTTTTTGGGGCTTGGGCTTCGCTCGCGTCTCCTTTTCTCGCTGCCCGCCCTGTCGCTCGGTCGGTCGGCTTTGGCCCGAGGCGCTGGTGGAGGGCACCACGGTGACCTGGCGCTGCTTCACCACGGCGCTGCAGCTCTGGGGCTCCATGGCGCCTCGGACGGGGAGGAGGTGGCGTCCGCGTGGCGGACGGTCGGGGGGGACAGGGGGGGACGGAGTGGGGGAGGTGGTGACTGCGGGTTGGGGGGGGGGGCGGAGGGGGGGACTATGAGGTGGTGCTCTTCAGCTTTGGGGTGGTGTTTTGTTTGTTTTTTTGTGTGTGGTTTCTTTGGTGGGAGTGTGGTTTTTTGTGAGTTGGTGTTTGGTTGGTGAAAGGTGGTTTGGCCATGCGGTGTTGTGGGGTTGTTTTTAGTGTTAGTTGGTGAAAGGTGGTTGTTTCCGCGAAGCCACGAGCTAGCTTTTTAGAATCTGAGGACAGCCCAGAAAATGGTTGGGTCTAGTTGGAGTTTGGGTTTGAGAAGAGCTGTGGCGTTTTGCGGGCAACCTTTTTAAAAATGTTGAGCATGTTTTAAAGGCATAAGCCAGCTCGATTTATGGCAAGCTCGGATCCGGTAAAACTAGCGCACACAGTTGAGTAAGGTTCTTTGCTGGGATCCAATTCTTATTTCAGGCTTCGGAATTATGCAACAATTGAAAACAATATGGGGGGGTGCTTATTTTTGAAGTTCACCTTGGAATGCTGGAATGGGGGAGACAGAAGTGCTTTTGTTTGAGGGGACTAAGCCAAATGAACCTTATAGGGTTCCCCAATTCGACAACCGCCGAATCACCCCTGTATTACAGGGGCCTGATTGGCGAAACAGGCGGTTTGGGAAGTACTTTTTCCCCCCAAAACAAGTGGTAGTGCTGTCATGTACTCGCGGGATTGCTCAGTTTGCATTCTTTGGCAAACAAACTTGAAGCTAATCCAGCCCAAATCCCACAATTGGTCGCATTCTGCATGCCTCTGCCAATCAGTTGCGTAGACTTATAAATCAATTCGAGGAATCAGAATTCAAAGTTTCACCTATGACAAAGGTCGCTGCTTAGGGAATGTGCCAAACTTGGTGAACCGACTCAATTTGTATATGTTTAATGACCAAGAGGACGACAGGTTTGTGCCATATTGTGGACTCGTGTGTGCGTGCGTGCGTGTGTCTCATGTTTTGTACTTGTATTAAATATGTGCCGCAGCCAATTCAGGTTTGAGAGTTCACCGTTTGAGGAGCCTTCGCCTCTTTCACCCTCTGAGGACTTTGTAAGGTCGTTTTGCCAGGCGATCCCCTGTTTCCCACCGGGCGAGTCAGCATGATTTATTGCGTATGGTTGATGACCGGGAGATGACCAGCTTGCGTCATGTCTTGGACGTGCCAGATATGTGTGGCACGGCCAATTCAGATTTGAGTGTGCAACATTCCCAAGCTTCATCCACGGTTGTTTGTGGCTCGTTAGCATAGCAAGCTACCCGGAGTTTGGGGAAGGCACAAAAGAGGAGTGTGGGACCTCTACCCAACATGAAGCTCAACCAAAGGTCTGTAGAGGATCTTGGAGGTCTGGGTGACGCAGGTCTTATGAGAAGCGCCCTGACGTCTTAGGTGACCTATGACAGGGGCCTAGTGCTGCAGATCACGCTGCTGCCGGAGAGTCGGGGCAAGGGCTCCCTCTTCGAGTCGAAGGGCCGACGCTCGGCGGGAAAAATCGGCGGGAAAGCGGCGCTCGTTGGGAGCGAGCCTCATGGAGCTTTTTTTGCGCTGAGGCGCGGTTTGAAAATGAAAAGCGGCGACTCCTGGAATGCGTTTGAAGGGGAAAGCAAAAGAATCCAATGAAGTTTGAGGCTGCCCGAGTTTCGATATGGCTCAAGTCACATTGACTCAGCCTTGTTTGTAGACTGCCCAAAGCCTTTCCTGTCTTTCGTTGCTCCATGTTGCAGCTGATGCTTGCCATGGCTTGCGGTCTCGCCTTAGCAGCGAGACCAGAGCGTATTGCTGACGAGCTGCAGGAAGACAGTTTCATGTTCCCTTGCTGCAAGAACGCGCAAGGCTTGATCTGTGGGCTGAAGGGAGTGACGGCCATACAGTGTTTGCCGCTGAACGTGCTGAAAGTCACCGCTGGTTCTTGTTCTGCGGCAGGGCACTGCACCATGCCCGACGTGTGCTTAACACCAGTTGACTCGCCGGCTGGACCGATCCCTGTCCCTATCCCCTACCCAAGTCTTATGCCAGCTTGCCCCAGATGAGGGCGTGCATCCGGCGACCGGATGCAGAAATGGAATCGGCCCAAAGACGGCGGTATCCAAGCGAGCAGAAAAAAGAAAAGACAAGCAGGCGTGTGTTGCTTTACGTTTTGGGAGGGTGCTACAATATTCAAGGTATTTCCCCGCAGGATTGAGCAGGGCTCCTTAAAAGATACATTTTGCCCATTTGAAACATGGTTTTTTCCACCAAAATAAAGGGCAACCACCATTTAGAAGGCAATGTTCAGGTGTATAATGTAAGGATCCCTGTTGAGATTTGCTTTCCCCTGCCGCCAAGCAAGCAAGCAAGCAAGCAAGCAAGCAAGCAGGCAAGCAGGCAAGCAAGGAAGCAAGCAAGCAAGCAAGCAAGCCAGCAAGCAAGCAAGCACCCACCGTAAACCTACCTGAAGCTATTCCAAATTTACCCCTAAACCCACCCAAACCTAGTCTCAGCCTCTAGACAGACCCTAAGCCATGCGTAAACCCATCTTACTCCACGCAAAACCCACCAGCAACGCAGACTGCCCCAATCCAATCAAGCCCTAAACCACGTTAAACCCGCCCCACAACCCACCCTAATCCCAACCAAAAACCCACCCCTGAATGCGACGCAAACATCATTCCCAAACGTGAGAAACAAATCCCAGAAAAGGGCGGCGCCATTTGTTGGAGAAGCAAAGCGATGCAGCCTGGTAGGCATGTGTCTAGAAACTAGTTGGATGCATTCCGTTATGTTGCTATGTTCCGTTCAACGCTGCAAATGGAGAAGGATTTGCTTTGGTTTGCTTACAGCCGTATCTTGACGGGCTGATGGCAAGCCGAGCGGGAAAAAGCCTAGAATCAATGGTTTTTCCAGGTCGGGGACTCTGGAGTTACTGAGTATGGAGACCCTTGTAGATGTCTGGTTGTATCTTGGCAACCACTTTGAAGGATTGATACACCCATGGGGTATCTACAAATTGTGGTTTACCAACTTTAAACCAACCAGAAAGGGGTCCCTGAAAAAGCGACACCTAAGAACGTTTATTGAAACATTCCGACTCTATGCTTGTGCCAGAACTTGGTGGTTCCCAGCCATCCCCTTAGTGAGGTCACCCCTTCAAATGTTCACAAAAAAAGAAGTCTGAGCACAGCCCAGAAAAAGAGCCTTCTAGCACTTTAGCGACTAAGGCCCAGGTGGCTTTGATTCTCTGTTGGGTCCTTGCTTTCTCCCAACCTCTTTGAAGGGTATCCCATACCTTCGGCTTTGGGCTCCTGGGTGGGGTGTGTTAGTTTGGCTCCTGGGGGGCCCTTCTCATGGGCTCCGAGGAGACATCAGCAAGCTGTCGGCCTTCTCAGGGTCCAGCGAGGTGCTCTTGCTGCCCAACATCCGCATGCGGGTGGGTTGGGGAGCCCAGGATGCCGGCGCAGCGACGAGTCCGTGGGTTTGGTGTCGGAACGGCGACTTTTCTTTTGGGAAAGGATATTGGTGCACTTCCATGTTGGTGGGAGGGTAAATTCCCAGTTCTTGCAGCACAAGGTTCCCAAAGAACAGAAGAAAGAGACAACACGAGACATGTCCCAAAAGGAAGGTGGTTGCAAAATCAGAACCTCAGTGTTCATTTTCGTCGGGAGGTGAGTTGGCCTCGGAGATTGTTGGGCTTGGTTGGTCGTCCAGTGCCTCGGGTTTGGCCCTTCCAAGCTCGAGGTTTTCCGTCCAGAGCTTCTATCCTGAAGTGTAGCTTGCTGGTTCCCAGCCATGCGGTTCCTCAGCTTTTGAGCTTTATAGTTGGTTTGGTGCTTGGGTTTCCGTACTTCACCCACTTAAGCTTAAGCTTTTAGCCGGGATACGCGAGCCACAATCAAAAAATGGGTAGATGCAGGTTAGTAAGAGGCAGTCCCAGCCGGAAATAGTTGCGGCCGCCTTTCCAATTCTTTACATGGTTCTGGGTTCACCATTTTTGTACCAGGTTTTGATTGTGACTCATTTTATCATCATGTCCATCATCACTTTTCATTAGTCATTTCATGTCCATGTCCTTTCCATGTCCTTTTCATGTGCTACGGGTGGTGTCAGCCGCATTTCGGCCGCACCCACCGCTTCTCCCAGGCCCGGAGGTGCAGCGCAAGGGTCTGACCGTCATCGAGCTGACGGAGCTGGAGGAGGACACTGCCACCACGCTGAACGCCGAGGACTTCGAGTGAAGGCCGCGCGACTCGACTCGACGCGCGGACGCGCGGACTCGCGGACTCGACTCGCAGCTTGGACGGTTTGGGGTTCGAGTTTTTGGGGATGACCCAAAAGAGTATAGGAACATGGGGGGAGGGGGGGGTTGTGTTTATACCTGCTCGCTTTTCCTGAGGTCCTGGACTTGAAACTCACTTTTGGGGTTGGACCATTGGAATGGCAATCAAAGAGTTTGGACTTTCTCTGGCCAATCTAGCCCGGGAAGTGAGCATGAATGTATGCCCAACGAAAAGCACGACGTACCATGTAACTGTAAGCTTACGTGTTATCTGGGATTTGAAACAATTTTGAGGATGTCACTAATGGAGCCAGTCTGGCCGGGTTGTCTATATTTCCCATTTGAACATCACACCACATGCAAACTCACTTTGAATTGACGTGATGTTTAGCATGACCCCTTTGCGAGGGGGAGAGACAGTGAACGAACTCCTGGAGCTGTGTTAACGTGACATCGAGTTGGCGGTTGAATGCAGTCGGATGCGCGTGCGCGTGGAGCAAGGAATGATTGAGGTCTCTCCACGCTTTTGCGAGCCCAAAAGAAGAGATGAGAGCTATAGAGAACATGGCTGAACAAATCTGAACAAGCCTAGATTCAAGTTTGCTTCTCGCCACCAGATGTTTTGCTGTCCCGGGATTTTCAATCAACTTTTGGGGGGGTCAAACATTTGGACCCTAGGGCCGCCTACCGCCTTCAAAAGGGAGACCTGATTTGAGAAGCATTTCCCTTGGAGGTCAGGTTACGGGTGGCATTGCAAACGCATTCAGCTGCTTGGCTCAAAAGCCGGAGAGACTCCCGGGCTCCGAGATGCAGGAAAGTTCGGAGGAGCCGGGAGCGCGTGCACTGCGCGGGTGGGTCCTCTTCGAGTTGATGCTCACACTAACATGGACCCAATTTGGGGCTTGAGCATTTTCTGGGTAAAAGTGACCCCGTGACTCTGGCAGCTTCTACTGATGCATCATTTGGGACGGATGAAAACCTACAAAGGACGGAATAAACCATCTACCAACTCATGGATCTTGACCCATCAGTGCTGGGGAAAGAAACCAATGGGCACACAAAGCGACAGTCGGCCACGCCTGCCAACGCTGCGCATTCGAGTTCCCAAGCACAAGCACGAAGGTTTGACAGCACTTGGAAGACGCCAGTTGGCCACGAACCCCATAGAACCGTTATTTGTGTTGCGTTTGCATACTCCGGACTTCGCGTCCTCTGCGCCTGCGCCTCAGTCCGGGCCAACCCGCCCGCTCAACCCAACGTGTTGCGTGTCCGTAGCTAGCACTTCTCTCCCTCCAAATATCGAAGCCGGATGAAGGTGACACTGGAGATCGGCCACCTCAAGCTGCGTTATATATTAGGGAAAAGAAATGGTTTGAACGACGCGACCATGAAGCTCTTGAAAGGGAAGGCATGAGTTGGGTGCTACAGCGGTTTGCGATTTTTGTTGTGGGGGTTCCCTTGTTTTGCCTGGGTGAATACGTGTGGGTCAGCGGAAACGCGAAGGAGACCAGCGAGCAGCCGGTGGAGGTCGGCAAGAGCTCGACCTCGACCTCCGAGGAGAGGGAGGTTTGACAGTGGGCGGGGTTCCCTTCCTCACTTCGCGGTTGGCCACGATTCGCAGTCGTGTTCCTTTGGTTCAGAGAATCCACCGTGCAGTGTGTTTGATGGTACCACTCAAAGGCGACTGTTCCGCGTTTTGGGGCGGGGTTCAACATGAGTGTGAAGAGGGCGCCAGCTTTCCTCAAATGATTCTTGGGGGTCGCCCACGATCGTAGCTGGGAGGTGCACACGTTCCAAGGTAAGTTGCCCATTTTGAAACAGGCCATCGCAGGTTTTTGCAGAGTTCCGTTTTCTTCTACGACCTGCACGGCCTGCCTTTCCTTTCTTACCTTCCACTGGTAAGAAACGTGGATTTTCTGGGTCTTGGGGTATAAAACTGCACAGCTTCCAGTGACAATATGCTCCCGAATACTGGTTGGAGCAGTGACCATATGCTCCCAAGTGTCCTGCGCTTCGATGTCTCCACAGCTTTCCCCCCCAGGGCACGAGCGCGGTGAGCGTGAAGAAGCCCAGCGTGAGCACGCTGGAGGCCTATGTGAACCTGGCGACTCGGGCCAAGACTGGCGCTGTCCTCAGGTGAGTCCGGGCTCATTTCGGTTCTGTTTCTGGGGTTCAAGTCAGGACATGTAGGTTGGTTTGGTTTCCTTAAGAAAACCCACCAAGGGGGTGACTTTGATCACGGTAAAATCGCGAGGCCAGTGAGAAGGGCGGCCGTTTGTTGGGTCAAAACGGAGTCCCCTGCAACATGTTTGTTGAAAGATGGGCCGGGCCCGGCAAGTTGAATTGTCTTAAATGGATGGGTGCCATGTTCTCCTTTTTGATTTTAATCCAGCTGGCTGGACAACTGAAGGGATTACCTAGAAAAGCCTTTTGCAGCGGAACTCGGCTGTCGCTCAAAGAAAGTAGCAAAGGCGCAGCAAATTAAACCTGTGGCCCGCTTTGGTTGTGAATTCTTCGGTGGCTATTCAAAGATAGGCCTCTAAGAGGTTCCATGTATAAATGGAAGGGTGTCCTAAAAATAAGTGTAGTTTATTACCGAAGCAGTTGGTTTCCATGCGTGGCTCTCAAAATCTGGCTGGCAATCGAAAGCTAGTGCTTGCCCCTTTCTTGTGTGTAGCAGGGGCCTTTTGGCTTGTCAAGCGAGCGGAGAATGGCCGCCCTAAGTGCAGCCATTCGCGCAGACATTGCCTGTCAAAATCACTCGGACGCCTCCAAAGGGCGGTTTCCTTTTGGTTCCAAGGCGGCTTCCTCGCCTTTGGAACCCGTGATCAGCCCAAAGACTCAGGAAAAGTGGAACGGGACAACCAGAGAACCCTGGAACCGCGAACCAAACATCCGGGGCGGGGGCTGCGGGGCGCGGGATATGTCCGACGTCAACTGCGTCGCCAATCCTCAGCCCCCACTTTACGGGACCGCACTGCCGGATTCTAGTGACGTGCAGGCTCCCTCTGGAATCAGGTCGAAATTTAGTGAAGCGTTCCCTTGAGCCTTGGCAACGCCATGTCCGGAGCACCAGCCTCTCTCTTTCTCAAGTCAACTCTGGAGAGAGAGGCCCTTGGGAAACCCGAGCCAAGGTGACAGTGATCATTGGCGCCGGTATCTTGGCGCTGCCCCAGCTACCTGCGCGAGGGGGATGGGTGCTGCGCTTTGTCGCAAAGGGCTTGGGGTGGGTGGAGCCTTGGTACAGATGCCGCGTATACATTGCTTGCCCCAGTTTTTCCAAACCCGGGGCGGTTTGGTGTATCACCAAAGAAATGCCCAGGAAGGATCGGAGTTGCAAAAAGGGGATGTGTGGCTCCTTGCCAACTTTTCGGGTGAGCCCTGAAAGCTCTTGATTCCATGGCAGGATCGGTGGAAGTGTCCTGAAGACGTGGCTGCCTTCCATGGACCGTTGGACCGGCTGCCGCACTGTGCCCCAATGAAAGGGCGGCGGCCTTTGCCCTTTCATTGCCGGCAGCCGAAACCTGTTATTGTATACCTCAAAGTGCTTTATTTGGGTCTTCACAGCCTGGACAGGGTGGATTTGGGGTGATGGGAGAGCAGGCGACTTAGGTGTGTTGTTGGGAGTAGGGGTTGGAGTTGAGCTGGTTGTCCCCGCGAATACCCCCTGCTTTGTGTTTGTCATACGCGCCTTTTACTTTGGGAGGGAAGCACTGCCTCCTGGCCCGACATGCTGACCCCCGGATTTATCAATCAGAGGTGGTTTGTTATCCTGAGAAACCCCCATTCGGTTCCAAACCAATGAGCCTACATAACGGTCTGGATGTGGCTTCTGCGGAACCACCTCTGCAGGAGTGCCGAAAAAATGCTGCTGGGGGCGGGGGGGAGAACATCCAAACCGTTTTCTAGATTGAGGTGCCCCTTGCTGCTGATCCTGTGTGGCTTCGCGGTGCACGAGTCGGCACTGCAGCTCTGGAAGGGCTTCATGGCGGATCATGCCATCCCTGTCAGCACCTACGAGGAGCGCACGGTTTGTCGTATCCCGCTTAAGGGGAAACTGGAAATGTCCTTTCTGAGGCTTATCCACGAATGGGCTCTCGCAGGTAGGTCTGGTTTGGAACCCGCGTTTCCGTTTGGTGATTTGTATTTGGGTTTGGGGCTTGAGCCCCTGAGTGTTGTTGAAGAAGATCCAATCCAAACGAGCAACGGATAGTACTACTCACTGGGAGTCGGCAGGGAAAAGGAGACCAAAGGGAAACGGCTCATTTCGAACCACTTTTTGTTGGACATTGTCTTGTCGACAAGTCTATAGGACCTGGGAGAGGCAGCCTTTGGTGTACCCGGGCGCGCCATAACAACGGTGGTGGTAAACGCCTTCCTGCTGCTTTGAGGCGAAGTCGTTATTTGGCTTTCGGCCCCCTACAATGGCCAGGGCGTCCTTTCAGTTTCCCAACGGGGGTCCACCGTTTTGAGAACACCTTCCTTCGGCACGTCAGGTCTTTTTTGGTTTCAGCCCCATGGCAAACCCTGAACCCTGTTGTTTTGCATCCATGTAAAGCGTGCTCGGTATGAACATGTTGATTTCAGCATGTGGTACTCGGTACTCGTGTCAGCATCATGTGTTCGTTTGACCATGTCTTGCTATCAGCGCGCTTCATTTTAGCGTGTGCTGGTCATGTGTTGCTAGCTACAATCAGTTTTAGGTGCCCCGTGGGTCGCTTGGTATTGTCCGGCATTTCATTCACCGTTTTCCTTAGGGCCGAAGTAAGGCTCGGCATTTGCTCCGCCTACTGCGCCCTCATCGGCATGCAGCTGCAGACCGTGTCCAACAACGCCATCCACAGCCGCGCTTGGCTGCTGATCATGTGGCTCGGCCGAGGAGCTTCGGGGTCAAAGCCACAGGCGTCCTTAGGGTTTGAATAGAAATAGATGAGTTCCACTGGTTTGGATTGGCTCTATGGCCCATTTTGGGAAACCCATCTATTTTGTCCAAAGGGTTACCTATGGTCAAACGTCAAAAGGTAAACCTTGTCCAAAATTCAAGCTGAAAGCTGAGTCGACGACTGATCTTCAGGGTGCTATCCTTGCGGCGTCTTAGGAGCTGATCCGCAAGGGCTGTTCAGGCCCATAAACGGACATGGGCCCAGGGTTTGATTGAGTTCTGCAGGACGGCTCACGCAGCTTGGTCGGTCCTTGTCGGTCCTTTGCGGCGCCACTTCAATGGACCAAGTCTGAACAGAGCATGTACTGCAATCAGGAGATGTTGAAAACATGTTCTCATAAATGGCGTTCGATTGGTTGCGCAGCACACTCAACTGTGTAGCATCCTACTGACCCTATTTGTTAGAACCGTTCTTTTTGGGTCACCCTCATGGCAAATTTGAACGGACCCTTTGCCATCATGAGGTCAGGATTTGTGTCCCACCCATCCACTTTTTGCTCAACGTTTGAGTCAGGTACCCGGTCTTCGTATGCCTCGCACTGCTGCCAAACTTGTCGGTGCTGTCCAAGCTCGTGCCGGTTCTTCAGCTGCGGATGGAAGAGGGGGGGGGGTGTTCCCATAAATCGTCGGCAGGTTTCCGTTGGGTCGCCCAAAACTGGTTTCCTGCGAATCCGATCCCAAAGTGGCAAGTGGTCCTTTGCTTCCTGTTGAACATCAATCAAAAGGGAGCAAATCCCAGGTCCAGGGATGTGATTGGTCTAACTAACTCACGGCCAACACCCCAACTTTGGCCCAAAATGGTCCGACCTCTTGGTCATTTCCACCAGAGAAAGCGCTCCTTGCTGCCTGAGGTCACTGGTGGCAATCGATGGTTTCTTAACATTTCTGAGGTCCCAACCATGTACTCCTGGGTAGGTGCCCCCGCAAGATGTTCCGCAGAAGCATTTTACTACATCTTAGGTACATAAATGGTGCATAGCCATACTGTGGATGGGCAGAATTCCCTGTCGCACCACTTTGAAGCCATGGTTGACACCATAACGTTTGTTGGCATTTACGTTGGGGAACCGAATCAGAAACAAGGGTTTCTTGAGTGGAGGATGTCGTAACCGTCCACAGTTGGCATTCAAAGGGAGGCCCTTTGTCCTTTGAGAACCTGGGACAGAAGGGGTGTGTCTTTTCGGAGTTTTGTACAGTCCCCCCGTGTTATTTGGTCGGAGAACCAAAAGTTGGAAAACCTGCCCATTTTGCCGGGTGGGGGGGGGGGGGGGGTCGGAGTTCCGAATTCTAACAAGAAGACGAGCCACCCACATCAAGCTGCAGACTCGACGCAGATGCCTCAGACAAGGTCGGCATGGTGGCCGCCCTCGCCACCGCGGTGTGCATCATTGCCAAGGCCATGATCGATGTTGAGCATTGGTCCGACTGGAGCGAGGCCGGGAAAGAGCGCTCCAAGAGCGCAGCGAGCGATCCGGCTTTTGTTGTTTGTTGATTTGTTTGCTTGCTTGTTTACTTGCTTGTTGTTGTTTTTTGTTGGTGTGTTGCATGTGTTGCTTGTTGTTGCTTGTTTGTTGGGTTGTTGCTTGTGTACTTGCTTGTTTTTGTTTGTTGGTGGGTGTGCTTGCTTGGTTCCTTTGACTCCAGGTTCGTGAAAGATTGTCATTGCCCTGATGGGGATTTGTCCAAAATCAAGCAGCTGAAATGCGTGAGGGTGAAGCAGTGGAAGTTGAGTTCTTTGCTTGTGGGTACCCATTTTGGGGTTGCTCTAAAGGAAAGCCAAAAAGAAAACCGCCCATTTCAGGGTGCCTTATGTCGAGGCACCCCCACTTGTTAGGCAGCGCCATATTGTCCAATCCTCACTGATCACAGCGTGTAGAAGGTAGAAGGTGACAGCTCGAGACCCTGAAACGTTTCGCTGACCTTCACTTGCGCATGTGCCACTGGAGCCTTCACCGTTTCCAGCGTGGAGTTGTTGAGAGGGCAGTGCTCTCTCTGTGGGTGTAAATGACGGGTTTGTTTGTTTGCAATATGCAGTGTTTAGTGGCCATTTAAACACATGTTGGGCACTGTATCTTCTTTTGTTGCAGATTGTTTCAAAATATGTCTAGCAAAAAGTGTCTGCATTTCAATACATGTCAGAAGTTTCAGTCTGTGTTTGGTGCATTCATATCTCTAGCATGTGCCCTTAGCCATGTGGCAACCATATCTGGCTTCTAGTCTGCAGGACGTGTTCGTTCAACATAGACTACTTGCATAATCTCATCCTAGTGCCTAGCATTTGAAGTACATTGACATGTCCAAATGTGTTTCACCTACCTTGATTGTATTTTCAGCTCGGTACCGATTATTTGGCTAATGATGATTTTAGTAGTGTTTCTCGAACTACAAGTATCCAACATGGTGAAAATTCGTTCGCCCCAGAGTTTGTAAAACACTACTTGAAAATGGAAACAGCACGCGCTCGGGACAGTCCCCTCTTTGGGAAATGGGTTTTATTCACCACATCCCAAAGAAGAGGTACACAACTGAGGTGTGCTTCCACCCGCACTTTGCCACGTATTTGCCATGTTCCGCTTTATTGTGTAGGGTTTCAATAACCAGACCAGTGCTGCCTGCAATCGCCGGGCTTTGCCATCTGCACGTGGACTTTGCAAGTGAATCGCAGCTGCAAGCAAGGTGGTAAACGCCCTGTTTCTGGTGATCGAATCCAAAGAACGCAGCGTCAATGGAGCAAGCTGTGGGGTGGGAGAGATCTACCATGGAGAAAACAAGAAACCTCAACAGAAGCCACAAACAAACAAAGCAAAAAACACATCCCCAGGCTTCGGTATTGTTCTTTGGTCTTGCTAGCGAGAAGCGTTTCAGGGTCCGAAAGCATTGTCTCGTGTTTCCGTCGAAGGTTTGTTTGGCAATGGGATGTGTTGCAGTGTTCAAACGGCTATGGGTCAAAATAGGCACCCAAACTGGAAGCCTGGATGGACTAAATCTGCGGTCCTCTGTTTTTGTTCATTTCGACCCATACCCAAATTGCCTTCTGCCGACCAACAGAGAAAGGTGTTCCCATTTTCCACAGCCACCGAATATATAGCAACTGCACCAGCACATATGGGTATGAGCTTGAACTGGGGAGTTGCTGCACATCAACTAAACTGCAGTTCATGTCCAGCCATTTTGGAGGACAATGATGGCAAGTGTCAGTTTCGGCAAGCTTCTTTTAGGCCGTCCGCTCGAGAATTAAACATGAGCCACATAGTGTCAGCCAAGTAATTGCAAGTAGTTTACCACTGCAAGCCATGTGTTTGAAGCATGAGCCAACGGCCCAGAGCTACGTGTTTCGGCCACCAAAGGCCCCCAAAAAACGGCCGACGAGCCGCGCGACTCGCGACTCGCGAGTCCCGCGGCAGGAGGCGGAGCTGCACGCCGCGTGGCCGGCGCAGTGGCCGGCGCTGGGAGCGGTGCTGGCGACCTGTTTGGGAGCCTTCACCTTGGCCCCGGTGTCGCCGCCGCTGATCCAGGCGGCTGGCGGGTGGCGGGTGGCGGTTCGCCGATGTGCCGAGAGAATCGAGGGGTGCCCGTTTTCATGTTTTGCTTTTTTGGCGGGGGTTCAAAGGCCACGTGTTTTTTCTTGATTGGGTTTAAATTGTTGAACTAGTTTTTTTGAGGGGGGAGGAGGACTTTGATGTTGAGCTTAGGTCCAGGAGCATCCTTCCTTCAAGCCAGTTTTCACAAATGGGATCTTTTTCTACTACCACTTTCTTGGGCGGTTTTGAAGAACGATTTTGGGGGGTTCCCCAAATGCTAAGCTTAGCTCACCGTTGATCGGAGGGTTTGGAAAGGATACCTTCCTTTTGGATCCTTTTGGGCTTCCGCCCCAAAGAAACAATTCCATTGGAAAGTGGGCAGCTCACGTTTGTTTCAACTCTTGTTTATGTCTTTCACCGAACGCTGGGCTTCCCTTTGTTTGGTGGTTTGCATTGGTCTGGTGGTTTTTCAGAGGGGTTTCGCGTCAACCCTCTACCAAATCCAAACCAATCCAAACCAACAACCTGACGGGTTACGTACCTGAAATGCAATGAAAACTATCCAAATGTCCAAGGGGCCAACGCCAATTGTCCTACATCCTGTTGGGGAAAAGGCGTTGTTGCCTGGGGCTCAGAAACGCGCAAAGTCCAGGGGGGGTCTCTCTCGGGTGGATTGGAAACTGCCTGGTTTGTTTCCTTTGGTTTCCTTTCAGCTGGGCCTATCCAGCATTTTGGGAGGTGTTCATAGCAGACATCTTGGACCTCATACATTTCGCTCTCAGGACATGGCGAAGCCTGAGCGCTTCCCAAGCTCCTCGACGTGCCGTTCTTGTTTTCCTGAGGGGGATCTAAAGGCACAAAGAGGGTGGAGTCGAGAGACAAACTATAGGCCCAAGAAGCAAGGAGTCGAGTTTTCGGCAGTTTGGAGTTTGTCGGGTCGTGGGTGTTGGCAAGACTCCCTTCCTTGGTGATGCAATTTGGACTAATGTCGGGGACTGATGTCTAAAGGGCTCCTCCCAAATACTTTGAGACCCGATGGAGGAAAGTGCTAAAACACTGGGGTCAGATTTGAGCCCCTCAAGTGGTCTGTTTGGATCTGGTTTAGTATTGATTTAGTATTTGGTTGTGGTTGTGGTGGGGACTGGGCGAAGGGTGGGGTTGGTGAAGAGCTCTGGGGAGACCTTATTGCATTTGTTCATGCAGCTTTTGGTCTGAGTACCTTTTTCTTTTCAGGGTATTTGAATAGTTTTTGAAACAGTTGGTTTGTATTTGGTACCCTTTGATTTGGAAAAGGCAAGCACTGTTTCCCGTCACCTCTTGAAGGCCTGGTGACTAGTTACCGACATATCTCGCCTCGTCACTCGCACAGCGAAGCCGGAAGCACTGACGCCACATTTTTTCCGAAATTACAGCAGTACCGCTACTGCTTCTTCTCCCAATGCTGGAGTCTTTCCTAAACGCAGTTTAATGTAATTATAGTGTTTGGGCACACTAAATATGAAACGCGGAAAGGATCACTTTTTGTCGTTATGTAATTGTATTTGGGCGCACCAAATATGAAACAGAGGCAAACGTATTATTTCTGTTGTACCCCCCGATGTGGGCCAAGAATCATCATGAACACCTAAGGGGGGCTATCCCTGATAAGACTAGGATAAGCCAGGGATAAGCCCTCATTCAGGCCTTGTTCAGGGGTTCAAATAAGGGATAGCCTTCCCCTCTCCAAGCCCCCCAGATGTGGGTATGGGTCAAAATTAAACCACCAGAACACCAAGTGTTGGTTCATGTGTCTACTTACCAGGGTTCCATTTGCGGTACGGTACATATTATTGACCCACAGCCATGTGGCCATAGAATCAATCACGTCGAAGTCGCCCGAGGGGCGCTGAGCTGTGCCCTCCTCACCTGCGCCATTCTCTACATCGCGGACACCCAGCGGCACTCAGCTTGCTGCTGCGATAGGTAGGAAATGAGGGAATGAGCCTAGGGATTCCCTTAGAGGGGATGGTTTAGGGTCATTCACCTCATTCCCTGCTGAGCACCAGCAAGGTGGTTCTTTTTTGGGTGGGTTTCCTTTCAAGCGCCCAGAAACAAGATTGCTCGACCTTGGATTTGCTGATTTGCTGGGTTTTGAAGAAGGTCATGCTTTGCGGCTACTACGGCTATGGGAATTTCATCCAAGAGAACGTGGTCGCGAACATGCATCTGTTCCCCGCCAGCTCAGAGGAAGCGCTGCGGCCTGCGAGCACTTGGACGGGCTCAAGTGCCGAATGGCTGGCCCCAGTTGTTTCTGTCATGGTCCTCACCAATATCATGCTCAGCACCGTGGTGGTTGAAAATGGGCGGGGGGGAGGTCAAGGCCAGTTCTTGAGAAGTGGCAAGAAGTGGCAACGGAATCCCCTAAAGTCGTCACAGATTGCCCACTGTGGTATCAGACAAAAAGGTTGTTTCCCGCAGACATGCTGGCATTTTGGCAGAAGCACCCACTTTGAGACAAAATGCAGGAAGATGCCGGTGTGAGCTTTTTTCCCAGAGACCTCACGGGTGTTTCCAAGATTAAGAAGCCTTCCTAGTTTTGGAGGGGCATTCCAAGCTTCTCAGCATGTAAAGGGGGCCGCCATTTTAGGTCACCATGGGAGTCCTTGCCTTGCAATTTCTTGCTGGTGCTCAGTCGGGAATGTGAGGAATGACCCCTAGAAGCCATCACTTGTGGTTTTCTTTAAGGGGGTACACTAGGTTCATTCCCTCATTCTCTACTGAGCACCAAGATAAGCCGCAACTTGTGGTTTCGCTTGTAAGGGGACCAAAGCCTGGGTTCATTCCCTGCACCAGCCAGAGTTGTGCGCCAGGCATGCCTCTCTTGGCCATGGCGGTGTTCTACTCAGTTCAAAGCTTTAAGTACACCGCGCCCTACGTGCCTCCTGGCTCCTGGGCGAACTGGGCCATGAGGGTGGCCCTGATTACAGGCCCGGGGGGGGGACAGGAAGCAGCACTCCTCATGGGGAGAAGAGCGCTTCTTTGTTTCAATCCACAAGCTATAGGTTTCCCCTCTTTTGTCCAGAACAGGGGTGGGTCAGGCAAAAACCAGAGGGTCCTCAACTCTTGCTGGGTTAGGGATCTGGTTACACAGCCTTGCGTGCACTTCTGTACATGTGGCCCCCACACGTATACATCCAGGAGTGGAACATTGAACCCCGCTCAGGGTGGGCAATCACGGCTTGGTCCAGGTCGATCAGCATTGTGGTGCCACGCAAAGCATCGGTGGAATTGAAATAGGCATCAGGCCTCGGGCAAAGCGACAAGAGGGAGCCCTTCAGGTAGCATGGGCATGCCATTTTGATGGGCCGACCCAGCTCTGTCACAGACTTTGTGAGAAGTGCTCCTGGATTCCTGGATCTCTAGCGAGAATCCGTGTTCAGCACGATGGGCAAACGGAGGGGTGTTTCTGCAAGGGCAGAATCCAGAAAGCTACCCTGTCGGCATCTTCGGCACGGAGGGGTCTTTGCAAAATTATGGGTCAAAACAAGGGTCCCTCGCAAGGTGACACATATGGTTTGGCTATTTTTTGCAGAGAGGTTGCTTGAAGGCGGTTCTTCCACCCCATTTTCCTACCGGTATGCCCAAGCCATGCTCTTGGCACAGAACCCCCTCTCCCCTCGATGAGCCGGGTTGCACCTCTTGACTCCCCCAAGGAAGACGCAGAAACGCTGGGGTGGTTGATTCCCCCCCCAAAGGGGGACGGATTGGTTTGGTCCAGCCCTGCTTGATGTAGGGAAGTGGCCATTTGTCAAAATCCCATACCGCCAGTGAACATCCCAATCCCGGCTAAAATGGGTTCTAAAATGCGTGGTGAATTCACCTATACCAAACTGGCATCCCAAACCGGTGTTGACAACGCCACAGCCACCTACATAAAGTGATGCGGCGGTACGGGCTGTTCACTGGGGGGGTTGGTTAGCTGACGTGCGGAAACCCCCCGCGAAGCCCGCGAGGGGTGGACGCCGTGGCCCTGGCGGTGCCGCGCTTCACCGTGGTCTTCGCCTTCTTCAGCGCCGTGACCTCGCCCTTCGTGTCGCTGGTGCTGCCCATTTGCTTCGCAGGTGGGAGGGGAGGGGAGGGGAGGGGAGGGGAGGGGAGGGGAGGGGAGGAGAGGGGAGGAGGGAGAAGGAGTGATGATGGGTCATGTTGAGTTCCCTTTGCCAGTTGGGCTTGTTCGGTTGTTTTTGCTTTTGGTGGGGATGGGGGAGGTCTGTGTTGTGTTTTTTCCGCTGGCTTAGCTATCTTTACCACGGGTCGGTCTCGGGTTGGGGTTCATTTCTCAGCAAGAGGCTGACATCCCAGGCTGCTGGGTGAAGCTCGGGTTTGGGTGGGTTGGGCCTCGCTTGAAGCTCCAGTTGGCTTCTTGGCCAGGCGCCATCTTGAAGGACAAGCCGCGCGTGCTGCGAAGAGCTTGGCACGTGCTCATCGTCATCGTTGGGGCCCTGTGCGCCTCGGCGAGGGTCGGGTTGAATGGTGTTGGCATTTTGTTCGTTGGACAAAGGGACACCCTTGAACATGGCTAATTGTGAATTTGAAGAGTTGGATCCACCTGGTGGACATCCCAAATTGATGTCCTCCAAAGGGTCCCGTAATACCATCCACATGCCTTGTAGGGAGCGGATCCCTTGATTCTTCAACAAACGAGGATCGTAAAGATCACCCCTGCCGTGAGTTGCAGCAGAGTTTCTTTGAGGACCACTTCGGCGCTTGCTGCCTTTCAAGAGGAGGGCAGAAACGCCAGTTTTTTCGGGAACAGCAAGGGAAGCATCTTTGGATAGTACCAACAAAGATGCCCAGCTCTGCGGCTGCCTTTAGGTCACCTCACTTTGACCCCTGGGCAATTCGCGTGGATCTATTTGCGGCAGCATTGTCGGTCAGGTTAAGAAGAATGCTGCAGGAGGCCCCTCGTCTTCGCAAACACTCGCCCCAGTCCACACGGAGGGGGAGAGTCAGTCTGGCCAGTCAACATGATAGAGCCTGATAGGCTCAGAATGCTTGATACTGTTGTTACGGAAAATGTATCCAGACAGGAATTTGTAGTTTCGACCAACATCATAAAGTAATATTGAATCATACCCATCGGAGAGTTTCGATGCCGACAGCGCACTAAGGCTTGATCTTTGGTGTCTACACGGCAGTAATGGACATGGTGCATGGATGAGCAGGCTGCAGGCTTGTACAGGTCATAAAGCACATGTACAAGGGAATTCGCAAGCTTGTGATTCGTTTTTGTGTTTGTCAAAACCTGTTATTCTGCTTGGCAGCCTAGTCACTTTGCTCGACCTGAAGAGGCCGCCCCCATGCAGCAATACATGTAGCAAGGAACAGCTTGAGCCGAGGATTTTGAATTTGTGTGCAGAGCTCCAAGGCGGTTGATAGCTGAGGATTTTGGTGCTGTACAGCTTGCTTTGCCAAGAGCCAAAAGCCCAGAACAGGCTTAGAGGCGAAGGCTCTAGGGCGCGAAAGGCCTCAAAAAGGCGAATCCAAGAGCGCGCGGGCCGTGGCCGTTTGAGCTCGGGGGTGTGATATCCCAAATGCTTGCTTATCTTCCTGAAATGGTTTCGTGTGGTTGCCCTTTAAACCAACCTTGCGGGTGATTTGCTTCCAGAACGTCGGTCCAGACGCAATCTTGAGCTTTCGAATCTCATGGACTTTGAGCTTCCGAAGCGCGGGTCTTGGCAACTTTGGTAGTTTTGGTCGTTTGTCCACTGGGTTGCAAAAAGCTTTCTCCCGGCCTACTCGTAAAGCAGTTGGCAAATCAAAACACCGAGCATCCAAGCCCAGGTCTCAAAAGGGTCTCAGAAATTGCCATGCGAAGCCCGTTGGCAGGCAATCGGCAGCTAACGCCAGCGTTGAGACGCAATCGATGGATTGCCGCAAAGGTCTGGGGTTGGGAAGGCGGGTTAAGCGGCGTCAACAGCTTCAATCCGAAACAGGCTCTAACAAGGGAGTCCAGATCACATGTGGATCTTTTTTGTTGTGTAGTAGGAACCCATTGGTGCCGCGTCAGACCGCAGCCATGTCAACCCCCTTGCCCGGCTGTTAATGCAGTGGCCATCCTCCAAGAGCGATCGGCACGGTAAATCGCGACGTCTCACCGAGTGCGGTCCAAAGCTTCGAGCGCAAAAAAGAGCAGCTAGGAGAAACTTCCTTGGGACTTAACCATGCACACGAACCAACAAGTTGATACAAAGCATATACACTCGCGGTGATTCAAAGTTGATAGGGGCTGGGAGTTGTTTTGCTTTGTTTTTCCTTGATAGGTGGGTTTCACACAGGTCATACATTTGCATGCACTCTGACCCCCTCACGGTTGCACCTGTTCTAGAGAAGAACCTGTGCTTTCATTGTGAGCCTTTGGACATTTTGTTGGTCCTTGTTTTGGGTCTCTCGCTTGGATTTCTCGAGAATGGAAGGAGTCTTGTTTCCATCAGGCATTTACCCAACTTGTATTCGTTTGGACATTTGCGGGGGGACCATGTTTTCAGCCCTGGTTTGACAACTCCCTCAATTTTCAAGCCCCAAGATGAGCACTTCTAACAGAGGAATCGTTGTTTTTCAGGTGTCTTGAGGAGGGAGTTGGTAAAGCACACCTTCCGGACGTTTTTGGAAAGGGGGAGCTCAAAAAGAGTGCTTGAGCAGTACCAAAGAATCCAGAACTGCTGCTGACCTGGGTTCTGATCGAAGAGTTCTCATCAAGCATCTCAGGGAGTAGCTTTACCAACTCCCTCCTTAAAAGACACCTGAAGAAACAAGTGTGTTCCTCATGATTCCTCTGTTAGAAGGGCACTCATTCGGGTTTCATCTTGGGTTGAAAATTGCGGGAGTTGTCAAACCCGGGCTGAAAACATGGTGCCTCTCCTCAGCCAAGTCCCGCGTTTCTCAAGACACGCCCACATCGGAGCGCCCACCTCGGGCGCCCAGGGCCTGGCAAAGACCTGTGAGGGCCAGGGGCTGACCTTCCGGCAGCTGGAGGCGAGGCTGGCGCTGGGCTTTGCTGGAAGCCGCCGGGTTGATCAGCTTTTTGAATTTCGGGGGGAAGACCGTCAATGGAAGCCATGAATCAATTGATCCACTGGCGATACTTCTCATTGAATTTCGGGGGGGGGGGGGGGAAGCCAGTCAATGGAAGCCATGAATCATTTGGAGCATCTGGCGATAGGGGAAATCCAGTGACCCAGCGGATCAATCGACCAGGGGATGTGCCCAGCGGATATTTGGAAGTCCAGTTCTCCGAAAATCAAACAAAATTTGGGGAGATCCAGTGACCCCTGTTGAACCCAAAAGAAGCCGCCAGGAAGCGAGGGAGGTCTGGGCGGTCTGGGCGGTCTGAGCTCGTCTCAGGATGGCCAGGGCTTCTTGTCCCCGGCGCTCAAAGAGCTTCAGGCCCTGCCGGGGCCCCGGCGAGTGATGGCGAGTGGGAGCCAGGATGGTCTTTGGATGGCGCCCAAAATGGGCGTGGGCTGTTTTGAGGGTCGCCTTGTTGGGGTTGGTTTGAAGGGGAACCAAAGGAAACCTTGGGGCACTTTTTGGAAGGTCCCTGGTTTAAGTCACTCTCAAATGGCTCCATGTCTTGGCCAAAGGGGCGCCAAGCCGCTTTTTCTGTAAAGCCCCACCTTTGACGCCGAGAAGAATTAGGAGACAAGAATTGGGGGCCCGGGCCAGGCTTTTTATTTGGACAGGCGCACATCAGCACCTGCTGCCTCATTTAGCAGTCAGCTTCTTTTGCAGGAGGGATAGGGTCACGCGCATGTCTCTCACACTCTCCAGGAAAGGTGTGGTTCATGTACCCATCCTGGGGTTGTTTCAGAAGGGAACCACAGGAAACGAGCCATGTTGGTTCCCATGTTTGGAGAAGCCATTTGGATATGGGTCTATTCCATGTTTCCATTTACCAGGGTTCCTCTTTGGGGTTGCCCTATTTTTTGACCGCCACAGCCAGTTGGCTATGGGCAAAGCGTTCGGCCAAGGAAGCCTCACGAAGAGAGCGTGGTGGTGATCTGCCGGGACGGACTGCGTGCCGTGTGTGACGGTTCTGTTGGCTGCATGTAGCCCAGGCTGCGCACGTGGATGCCATGTCAGTCATGCCAATGTCCGCTGGTACATGGGCAACGTCCATGTGTTCAAGACGGTGGATTTGTTTGAGCCTCAAGTGCGCATGGAGTCCTGACGAGGTAGATGTGGGTGCTATTTTTTAGTAGGGAACCCCGGAAAAAGCGGTTGGTGGGCATAAATCGGGCCCCACCTAGATGTCCACCAAAGGGTCCCCTTAAAGTTCAGACACAGCTGAATTATGGGAAACCGGCCGTACCATACAATCAGCCGATCTTTGTCTTCCAATTTCCGAAGGCCTATGAGAACTTCAATGTAAGTAGGGTGTTTTTGGGATACCCGTGAACCAGGGGTTTGGGTGTTTTTGTATATTCTGGCCATGTGGTTCATTAAGCCAATGGGATCCTAGGTGTCAACTTGTTAGTTTGCTTTGGTTAGAAGTAGATGGGTTCCACTGGCTTAGATTGGTTATATTCCATTTACCAGGGCCATCGATTTACAAAAAGGACAGCCATGGGGTTCATTCCAGGGGAGTGCAGGACGCTCCATGGCGGCGGCAGTTGCCACGGCCTGGCTAGCACTTTGCTGCGGCCAGGCGGGTGGATGGTTGCGAAATCCATTTGGCTGTGGGTCAAAACCGTTTTGGGATCCCATTTTGGTTGGTAGGTGAATTCACCACCCATTTTAGAACCTATTTTGGTGGGGATTGGGATGTTCACTGGGGGTACGATTTGGATTTTGGCCCATGGCTATTTCGCACCACGTTGAAACCATGGGACACCATTGGTTGTATCATTCCAGGGTCTCTTAGGTGTGCAGGATTTCGTCCATCCATAGGTGAGTCTGTCTCCAAATCTCGGGAACCCCGCAGCAAAGCAGCTCGGGTCCCAATGTCCTGTGGAGTTTTCTCTAGGAAACAACCGGACCTCGGGCAGCCCACACCCAAGCTCTGAAACCCTCGCACGGAGCTGGGAACCCTCGCTGAAGGTCCTCAGGTCGCGTTCAGGGATGGTTCAAAGATCCTTTGGGGATTCAGCCATACTTGCTCAGAAAATCGCGGAACTTGATCAACCGCGCACGCCATGGCAATCCTGTGTGGTCGCGTCCATGTCAGGGATGGTTCACTTGATAAAGTGCCGCGCACGCCATGGCAATCCTTAGTTACAGAACCTGCAAGAGATCTAGCTTGTGACTCGCACAGCGTCACAAAAGCAAGTGAATGTAGTCCTTGAAGCTGAAATGAGAATCCCCTTTGGCTCACGAAACTACGCACCATGCTTAACGCCTAACAGAGTTTCTTCATCTGGGCAACCACCATCTGGGAGGTCAAGTACATGTAGGTGTGTCTTTTTTGCGGGACCCCCCAAAACTGAGTTTTCCTCCTGTAGTTTCCCTTTGAAACCACCCTAAAAGGGGTACTCTCAACAAAAGACGGACCCATGTGGCCCATGTGCCACCAAAGACATCTGTCTGCATGGCTTCTGAGCAGACCCAACGAATCACGCCCACAATTTTTTGGGGTGGTCAGCGCTCAGACGTTGGATGCCGCGCTCTCTGTCGTGGCGGACTCGGCGAAGCAGGCGCCAATGTGTTGCGGAGAAGGGAGGTGGAACCCAAGGAATCGAAGAGCAGAGCCCATCTTCTCTTGGTGGCTCCCAGCCATCCGCTACCTTAGTTTTTTAGCCTTCCGGGTTTAGTGGGGATTTCCATTGACCCACGAAAAGTTCAACTTTTGGCAGGGACCTGAGGGCCCAGTTTTCATGGATTCCCCCGTAAACAGCGTTTAAACCGTTCCTTTGTGGCCGCAAAAAGTCCCAGCTTGAGACCTGCGTCGGGTTGTGGGGGAGCGACCCATATTCCCAGGTTCTAAGCAATTATTGTCCACGGGCCAAAGATGTCCGATGTGTTGGCCGAGAGTCTGAGCGTGGTGGCGGCCTTGGACTGGACAGCAACTGTCACCCCGTCATTTGGGGCGTGGTTCTCCCAAAATTGAAGTCCCCCCGTCTCAGATTTGCCCCCGAATGACGATGAATCAACCAGGTCGTGGATGCATCCTCTCAGCGCTATTTTGTGGGGTGGCAACTTAGATTGGGCAACATATTTTCCTGCTTAAACACACACAGACATATTTTCCTGCTTAAACACACACAGGCACACACACACACACACACGTTGGTTCCCTTGAGAGGGAAACCAAGCCAAGATCCTTGGAACATGTCAGGTAGGCGCTTGGCGCACACCCCTGGATGCCTTCGGGAGCCGAGAGGTGGGCTTGTCGCTTTGGGTTGATGTTTTCTGCTGGTGATGCTGAAGATGCGTAGTGATGTTCATCATCGTCATCATCATGTTCATCATCATCATCATCATCATCATCATCATCATCATCATCATCATCCTCATCCTCATCCTCATCCTCATCCTCATCCTCATCATCCTCATCCTCATCCTCATCCTCATCCTCATCATAATCATCATCATCATCATCATCATCATCATCATCATCATCATCATCATCATCATCATCATTTGCATCATCGTGTTCATGGTGTCCGATGGATGTTTCTATAGGAGGGGTTAGAGAGAGCGACCGAAAAACGCTTGGCGCAACCGGCCATCCGGTTCCTTAGCTCCTTGGCTGTTTCGATCTTTTTCTGATTTCGTGGTTGGGTTTCCGATGCCCACTAGAAGCTAAACTTTGAACAGGGGATTCGAGACCAAAGCAGTGTGTGGACTGACTGTGTGGGATCAAGAGCGTGGTTAGGGACACTCCCAAAACGAAAAATGCTCGGTGCTTTTGGATCGACCTGAAGACTAGGTTTTGACTCTGCCGGTGCTGGAAGTTTGGCGATGGTGGACAAATCCACGTCGCAGTTGGTAGGTGGGTGATCAACCAAGAATGATATGGTGTCATCCATCACAACTGGTGCGAAATAGATTTCGTCCAGCGCTTTCTTTTGAGCAACCCTGAAAGGGTATTCTCGCACCTTAGCAAATACCCTCCCAGTATGGAGTGTCTTTCACCCTATAATACAGCAGTAAGCATTGGCGACAATTGTCTTCCCGCAGAATTGCCGCCCTTCTGGCACAGCAAGAATCCTGCTCGGCATGCCAGTCTTGCACTCCTCGGAACCCAGCCGCCCTGTTTGGGCAAAGAGACTCTATAGCTTTCAGCTATTGGGGAGAAACAAAAGCGCCACATGGCTTCACATGGCTTCCTTAGGATGTCGATTTGCCGGGCGTTCGCACAGCTTGAATTCTCGACCAGGCATTCGCGGCAGCCCTCGGCGAAGCAACGAAGGGCTGACCCGGCAAGATGCCCAGACTCGGGAAGCTTCAGGGTTCCGTTTGTTGATCACCTGGTGGACAACAAAACCATTCCCCCCCCCCCCCCCCTGCGTTTGTGAAGTCAACCAGTGGCACCCCTTGCTGTGAGTCTCTGTAAGTGCAGTTATCAACTAAAGCCAAGCCTAGGGTGGAGGCAGCTTCGGGGCTTCTTGAGGCGTTTGTCGCGCCTGCCTGGCTTCAGCCCGCCTGCCTGGCTTCAGCCAGGAAGTTGCTGCTTTGCCAGCGCTGCATCCGGCCAACAAAGTTGATTGCTCAAACAACTGACTAGAGGGCAAGATTCAAATGCCTGCACTGAAGACACCCACGTTCAGCTTCACCTTCGACCAGCGAGTGCGCATCGAAACCAGCACCTCATTCCACCGCCAGGCACATCACATGCCAACCAAAAGAGGCAAAGCCAAGAGAACCAAGAGCAGCCATCCCTACAAGTCAAGTCAAATCTTTGGCACGTGCCAACCTGCCCGACATGGACTCGGCCGATGGGGTCCCAGACCCTTTGGACCCGGAGGCAGCGAAGGAACTGCCGGAGGCCAACGAGATCATCGAGGGCCTCTGGGTGGGCAGTGCCGATGCCGGCACCGAGGCGACGGTGGGGCCCAATAGTCGCCAGATCGCCTACGTGGCTTGAAGCATTGCAAGCTTTGGAGTTGTTCCTTTCACCAGGGTTGGTTTCTCGTTGTTGGATTTCGGTGCTGTTGTGTTTGACTTTTTGGGATGTTTTGTGTTGTTCTTCCTTTTTTTGGTTTCAGAATGTTGGTTTTCCCCCTTGGCTTCCCTATGTCGGTTTCCCTATGTTTTCCCCCTAAGGTGGTTTCCTTTTGATGTGGGTTTCCCTTTGTTGGCTGCCGAGTTTTCGTGTCTCCCTATTTGTTTCTTTCTATTCACTTTCCTATTGTGGTCACCATTCTGGTCTACATAAGTTTAGTTCCTCTTCTGGTCCAGGTTCCAAACGAATACCCCGCGGTGATGTATGTTGCGCAATTGTCCCATTTGGGCTTAGTCATCCCCTTGCCCATATTGAATTAATTGTGCCATCTACGTTCATCCTGACGTAATAATATGTTGGACGAACAGCTCTCCGAGGTCCTCAACGTGGGGGGCTGTGTGACTCCCGTGATCTTCGCAGCCTTGGCCAGGGCGATCGCAGAGGAGGGCTATCCCGAGGACCCGGCTCAAACACCTGAACCTTGCTCCCCTTTCCACTGGTTTAGATTGGTTTTCTGCCCCATTTGCCTCTAATCCTTACCAACAGGGCACCTATGCCCAAAGGCTGTTGGCCTCTTGCATTGCTCTCCTCTTGGGAAGAGAAGGATTCCCCCTTGGATTCAAGCAAACCAACACAATCATCGGCTTAAGACACATTTCTTTGCAAGTGGTGGAAGTTTATGTTGGAGCTCTGTGGGCATCATTCACCTGAAAATCTAGGTTCCGAAGTTGACCACCTTATCGAGGTTTTCCACAACCTTCGCGTAGGATGCAGATGAGGACGACCAGGAGCTGTCCAGCGGCGGACGCAGCCGTGGACACACCTACACCCACAACGGGGTGGAGACTCTGGCGCTTCCCATGGATGACTACGGGCGAACCCCGTTGACCGAGGATCTGCTGAGCCGCTTGCTGGGCTTCATCGAACATGGCCTGCAAGCCCGGAAGAACGCGCCTCGGGGCCCGGTGAAAAACTCAGCGCCCAAAGGCCGGGGGCATGATGTTAAGTCGGAAACTGGTGGTGGTGTCCCTTTCGACCCACCACTTGGGGGGTGACTTTGATAGTGGCAAAATGATGGTTTTGCCAGAAAGGCTGTTGGTTTTGGGTTCTACCAACATGGCGAACAAAAGGTGTGGCAAAAGGCCCAAACCGAACATGACACCAGGCAGAGCCACCTAAATTGGCTGGTGGGGGGTTGGCTAGTGTTGTTTTCCCTTGGGAAGACGGCAAGATTCCACCTGTCCATTGGGAGAGTGACAGTTTGACGCACTTTTCACCTCAATCTGGTCCAAGTTGAGGCCACAAAGGCGCTCACCTTACCCGGACTCGGAATGGTGTCAGCCCGATGATCCAAGCAGAAGGGCCCTTGCCGAACCATGCTGAACGACGAAAGCCTCTTAGGCACCACTGAAGAAACCCTGGAATGATGAGTCCCCTGTAAGTACCAACAAACGTGCTGGCTTCAACCAGGGTTTCAAAGTGGTGCGAAATGGATTTTCTCCATCCAGATATGGGCTCAGATGTGTGGTCAAAACACACTTGTAATTATTTGGGGTTGGTAGAGGTGGTCAACCCCTCGGATTTTAGACAAGAGTTTCCTTGGGACTCATGACCATGGTCCATGCTTGCGGATTTAACGAGGCTTGTGCACCGCTGTTTGGTTTAGGCCGCAATCTCTTGGTGGCTCCCAGCCATCACCCTTCGGTTTTTGGAGTTCGTGGGGGTTTCCATTTAACCCACTAAAAGTTCAAGCTTAAGCAGCCCAGGCCTGCGTCGGCAACACGGGAAGTGTTTTTTGGAGACCCGCGACCATACTACTGCAGATGGACAAAGTCCGCTTTGCACCAGCTGGTAGGTAGTCAATCCCAGTATTCCGAGGGTTTCATCCATCACCGGCATTGAAGCGGATCTTGCCCACAGTACGAGTCCTGTTTTCGGAGTTGGTAGCCTTTGGTTGCTTTGACGGAAAAGCAAAAGGAAACCATCCATTTGTCTAGGGGATACTTCCCCATTCTTTCCAGGGATCCTTCTTTCCAGAAAACCATCAGAACCCCAAAAGAAGCGGATCCGATTTTTTTTGTTTAAGAAGGATGGTTGAAAAGAATGGAAAAGGAAAATCAACCCCTATCACTGGGATCTGACGTCCCCAAGGTTGCAACCCCTAGAATCAACCCCTTGGGTTTCCCCACAGAGATAGGCCAGGGCTCTGGCTTAGGTGCTGGTGCACTGCCGTCTGGGGGTGAACCGCTCCGTCACGGTGGCCTGCGCATTCCTGGTGAGGCGTCCGGAAAAACATGGCTGTGGGTACCATTTTGGGGTACCCATTTTAGAACCTATTTGGCTGTGGGTCAAAACCCTGTAAACTTGATGAACGTCAAAATAGGGTGTTCATCCGCCCCAAAATGGAGGCATACGGTATGACCCATGGCCATTTTAGTGAGGATTGGGATGTTCACTGGGGGTACGGGATTTTGACCCATGGCCATAATATGGGCGCTTCTCAAAGTGATCCCAAATTGGGTTGTTTCCTTTTGGCTTCCCTTTCGAGAAAAGGATTCGCCGTTTTGAGAAACCCCGCATGGACTGAGGGGGCAAGGGGCACACCTGAAATGTCATGATTCCACTGGTGCCATGTTACAGTATTTTTGTGTGGAAGACCAGACAAGTGGAATGGTCCGATTTGGAGGGGGGGTGAAGATTAGAACGCTGGAAAGGGCATACCCTGAACATCCATTCTCATGGAGCACAGCACGCTCGCTCTTTTTTGAGGGGATAGCATGAGCAAGGTAACCCCCTTAGCTTGTGATTTGGGTTGGTGGAATTTGAACCTCTTGTTCTTGAGGCTTTTCATGGGAAGCCACCCCCGTGTGGAGTTTGTCGACGGTTGATTGTTTTTGGGCTTGGACTGTTTTAGTGGCTTTCCCACAAAAATCGTGACGTTTTCTGGCCCATCCTCTTCGGACGGAAGTGAGAGCATGCGAAGTCCGCTGTGTTTTTGTTTCTTTTCGTGTTTTTTTTTTGTTTCTTTTCTTTTTCTCGGCTGGGGGAAGAGGCTTTGTTTGTTGTTCCTTCTTTTTTGGTCGCCCCGGCTGGGTTGCGCCGATGTCCTTCCTTGGATCCGAGGCGCCGGGGCTTCTCGGTGGAGGAGGCGTTGCAGCTGCTGGGGGCCAAGCGCCCAGGGGCCAGGCGCTCGGGTGATCGCCGGTCGTGCCGTTCGGAGAGGTTTGCTCATGGGACCGAAGCCGGCTCCGTTTGGATCTTAAAGCCCCGGAAAAAAGGAGGGGACGGGCTTTTTTGGCTTGGTGGACTTTGCGGCTGACTGAGAAATTGGACACTTTCGGACCCTTCGCAGGTGTTGTTTTCCCAAGTATGGACAGCAGCCAGCTTTAGGGCTCCCTTACATTTGGAAATCCAGGGGTCAGGGGAGAAATATGGGAATCGATGTCATGCAACAATGTCACAACAACGGTGTGAGGTTCCAGAGTAGTCGTTTCAAGACCGGCTGACAAAGACGCTGATTTGCTTGGTTCTTAAGTACTGATGGTGCCTTCCCCCCCCCCACTTTCTTGGACTACCTCCCCCCATTGTTCAGCATCTGCATCAGGACCGCAGGTCTCCCAAAGTTACCAGCGTTGAACATTCGATGGATTCCGCTGGTTTCAGTTTGGTTCTAATCATCTACTGCTTCAGTTTGGTTCTCAGAGGTGATCCTTGTCACTAGGTCTTATATGGCAACTACCGTCTTTCTAAATTGGAAGGGATGTTAGATCCTTCCAATTCCATGAGAAGTGGTGAGTTTTGAAAATTCAACTTATAGATGGATTCCACAGGTGGTAGTTGTCTAATCATCTATCATCTACCAGCGCCATCCATTTCCCCCCGCACGCATGGCCTTTTCAGCAGGCCCAACGAGGCCTACTGCGCCCAGCTCTACGCCATGGAAAGGGGCGAAGTCGCGGAGCCCAGCGCGGAGTCGGAGGAGGACTGGGACGTGGCGGCGATGCAGTCCCCAGCATGAGCTGAAGCGGAGATCGGCGAGCTGAAGCTGGAAGCTGATACTGTGGATGGATGAACTTCTGCACTACCTGAGCAACCATGGAATGATGATTGCCCTGTAAATACCAGCAAGCAGTGGCTTACCATTGTTTCACAGTGCCATGCGTTTGGAAGCGCGTAGCTTGGACCCGAGTCCATTGGGGCGCGTAGATGTGGACGAAATCCCGAAAGGTGACCCGGGCCAGTCCAAAGGGACAAGATGGGGCCCGCGATTGGACTCTGGGACACTCGAGACAAAAGGCCGCCGCTTGCTGTCACCGCACTATAGCTACTGGGTTGGGAGGGTTCAGGAGAAAAGGGGACCCCTCAAGAGTGAAGACGGCTTTACTTTCACACTGCGCAAAGCAGCCAAAACAAGATTTGAATGATATATATACATATATGTATATATATTTGCAGGATGCAACTGTGCGTAGCCGAACATGCAGGAGCCTCTCGCAGACCCGTGTTTGCTGAGGATGTGTGTCTTCCTGGCCAAAGTGAGCCCAGCGAGCTCTTACGGGGCGCGCCAATGTGCGAAGTGGGCTGAAAAAAAGGCATGTGACCTTGCGCTTCAGGCGGCACCAAAAGACCACGGTCTGGGTCTCAAAAGGGACATCTTATTTTCGGCCCGCATCGGATTTATAAATCCTGCAGGGCCTTAGCTTGAAGATTTAGGTTCTTTCCAGCCTGCAAAAGCTCCAGCCCCAAAGCATCGGAGTTCGACGACAAGTTGGCAGAGTCATCACCGCGCAGTTTGCGTTAGGTATGGCCATCGGCCAACGCATGCCAACCCTGTCCTGCCTGCAATGCTTTGGACATGTCAGGACAAGCCTCATGTGTGTTGTTTGGACAGGGACGTTTGTCAGGTCCTGTTGACAGGAAGCTTGTCATGGGAAATGGGGAGGGCCAGGGCCAGGCCAGGACGCCAGGAATGCAGACGCTGAAGCAACAAGGAAATGCCCGAAACGGCGTGAGGAGCAAGGCTCAAGAGCGGCAAGCCGCAATCCTTTGAAGCATTTTGAAGGGCATATGGGGGAAGGGGACAACGCAAAGTTTCAACCTCGACCTTTGTGGTATTTCTCGATTTGGAATAGATAGGACTTTGTTTTGTACCATCTTGAAGAGGGATGGTCGCAAGGTGGGCTCGCTGATGTTAGAGTCTGGTGAATTCAACATGAATATAGATGTTGATGCACCCTCTCAAAGCTGTGTCAAGGAAAATGTCAACACTTGTCAGGAACCTCGCCTACAAATGCTCCAACACCGCCGGCGCTCCGTTTGTCAACTGGAAATGATGGATGCTTCGACCCAGTTACGGGATGGGAATCAACCATGATACCGCCCCTAGGCCAGCATTTTCTGACGTTTGGGGCACCTTCTTCTTTTTACCCTCCTTCCAACAATCATGGAAGTTGTTGTTTGATTTTTGGGGGGGTCCCCAGAAAGGAAAAAAGTCAAACCCAAAACCCTCCGATCATCAGCCTCCTTTTTATTGGAGGGAGGGTATTCCACTGCTCCACCCTGGCGTTTCGGCTCAGAAAGTGCCATGGGGACCGCCATCAGCCTGGCTGGGCTCAAAGGCCAACAAGTGGCGCCTTTGGCGTGAGGTTTTCGGCGGGGCGTGCGTGCGTGTTTGGGAGTAAAGTCTCTGTCTACAGGGAACCCAGGGACGCCCCCCCCCCGAAAAAAAAACGAAACGGAAAAGAAAGCAACACATGGAGGTGTTTTGTTGGTTTCCCTTTGGAACACAAAAGCATGGGTACTTGGAAGGGCATGGCTATAAATCTCAATGGGGGACCCAAAATGGTGGACTTGGTTAGAGGGAATCAAAAGGCAACCCACCCACCTGTGTTGGAGGGTTCTCCATTTTGGGACAAGTAAACCCATTTATGTGTGTGTGTGTGTTGTGGTTGTTTGAAAGGGAAACCAGCAGAAAACAATCTGTTTTGGAGTTGCCCATTTGGAAACAAATGCCTTGCTTCCTCGTAGTTTTGCATGTGGCAATGGACAACTCCACTAAACTTTAGTGGAGTTGTCCATTGCCACATGCAAAACTAGGAGGAAGCAAGACCGGTTCTTTCCCAGGGGAGTAGCTGGCGGGTTTCGAAGGAGCTTGCCAGGCTCTTGAATCAGCTGGCGGGTAGCTTACCAATATTCAGCCGGTCGATGGGACCTGATGGCTCCTTTGAATGCATCCTGCGGCGGTCCGCAGCGATGTAACCAGGGTTTGCTTGAATGAAACACCTTTTGCACGAATTGCCAACGTGATCTTAGATGGCAAGTGTGAGAACTTGGACTTTCGGCCTGGTTGCGGGAGTGGGGCCATGGCTGCTCAGATTCTGAGGTTGCCTTTTGGACGGATCACTTTAGTTTGAACGCCAAGTTGGACTTCTCGTGGGGATTTCCCACTGCGGGA